GTCTGGAGTGAGTTAGCCGGGGCCCACTTTATTAAGAGGTGGCAACGCATCTGCAACCCTACGGGTGTTGCAAGTGTCCATGGGCAGGCGGTTATCACTTAACATCAGGTGAACCGCCAGCTCGTCTGTCACTTTCTCACATTAAAAAAAATTGTATTTCAAAAGGGATGGCGAACGAAAAATTCAGGCTCGAGAGCTGGTGATAGAGCGCTCACAGCACCAGATGTTGCAATGTTGTCAACCACTGTATGCTAGGGAGGTGAGGAAGGTAACTATTCCGATCCCTAGTTACCTTCCTCAGATGGAATGCAAAGATGTCTTTACTTCACACCGTACTTCTGTGAGGTAATGGTGCTTCCAAGCTCGTGGGCCAAGAGCTGATTTGTCAGCTGTTGTTGCTCTACCACAGAATAGTTGGCGCAAATATAGTCCTGGAGACATACTCAATTAGAATCAGTTTTTTAGCGTATACATTTCTTAAATCGCCAAGGGAGAATCAGTGATTGTATTCGTTTAGTTTTGTATTCGTTTTCGTTCGATATAGTTCATAATATTAGTGATAACGTCACTTGTGAACCGTAATACTTTCCGTGTAATACGTTCGTGCAAAATAAAAACGCCTATAAAACTCACTTTTAAAAAGATATAACGTTTTTATTCAGCGCGATATTTAATTTAAAGCTACGGCTCGTGTTTTAATTTTTGATTGAACCTTTAAATGCCTTTGTTATTCTTTCCATATAACTTGGATTTCATTAGGCTTATATTTTAGCAATTTTAAAGATATACCAGAAATTAAATAATATTTAGGACAGTCGGAATATTGAGAATTTACTTTAAAAAGGCGACCAGAATTTGCCGAAGTTTTCTCAACATTTCTATTAAAATACTAGCGACCCGCCCCGGCTTCGCACGTGTGCAATGTATTATACATATAAACCTTCCTCTTGAATCACTGTATTAAGTAAAAAAAAAACCGTTGCGTAGTTTTAAAGATCTAAGGGTACATAGGGACAGACAGACAGCGGGACGACTTTGTTTTATACTACGCAGTGATGCACAGCAGAGAGACGTTTACATTTCAAGTGACATTTTACCACAGTCACTCACTTGTTTTGCCTTGCCCCTCCACTAACTTAAACTTTATGGTATGGTATTTTAAGTTCAAATAGAATTTTAAGTATTATTACGAATCTTTTGTACGGTAATATAGAAAAGTGTTGTTTTTAGACGTTTTCAGGCAATTTTTTAAATTTTTCTCTCCGTAAGTACCATCATCCTACTTCAAGGAATATTATAAAAAAAGAATTAGCGAAATGGACCGATTTAGCCGTTCACACGTGATGGCGTGACCAAGGGAAATAGGGATTCATTTTTATATGCCAATTAAATTACGCCAGAAATATATATCCTTTATTACCAATATAAAAAAAAACCGGCCAAGTGCGGACTAACGCACGAAGGGTTTCCTTACCATTATCTTTCAAAAATGGCAAGAAAAAGGTCATGTCTGTTTTATGGGAGCCCCACATATACATTTTTTATTCTGGTAACAGAAATACCTACATCATCTGTAAAAATTTCAACTATCTAACTATCACGGTTCATGAGATACAGCCTGGTGACAGACGGACAGACAGCGGAGTCTTCGTAATAGGGTTTTATACCCTTTGGGTACGGAACCTTAAAAATAACAGATCGAATGCCACTAACAATGAAAATAAAGAACATATTGCAAAATATGCTAAGTGTATAAATTAAGAAAACCGGTTCCTAAAGCATCGGTAAAGTAAATGACCCTAATTAGCGCTTAGGCATTAAACTAGTCTGCTAGCCAGGTGATAAAGAATCATAATATCTTCGAGATTGTTTTTGTACTGAACGCAAAAAACATCCTTCATATGACCGAAAAAATCTTTAGAACTAACTTTTATAGGACCACGCAAATCTTGGGTTGTTGCACGAATATGTAGGTATGAAGTACCAAAGAAGACCATTCAGAAGACCGACGTGAAGTGGAAATGTGATACATCAGCGTTACGTCTGATGAATCAGGTAACCGGGGCCCACTTTGCTAAAATGTGGCAACATTTCTGCAGCCTTTCGGGTGTTGCATATGTCCATGGGCGGCGGTTATCACTAAACCTCTAGGGAACCGCCTGCTCGCTTGCCTTATTCTTATATAAGAAAATGAACAGGAACGAATTAAATGCCGTAAGTCAAATTCTTAATCAACAATCGTCTAAAGATAAATGCGGTTTCTTCATAAATTGACAAGATCGCCGATTTAGGACGTGTTAAAATTCGCCTCCCGCAACTAACGTTCACGCTTGTTTGTCCTTCTCCTTTACAAGGAGTTCTGATCAGAAGGACTTATGAATTGGCGATAGAAAACGAAACAATCACTGGCAACCTATATGAAAATAAACAGGCGACAGCTTCTACCGGTTTAAAAGCGAATTGAGAAAAATGTAATCATAAACATAAGCAAGCCGCTACGTGGTAACCCCTCTTAAAACACTACAACACTCCTCGCGAAGGATGTTATTCAATTTACAATGTCATATCAATGTGACCCGTCGCCACGGATCGCGGAGAGAGCGCTGGTTTATCAGACCCTGTGTTCGAGACTAGAGTACGGTTTTACCAGGCTATAAAATTATTTAGACGTGTTATCAGATCCTTTGTTTGAGTACGGTTTTACCAGGCTATAAAATTATTTAGACCTGTTATCATACGCTGTGTTCGAGTACGGTTTTACCAGGCTATAAAATTATTTAGACCTGTTATCAGACGCTGTGTTCGAGTACAGTTTTACCAGGCTATAAAATTATTTAGAACTGTTATCAGACGCTGTGTTCGAGTACGGTTTTACCATTCTATAAAATTATTTAGACCTGTTATCAGACGCTGTATTCGAGTATGATTTTACCAGGCTATAAAATTATTTAGACCTGTTCAAGTAATAATAAATAATGTAATCGACGACCCCATTGGCGTGGGGAGTAGTGAACCTGCCTTTTGCGTTAGAGGTTGTGTGGGTTCGATCCCCATTACTGGAAAAATACTGTGTGAGGAACATAGTGTTTTACCAGTGTCTGGATGTTAATATATGTATAAAATGTATTTATTTACAAAAGAAAAGTGTGTTTATCAGTTTTCTAGTACCCATAATATAATCGTTGCTTAGTTTGGGACTACAACGTTGGGTGTCCGCGAATATTTATTTATTTATTTAATTCGTTAATGTAGCGCTGGTTAACAACGGCCCAATATTAAGTTGACGTGTTTTGAATCATGTTTAGAAAAAAAAAATTAATCCTTGACGGTGGTAGGCCAACAAAGTCTTCGCTGTTTACGAATGGGCAGGTGTCCATCCAGTTAAGTACCAAGACAGAAGACCGGCGTGAAGTGTAAGTATTACACTTCTGCGTTTCGTCTGGTGAGTGAGGTTGCCGGGGCCCACTTTATTATAAGGTAACAACCCATGTACAACCTTACGCATGTTTCAAATGTGCATGGGCGGCGGTTATCACTCAACATCAGGTGAACCACCAGCTCGTTTGCCACCTTCGCACATAAAAAAAATCTACTTTGAAGTTTCCGAAACAATAGTGCCACATTTGTGGTTTCTGTTTTTTAGTACTTGCTGTTATAGCAGCAACAGATATACGTCATCTGTTAAAATTTCAACTGTCTTACTATGACTGCTGTGTGTTGTATGTGTGGTGACAGACAGACAGACAGACAGACAGACATACATACAGACAGACAGACAGACAGACAGAATCTTAGTAATAGGGTCGCGTTTTACCCTTTGGGTATGGAACCCTAAAAATATTACAACTCATTATTAAATGGCTTATTTATGCATTAAATATTTCAGATAATAATAAAATAAGAAATAGCACTTAGTCATCATGACTTTATTGACTATAAAACTGAAAGGTCTTTGGCTTTCATTTCTATATCTATCAATATGATATATATCATATTGGTAAATTTTATATGACATAGAAATTAAACTTGGTTTCTATGGATTTCTGATTGTACAGTTGAATCAACCTCATGTCAATATCTGTATTATAATCATGAACCTGTAATGTTTACCTTATCAAATTTCCATTAATATAATCCATATTACCTACTATTTTATTAAGAAAATTATAAAAGTTCGAATAGTTTTTTGCAAAGTAGAGGAGTGTAATGACTTCTAGTGATAATTCATGTAACAGAATCTAAATGATTAAAACATATTTTTTTATGTGATAAAGTGGCAAACGAGCTGGCAGTTTACCTGATGTGAAGTAATAACCATGGACATTGCAACACCCTTAGGGTTGCAAATGCATTGCCACCTTTAAATAAAGTGGGCCCCCGCTACCTCATTCGCCAGGCGAAATGCAGAAGTGAAACACTTCTGCTTTACACTAGTCTGTGAGGTCGTGGTACTTACCTGGATGGACCTACCCATTCATGCAACAGTGAAAACTGCTGCATGGCCCTTCCACAGTTATAATGTGTGCTGTATATTATACCATAGATTCAATAAAATTAATTAGCATAATATTTGTACATTACAAGAATGAGTGTTATGTTATGAATGAATTATCTGTATTTTAATTTTCTTATCTTACAAGAGAATTTTTTTATTATGGAACTTCCGAAATTCAAATTAAATTAAAAATAAATAAAAAACGACATTCAGAAAAGAAAATAGAACTCCCATGAACTAAATCACAAAAACATAAATTAAACATAATAAATAATTATAAAGTCTAGTGCTTCAAGTTGAATGAACACATTCAATTCATAACTATTTTAGTTTACATGTCATTGTAAACAAGATGAAAAATGTTAAACCCACAAAGCTCACATGGCTAAGTTCCCTTGACATTATTTCAAGCAGCATTCATTGCTAAATTAATAAGGAATATTTTCTACTTATTTTTGTGGTTAAAATAAATTTTATACAAAAAAAAATATTTTTAATCACTTACTTGTAGTGGTGGCAAATAGTTCTCGCCAAGCCATTACCAGAACCGCATGGCAATATGGCAAGCGGCACTTCAGCTAAAGCCTGTTGCCAATCAAGTCGCTCGAACATACCATTTAATATTTCAAAAAGCACGCCGTCACCGCCTACAGCAACTATTCCGCGCCAACCGTAAACATTTCTTGTACGGACAAACTCACGTGCGTATTGTGCGTATTTAGTAACATGCAGATCATATGGTATCTCAGCTTCTTGTAGCAATGGGGCCACTTTAGTTTGAAAAAGTTCTCTGGCTCTGCCAGGGCCAGATTTTGGGTTAAGCAAAATTAATAATTTCTTATCATTTTGCGACGCCACGTAAGTGATTGGCTGATCGGCTATCAAACATTTAATACTAGTTCTCCATTTTTGTGCTTCTTTATTATTATCTTCATATTTATCATAAGACCTAAATCGTAATGTTATTGTCGTTCTTTCTCTTTTCAAAGTGCGCCGACTGCGCTTTAGAATGTAAGCGTAAATGTATAGATATGCGCTAATATCGTTTTCATCAAGGTCTCCACTATTTTCTTCAACCACTTTCAGCTGCTGATGACCAACAAATGAACTGCAAACACACGATCCAGCCCCCACGCGCCGTCTTTTGCTTCTCATACACTTGCTACCGATGATATCGCGCAAGGGAATCGTCTGCTCTTTAGAACTATCATCGGTTTCTTTAGTTAATGACAACCCTTTAGAAGTAAGACGAACACGAAATACAGACTTTTTCTTGGAAAGAATGTAAAAGGTTTCTTCAAGATATACTTGCTCTTTACAATCAACATTATCCTTCTCTTTTACGTTCGATACGTCCTTAGGCAACTTTGGCTCCGCCATAACTGCAGGAGTCTGGACTGCTAGGCTAGGCTAGCAGACTTACTTTGAAGTTTGACTTTGACATATTCCAAAGTCGCAGTGTTACTAACTCTTGAAAATATTTGTCCCTAAAGCCAAATCCCCTAAAACTCCCGAATAAAATAATATTTTTAAGTCAATAAAATTGCCCTTCATTAATACTGGCCACTTCAAACAAAAAGTTCACTTCAAACAGAAGTTTTGACTGACTGTGAATTCTAAATACTAATTTATTTTGTTTTAAAAACCTGAAATTCTTTTAACAAACATAAACTTTAGTTTATTGATTAGTTTTGTATTTTTATTAAATTTGAACATTTTTCGTCATAATGGATACTTTAAAAATTCGTGTAATTATGGAATATGAGTAAACGGCACGTAACACCAACAACGTTTACGGAGAGGACTTTACACACGAACGCACAATTACCCGCTATTATTTTACGAAATATTATAACTTGTAATTAGAATAGAAAAACAAAAACAATAACATACATTTGAACAAACAAATTCAAAGGCAGCGTTGACTAAGCATAGTTTTTGAGAGTTTGGAAAAATTTGGCTCATATCTTGTTGTTTTAAGTTGCAAACAGGACGCTAAATTTCCAATTGTTAGTTGGCTTCTTACTTTACTTTTAATTATATTCATGCAAGCTCACACAATACGTTGATCCGAAGATAGTCAGCACACCAAATGCCAACTTCTACCTAATCGATGATTTTGTAGTTGCCAGACCTCCTATCGAGCGCGTCCCCAGGTGGCGCATAGGGGAATGTCACCCAGAAATGGGTGATACCGGGAAACTGGCGTGGACCAAAACTGGCAAGGGGGGCGTCCTGGTGATCCCTTTCAGGTCCCAGGGATGCCAAAAGGCTTAATGCCCTACGAGGCAGAGCCTTCTAGGCGGGCCTTAGTTGCTCCCAGTATCCCTCTTTCGTGAGAGGGAACAAGGGAAGCAACAGGGGGGGATAAAGGGGAGGGGGGGGGGGTGAAATAGGCTGAGTGTTTGCGTGATATATGGAAGGAAGTCTCCGAAAGGAGACGTTTGACTCGCGCGGTGTGTATGACAAGTACACTCAGCTTTGCCGACACCGGGCGAAGTCGGTACCCTGTTGCAGGAGTCGTGGCGTGTCTCGCGGCCTGCAGCAGAGCTGAGGGTCTTGCCTTTACCGGCAGGACCGCGAGGAGTAAGCCTCACTAAAAATCCGTCGATTCCGGTGCTGCAGTACGCGGCGAAGGCTCGAAAGAGCGGCTGGGGCGTCAAACCAGCCATTAGCGGCCAAGCCTGGGTACCTCCCCCTGGGGGTCCCAGATGTGTGTAGGGTTACCGGGCTACACTGTTGTTTAACTTATATTTGTGGGATCTTTATGGAAACATCGAATAAACCAAATCCCAAAAATGACATAGGCGTTAATATGGACTCAGATTTGCTATGTTAATTGGTTGGTGAAGGACGCGTGGGCCTGAGAAGATCTGCGTCTGTTGGAGAGACGACCAGGGTGTCTGAGGGTAGACCCTCGAAATTTTTATGTTCGGAAGCGCCCGAGAAAAAAAGGTGAGGACCCTAACTTCAGTGGGACCTTGAGTGACGACGAGCAGCCAGCTCAAAAAGTGTTTGCTGGGAAAGGAGGACGGGGTCGCATTGCATCCCCGTTTTAGTTTAGGATAAGCGGGGAAAGCACCTCAAGCGAAATGAGGTTCAGGGGGAAACACCCCTGCAGGCCGACTATTTGGAGGCAGGTGGCGTAAGCCGGAAAAAGGCGAGCGCAACTCAAGACAATGACGGTGAAGTACCCGGTGAAAGGGGCAGGTCACGTACGACAAGGGGTAAAAGCAAAAGAACGCGCAGCAAGAGAACTTCAGGCTGAGCAAGAGGTAGTGGAAGCTTCGCGTAAAGCTAATTTAAGACCTATCTGCCCCTCAGAGACCTGTGAGAGCGACAAGGGCGTGAAGGTCGTCCTGCGGGAGCGAGTGCTCCAACAGGTGTCAATAATAACGCATGTTGCTACCAAATCGTCCAACCTTAAGGGCACGTTTGTAAAGGCCCTCAAGGATGCGGCAATGCAAATAAGCAGTGCGGTGGAGGCTCTAAGCAAAACCTCGGCGTCAGAGGAGACCAAAAAGTTGGCTGCGGATAATTCGCGTCTAAAAGCGGAGCTGGCTGAACTCCGAAGCCGACTGACGGCATTACGAGCTGACCTGAAGGAGACGCAGCGTCGGAACGCAACATTAGCTACTCCCCTCTGTACTGTATTGCAGGAGCCAGAGATACTGCAACGATCCATAATGGAGGCGGTGGGTACGATGATCAATGCCCGGTTTGAGGGATTAAAAGACAGGTTACTGCCCGAGAAGCGCTTTCGTCCAGCACTAGCCGTAGATAACCGAACGACCCAGTCGTCTGCACCCGCCATAAAACCAACCGCGGTTAGCGACGCTAGACCGACCGGGACACCAGTTCTTGCCACGGGAGCTGGGCTATCTGTACCATGTTTGCAAGAGCCAACTTCTAAATTGGTAAGGAAAAAGAAGCAGCATACGCCCGGGAACACCAACCTGAGTGTTTCAAGCGCCTCGCCATCGGCAACACCAGGACATCCCTCGGAGGAATGGACGCTGGTTACCCGGCGCAGAACTGGCAGATCTGGCACAGGTGCCGCAGACAAAGCGGCAAGTCCCAAGGAGTGGCAAAAGACCACTACTACTACCAAACCGAGACCGATCTGAACTGGGCATAGTATTAGTCAGAGAACAGTGCACCTCGGAAGTTGACCGCAGTAATACATGCTTCCGCTGTGGCTAACTGGGCCACATGGCTGGCCAGTGTTCGGAAACGCCTCATTGTCTGGTATGCGCGGTATTGAACAAGTCTGCCGGACACAAAATTGGAAGCAGTGCTTGCACCGCAACCAGGCCTGAGAAGAGGAAGCGACGACAAGGTTCCACTGGGGCACCTCCGCAGTCGCATTTATCCCACCAGCCAACAAATGTGGCTAGGGAAGAGGGGATTCCTATGTCCATTTCATAGTGAATGGCCACCATATGGTTCTTGCAGGTGAATACTAACCACTGTGCCAGAGCTCAAGATCTTCTGCTCCAGAGCATGGCACAGTGAACTATACAAGTGGCTATCGTAGCAGAACCATACTTTGTCCCCTCAGTTGACAACTGGGCTGGGGACCATTCTGGCACGGCGTCTACAACTACGAGTTCCGTTCCTCTTAGTATCGTAAGCAGAGGTCCAGGCTTTGTGGGGGCTCGGCTGGGGGAGATTGTTGTCGTAGCGGTCTACTTCTCTCCCAATAAAACCCTGGCCGAATTCGAGGTCTATTTGGACCCACTAGGGTCACTAATCACTACTCTACGCCCAGACCTCAACCCTTTAGACATCAAATTATGGTCACTTTTAGAGGATTGACACTGAGTCTCCTAAAAAAACTTTTGGAGCAAGCAGTGGCGAAATTTCCCTTGGAAACAGTGCGTGACTCCATAGATTCGTGGCCAAACAGATTAAAGGCCTATATAAAAGCTAAAGGTGGCTATTTCGAATAGAATTTTTTTTTTTTTTTGCTGAGACGTTAATAAATATGTAGGTATACATTTTTATAATATTACATTACTTAATTTAAAAAAAAATGCATTTTCATTTGTAACAGAACTTATGGCTGGACTAGGTATTTATCAAGACCTTCATTGGAAAAAAAAACAAATTGCTTTAGAAAAAAAGAATCGAATCAAAAAATAACTAATTAAAAAACATGTAACTTTGTAAAAAAAGAATAATAAATTGTTTAAAACGAAGTTAATAATGGGTCAAAAAGAAACCCGCAGAAACTTATCCTGGACAGGCCTAGATCAACAGAATTTAATAATAGTTGTTTGATTGACATGAAAATGCTGAACGACAATTTAAAGAAGTTACCTAAGGGGTAATAATTGTAAAAAAAATTAAATGATAATAATTGTTATGACGTCAAGTAATTTTTTTTTTGTGAACACTATATTACAAGATGTGTGACATTCATCATATTGAGGATTTGGTTATAATTATGTTTTTGTTAACTTTATTTACATATTAAACTAAAGTAACTTTAGTTGACGCCATTAATGTTTTTCCTGCTATTTATAAATTAACATAATATGTAGTTTAATATTTAATGATATTTAACTCCTCTATAAGTACCTAAGATATGGAGAGTATAGAGTACAAAGCATCAAACTTTAGAATAAATACCAAAATTATAGTAAAAAATGCAACTCTGCATCCGCGACAATAATACTAATAGACCACAATTTTTTCCGTTCATTTTTATCTTTTACGACCAAAGAGAATGTAATCACTACGTCTATGAGACGGGACTCCCATACTAACCAAAAATATCAGTTTACGCAGCACTCCAATACCAACCATACCACAAAAGTACCACAAAGATGTCAAACAACAAGAGTACCAACGTAACGAACCAAATAGTGCTTAACCAAGCTAGCTTAGCTTCTTATCGATATCGATAAAAGATACTAGGTAGAAATCGAGGTTTCAACTTAATATTTTTTTATTAATTTTAGTAGGTAAGCATCGAGTCCGTATTTATGTCCAATGTTGATAAGGGGATATTTGGTAGAAGATTGGACTTTAATACGGACCCGAAATAAGATAAAAAACGGTTCTGTCAATTAAAATAAAATTTTATTACTGAAATGAAATTTGTTTCTTGATTCTTCAGCCAACAGCTGTTGTCCTGCTGTACACGAGTCTGGAAATAATTGAAATATAAAAATAGAATCAAAATCTAAAAATTATTTTAGTTTTCTTGCACACTCAGCACACGAAATTAATTATATGACGTATCAATATTACAGAGATTATGTTTAAAAATCCTGCAAAATTCACCTATTCCGATCCTTGGCCATTTATGTAGGCACACCATTCAAATATGTGTAAACTTTGTGCCCCTACTATTTCACGCAACATTTTATTTCTTATTTTTTTTATATACATCTTATTTATTTTATAAACATTAACATAGTTATCGATATGTGGATATTACAGTTGCAGTACATCACTAGCACACAATTTAAATAAGATACATTTGTTAATTTTATTTGTTCCTAGTCTGCTCTACTTACATATGGCTGCAAAGTATTATATTTAAGTGCTTACATGGGCTTCATCTAAGGGAAATCTCGCCATAAACATCCTTTTTTCAAGATTCGAATGACTTGCTCGATTTTCACCAATTTCACAGGTCACCGTCTTTTTGGCATCTTGAATTAAAATTACAACTCTGATCACCTGTCATTAGTTGTCGTGAGAAAGTTTACTCTAAACAATTTAAATATACAATGAAATAAGCATTTACATTCAAAATACGCGGTGCGAAATTAAGTTTTGACAAACAACATGGCACTTCTTGTATTGCAAGAAAGAGAAACCGCATTGAGGGAGAGTGATAGCAATGTCCGCCATTATTTGCCGCGTAAAGTCCATAGAAAATTTTTTTGTTCCTAGTTGCGCCAGACTGTTTACGACTTTGAATTAGTTTGAATAAAATGTCGTTTTTGATACGATTTCGATATTCAATTTTTTATATCAATATATCAGGCAAAAATATCGATATATCGATATTTTTTCGGCATCTTAGTCGACGTACGTAAATAATGTAAATGACTAAATATTGTGATTGTGTTGACTTAACGATTAGAATTTGCATATTATAGTAAAATTGAAATAATTATCCGAAGAAGAATTAGATATTCTTTTATTAGTTGTATAAGACGTTAACAAAACTGCGTTTGTTTTACAAATAGATCGTAAGACCATGGAGCACAGAGTATTAGAACTTTACAGCGGTATTGGGGGAATGCATATTGCTTTAAAAGGTATAAACCAATTATAACTTGCGGTGTATACCTTTCCCCAAATTTATTAAGAGGAAAATAAATTACAGCTAGTCCATATGGGAATCGAACCGATAACTTCGGATCATCAGTGAAATTGTGACAACAATATTTGTATCTTTTTTTCTTTTTACAGAATCAAGAATAAATGGAGAAGTAGTTGCAGCTGTGGATATAAATACAATTGCTAATGAAGTTTATTGTCATAACTTTCCGGCGACGTATTTGATAAACAAAAATATACAATCTTTGACACCTAAAGAAATTAATAGACTTAATATTGACACTATACTTATGTCGCCCCCTTGTCAACCTTTTACAAGAAATGGAAAATATTTAGATCAGAGTGATCCCAGAACTGATTCTTTTATATATTTAATTGGACTTATTGATAAATTAGAAAAACTTGCATATATATTGTTGGAGAATGTAAAAGGCTTTGAATGTTCAAATGTAAGAGATCTTTTTCTGGCTAAATTAAAAGAATGTAATTATGAGTATCAAGAGTTCCTTCTCTGCCCTTCTAAAATAGGAGTTCCGAATTCTAGACTTAGATATTATTGTATAGCAAGGAAGACGGCTTCGGCATGGCATTTTAAAAGAAAGGAAGAAATAGTAGGTATACAGTTGGCACACCATAGTAATTGACCAAATGAGTAATAATGGGCTAAGCAGATATTTTTATTTCAGCTAGCATAAAGCCAGATGGCGGTTCACTTGATGTTAAGTGACAACTGCCACCCATGCAGTTTTGCCACACCCATAGGGTTGCAAATGCGTTCGTACCTTTTATTAAAATGGGCCCTACTACATCACTCACCGGACGAAACTCAGAAGTGTACGCACTTCCACTTTACACCTGTCTTCTGTGAGGTTGTTGTACTTCCCTGGACAAGTCAGCCCATTTATGCAATATTGAACTGTACTCGACACTCAGTATGAATATATATTATTATGTTTAAAATATTATTACAGATATTGTATTGTGTACATTTATACTATGCCACTTAGAAATTGCAAGAAATGAGGTTACGGTCTGTCAATTTACTGAGCATAGCAATAGCAAGTAGTTATATAGTAAGCATGAAAGCAAAAAAAAAAATGTGGTGGCCAGAATGTATGGGTTTGACTAATGACCCATGGAAGTAAAATTTGAAATAATTTGAAAGAGATTTGCATTGATCATTTGGATATATAGTCAGGAAGATCTAGGTGACTAAGTAAGAGAATGCTCTAGTCATATTATTTTCTACCAAATTTACTAGGAATAAATGTTTATGTATCTAAAAACTACATCCTCATCAAATCACACAAATCTTTGTCACTGAAAAGAATTTAATAAAATCAGTAAGAAGCTAAATTCTAGCTGATCTGTTCTCTTTTATCTTTAGAATATCAAATTAGCTAGCATTATTTGGACGATTTTTGTATTTAGTTTCACAGGAAAGTTGACTTGACCAATAAATAACTGTAGATACATTTTTGGCCTTTTACCTGTCCGATTTTTAACAGCTTTCATATTTGTTAGTCTCATAAATAAGCTTATGTTTAACACACTCTTTCACAGATTGGGGTTCTACCAAAAGCCTTTGATGAACCATATACTTTAGAAAGTATAATAGAAAAAGATGTCCCAGACACATTTGCATTAACTAATAAATTATTAAAGCGTGGTAACATATTGGACATTGTTCATAAGGACTCAAAAAGGTCATGCTGTTTTACCAAAGCTTATACACACTACTTAGAAGGAACAGGTTCAGTTTACACTGAGGAGTCGAAAGAAAAAGTGAAGAAATGCTATGAAGAAGCAAATTCTTTTGAAGCTGGCAGTGATAACTTTGTTGAAGCATTGAAAGAATTGAACTTAAGGTTTTTTACACCAAAGGAAGTTTCCTCGCTAATGTCATTTCCTACTTATTTTAAATTTCCTGATACAATATCCAAAAAGCAATGTTATAGATTGCTTGGAAACAGTATCAACATCAAAGTTGTAAGTGAATTGTTACAATTGTTATTCGACTAATACACATTTTTTTTAAGGTATTTAATTTCAATTTATTTGTATATAATGAGTACAATATTATAAAGATATCCAACACATGTTTTTTTATTTTTGTATTTGGCAACTATTTTCAGGTTATATTGAACCATTAGCTAACACTTGACGTGCTCTTCTCTTGGCTTTATGGTTAAGGACTCTCATACGTAACATAACAGCTATAGAGGATATTGTTCCTAATACAAAAGACCAAATTGTGAATTTCCAAAATGCTCTTTCTTCTAAATATGCAACTCGATCACAACTGCAAAGTAAAATTAGTATTTTATTTATTACTTAAAATGTAAATGTGTACAAGCTAAATAATAAACATACCTTCTAGTAACTGTTTCTCCATTTTCACATTTTAATATTTCCTTAAAACTAGTATGTATACAAACTCCTATACTTTTACTTCTTATTTCAAAGTCTGGAACAGCACATTATATTGTAATAAAAAACTGAAGTTCAAAAAATAAATTAATACATAACAAAAATAAATGGATCATTCTTTCACATTTATTAATTCTTATAGAAAAGTCAGAAATAGCTTATGCTTTCTATATTACAGAATTAAGTGTTCACAATTTTTAAGAGTAAAATATTAAATAACATATTATTTTATACATAATATTAAATAGTAATAACATATTTTAATTTGGTAGGACCACATAACAGTGTTCGCTGTTGCACGGTTGTGTTAGGCCGTCTGGGTTAGTACCATGACCACACAGATGACCAGCGTGAAGTAGAAGTATTACACTTCTGTGTTTCGTCTGGTGAGTGAGGTAGCCGGAGCCAATTTATTAAAAGGTGGCATAACATCTGCAACCTTATGGGTGTTGCAAATGTCCATGGGCGGCTGTTATTAACCGCCAGCTCGATTGCCACTTTCTCAAAAAAAAAGGATTGCCATGTGTATATTTGTTAAATACATAAAATCTGCTGTATGAATTAATATAAGCTATATAACTTCCAACAGTAGTCATTCCAAAAATTACCTGAGCATGGATGACATTCACTAATTACTTTGTACGGTTGATGCATCCAGCATGTCGAATTATTTTCAGTAGGAAAGGTTTTGTTTTTCATTTTGTGGCTCCCTGAGAGTGTTTCAGCTAAATGTGATTCTAGAACTAGTATCACAATAGTTAATCTACAAAAACAGAATTTTGTCATGTAACGGCGAAAAGGATTACAAAAATTTCTATATATTATTAAACTTGTCAAATCAGATACTGAAAAAAGAAATTAATGCACACATACATCCCTAAACTAACAGTTCCTAAGAGCATACATCTTTTTGAACACGTTTCAATCATTGTTAAGTTTACGATAGGTTTTATTTCAAAAAGAAGATAAAGAGAAATTTCATGAAATATGTAGTAGTTTTTAAAAACTATAATTATTGACAGACATTCTGTTCTCGATTTATTTTATTTTACGACATCTGACATCCTAATTGTTTATTGTTCTGTCTGTCACTTAATCAAGCTCAAAACGTCAAAAACAGACATGTATTCGAAATGTCAAAACTTACTTGGAAACGGTTACGCAGTACATATCGTTTTATATCGAAACTTTGGTATCCGTTATTGCAAGCCCGTTCCGCAAATAATACCAAGAAAAAAATTTGAGTGAATTTATAAAAATACGAAAGAAAAATAAAAATAAAAAAGGCTATAATTAAAATAAATTTTAAACGATAGAGAAAAATTACTAATGAATTAATCAAAAGCAAGAATTTCTGGTCCCTTATAGTTTTCGAGAAAAAAGTATTTATAAAGTTACCCTGTTCCAAAAGAACATTTTCCACGTTTTATTTATTAAAAGATAAAGGCGACCGACTACGAAAGCCACCCTATTCTTGTCCCGAGACACGTATACAGGATGATTTTTAGACGAACTACATTCTTTGACATAATATTAATAGAGAATTCCATAATTCAATGTGTCCGGTATTTATAAAATCACCCTGTATATTTTGTTGATTATAAGAATAAGAACAAGAGATATATATTGTAGATTTAAAAAAAAATAACGAAAACCAATATTATGAATGGAAAATCGAACTTTCTTCCTTTTGTTGATGAAATTCATTAATTGTTGAAAGTTAAAACTTTCTTAATTAGTTACAATACGAATGAATGATAGTATGTAAACTCAAGTGTGGGCTGGCACACCTTTTTGGATATTGTATCAGGAAATTTAAAATAAGTAGGAAATGACATTAGCGAGGAAACTTCCTTTGGTGTAAAAAACCTTAAGTTCAATTCTTTCAATGCTTCAACAAAGTTATCACTGCCAGCTTCAAAAGAATTTGCTTCTTCATAGCATTTCTTCACTTTTTCTTTCGACACCTCAGTGTAAACTGAACCTGTTCCTTCTAAGTAGTGTGTATAAGCTTTGGTAAAACAGCATGACCTTTTTGAGTCCTTATGAACAATGTCCAATATGTTACCACGCTTTAATAATTTATTAGTTAATACAAATGTGTCTGGGACATCTTTTTCTATTATACTTTCTAAAGTATATGGTTCATCAAAGGCTTTTGGTAGAACCCCAATCTGTGAAAGAGTGTGTTAAACATAAGCTTATTTATGAGACTAACAAATATGAAAGCTGTTAAAAAATCGGACAGGTAAAAGGCCAAAAATGTATCTACAGTTATTTATTGGTCAAGTCAACTTTCCTGTGAAACTAAATACAAAAATCGTCCAAATAATGCTAGCTAATTTGATATTCTAAAGATAAAAGAGAACAGATCAGCTAGAATTTAGCTTCTTACTGATTTTATTAAATTGTTTTCAGTGACAAAGATTTGTGTGATTTGATGAGGATGTAGTTTTTAGATACATAAACATTTATTCCTAGTAAATTTGGTAGAAAATAATATGACTAGAGCATTCTCTTACTTAGTCACCTAGATTAATAATTTACCTAAATTACCTAAATTTACCGTCATATTCGAATAATATTTTTCATTCCCTGAAAACAGGGATAAAATGACATTTTCTGAAAATGAAACCTAGCTAGATCGATTTTTCGCCCCCAAATCTACGCATATACTAAAATTCATGAAAATCGCTGGAGCCGTTTCCGAGATTCCGATTATATATATATATATATATATATATATATATATATATATATATATATATATATATATATATATATATATATATATATATATACAAGAATTGCTCTTTTAAATGATATGACAGTAAATTTCGCTGCAAAAAAATGTTATAATAGCTCGCTCGGTAATCGGGTGGCCCCAAAACAGACGGACGCGGTTCGTATCATGATCATTTACACCCATAATTTTTTTCTATACCAGATAATTTTCTTTATTTTTAATTTTTTTATTTCCAAAATATATCATTTTTTTTAATTTTTAAAACAGATATTTTATGATATGGTAACTTTATTAATATTTATATAACAGTGATGTGACGAGTTGGATTTTTTTTGGCTCGAGTTACTCGAAGTCTCAGGTAGGCACATAGGCGGTGAGGAGGGGGGACGACTCGGCCAACTCGGAGAGCACGAGTCAGCTCGACTCGAGGCTAATTAGATAGGAAGTAATAATGATGTGGAATCGTGATGTTATGTGGCTGCTACTCGAGTCGATTCGCAACTTCGTTTGTGGTCTGAACTAATCCTCTCCTTTTTCTATACACCTCGACCTCGAACAGTGTCCGACGGTTGGGATTTCAAAGACAAAATTTACAATCAATTGGCACTAGTATGCATTTTATTTCGAAAATCAATCAACAAAGGGTATGCTATTCCAGCGCAGATCTCAACATCGTGTTAAAGAAAATACGACAAAAAAATACCGCCATCTATCGCCTCAAAGTCATACTTATAAAATGTAATTGTACATAGTCGATTGCTTATCGAAAATAAAGTTAAAAAAGTTTCTGTTTTTATAGCAAAGAATTCCCACGCCACACTTCTGTTATTTGACGTCGTTACAAACAAATCAAAACATATCACTAACAAATCAAAAATGTCAGTTCGCACGCGGATTGCCAACGGCCAACTAATAAAATCAAATAACAAAATATCAACCAAAAAACAAAATAAACTTTTAAAGCGGTTTATCATTTGCGAAATTCCGTTTCCGATCCTAGCCGAACGAGCCCGACTCAACCTGAGTTCTATTCGAGTTGATGCGAGTAAGATGCAACTCCTTACGATACGAACGGCGCGCGCGCGTGAAACGTAACTTTACATTTCACTCAACTCGAGTTGATGCGAGTTGATGCGAGTTGCAACGCCTAACGAACCGCGCGCGCGAGCCACGTGTGTAACTCGGAACAACCGTGAGGCCCCCGCGTCCGGCTTGCGTTCGGACGACCGAATTGATTCGTGTTGCTTAAAACTGAACTCGAGTTGACTCGTTTAAGGTTTGACTCGAGTTACTCGAGTCAAATAACTCGAGTCGCACATCGCTAGTATATAATATCGCCATGTTTGTTGAAAACGTAAACTGAATAGAAAGCGGTATTTTTTGTTGTTTAGACAGTTACGGTAGTAGAAGACTGTTTATTGCACATTGTGATAAGAGTTATGTAAAAAAAGGCCTGTGGGTGTTTGTATAAATAGGAATTAAAATATAAAACTATGGCCCTGCCTAACGAAGTTCCAAGATCATTCCACCTTTATGTGACACATGTGGATGGAGAGGGCCATTTTTTGAAGATAAGTGGACAACTTGATCAGCCTTCTTCGTTGATGGTGGAGAGCTTGTTTGAGACTGCTCGAGAAAATTTGGAAAAAGGTATAGGTGTTGTACCGCCTGCTGCCATACATGAAGGTGTCATTTGTGCCGCGAAATACAAAGATGGCAAGTTTTATAGAGCCAAGATTATCAACACTACAAATCTGGCTACTGGTTTGGTCGGAGTTCATTTTATCGACTACGGCAATAAGGATATAATCTCTTTGAGTACTATTAGGTTTTTAGACAGTTACGATCCGATGTTTTTGCAGCTACGCGGACAGTCTACGGATTACTATCTGTCTCGTGTCATGCATCCGTCAGGAAGGTGGGAAGAGCCGCTGATATTAAAGCTCCAAAGCTTACTCTGCTATGCTGAGTATCCTGCCACTATTGAAGTGCAAACACGCAGTTTACCAATTATTTCGATTCAGTTCAAAGGGAATGATCTCTCTTCACATCTTGTTACAAACAGATTTGGTATAGCTTTGCCATTAGCTAAACAGGAAGTGTTGCTACTCCAACTTCTTGAGAATCAACAGACACATAATTGGCCACCAACATTTTTAAATGACACACCTTTCTCTGAACATGTTCCATTTTTGATTAATCAGAATTTTCCTAATCCAGCATCAGCTATGCGTTTAAATCAAAATATGACATTTAATGGGAGCATTCCAGCACCATCACCTATTACTCAAAGGCTGTTAATAAATAAGGGTTCTAGGAATCCTGTTAATTTAAAGGCTCCTTCTCGTCAACCTCAACATGTCGGAGCAGTGTCAGTGCCCATGTCAATGCCATCTGTATTACCATCAGTATTACCCACCAAGCCACCATCTCCTAAAAAATCTATTACATACAAAAGTCGTCTATTGGAAGTCAACTCACAGCACAAGGTTTTTGTCTCATTTGCTGAGGAAGGGCCAGAACTTTTTGCTGTCCAGCTTGTTAGTGATGCAAAGAAACTACAGGACATGATGGATGAGATAAACAGAAGGCCACATAGCAGTCTTACTGAACCACCAATGATAGGCACTGTATGCCTTGGGAGAATGTCAGGTGATAGGATCATATGCCGAGCAATAGTTATGAATCTCTCTGGCTCTCAATGCAAACTGTTCTTTGTTGATTTTGGTGACACAGAGATGGTATCATATTATGACATTTTTGATATACCAGAAGAGTTTGTGAAACCAAATGTGTTTGCTATGAGATTTTGTTTATCCGGAGTGAAGAAGTTGGAAAAGGGTCCACATTTGAATGAGACTTTCAAGCAGCTTGTTAATGGCAAGGTCCTTACCCTGAAAGTGGTCGCACCTGAAGGACCTCCTCTTATTCAATATGGTGAGCTGTTTTTGGACAACAAGAATATCCTCGACTTGCTATTGGCAAATATGAAAGATCAGTTGCAGTTTAAATGGATGGAAATGTTACCTCTAAACAGCAAGAAATCTGTACTTGTTTCATATGTAGACAGTTGCATTAAGTTCTATGTGCAGCTTTCTGATAAGATTGATGAATTGAATGCAGTCATGGATGCTGTCAAAGTGCACTGTGAGAGTAGAACGTCCCCCGGTGAGCTACCAGTAGGCGCTGCTTGTTGTGCCCGATTCCCTGATGATGATAATTGGTACAGAGCACGAGTTCGAGATACAAAAGGGAACAAAGTTGTTGTAGCATATGTCGACTATGGAAATGAGCAAGAAGTTGATATTTCAGACTTGAGAACTATTACTCCTGATTTAATTAGGTTACCAGCACAAGCATTGAAGTGTGCTCTAAAAGTAAGTAAAAATTTCATTCATTCATAAAATTTAAGTTATAATAGCCTAGAATTAATTTAAATAAATATTTAAAGACTACAAAGCTTATTAATGTTCACATTCCTATGCTTTAATGTATTTAATGGTTAAACATTTATTTAATCGGATGTTTTAATTTATGTATGTTTGTTTTACAAGGGATTTGAAAATAAACCAGTTGAAACAAAGACATCAAACCAGTTGGAAATGCTAGCTTTAGAGAAGACTCTAATGGCTCATATAGTTGGTGTACTCTCCAGTGATACCATGCTGGTTACGTTAGTGGATGATACAGTTTCACCACCACTGGATGTTGCCAGGAGAATGAATCAACTTTCACAGCCAAGGAACATTGAGGTGAGAAATACATATAATAATCAACATGAGCATAAAGTTTGGAATAACATAACTATGTGATAACTTGCATTCGGCATTGTGCAAATGTACAATCAAAAACTTTCGCATTGTATATGTTTTAACATCAACATTAATATTTTGAAAAATCCATTGATTTAAGTAAAAAAAAATTAATATAATTGGATAAAAGATTGATTCAAGAAATATTTGCTCTTAAGATTGTTTGAACTTTACATGAAGACCTGATTGGCTTAGTGGATTGTGGACTGATCTCTTACAGGGTTTGGGTTCAATTTGCACTACTGGAAATATTTAATGTAAACAGCCTTTTGTAGTATGTAGATGTTCATATATATTTTAATAATATTAAATATAAAAGCTGCTGCCCGCGACTACGTCTGGCTACGACTACGAAGGCGTAACATTCAGACAGAAATAAAACATAAGCTATAATTTATGTACACATTTTATGTATAAAAATTAGCTGTTTATTAAGCTATAATTTATATACATATTTTATGTATATAAATAAGCTGTTTGCCTGTCCGTCTGTTCGCGATAAACTCTAAAACTACTGCACCGATTTGCATGCTAGGAAGGTTTTAGTAGTACATATTTTATGTATATAAATTATAGCTTATGTTTTATTTCTGTCTGAATGTTACGCCTTCGTAGCTTATATTTTATTCTGATGTATAAGCCATATTATAGTAATGTTTCAGAAATCTATTCAGTGGTTTTTGCGTGAAAGAGTAACAAACATTCATCCATACATACAAACTTTCGCCTTTATAATATTAGTAGGGATTTAGTAGTTACCTAGGACTCGACAGTACAGGCTTTCTTTAATTTGGGACTAGCTAAAAATGTTCTGAAATATGTATTATTCTATGTACATGAAAAACTATAATTATTTGCTATTTGTAATGCTTTTGCTTGTACACAGAAGACAACACATGTTAACCAAAAAGTCTCTGTAAGGTTCATGATGTTACTTTAGTTTTTTATTTGGCTGAATCTTCAATTGTTATTTGTTAAATTTAGGTATATAGTAATTATACATATTCTGCATAACCGCAATTTCACATTCATACGGTCAGTAACGCATCAGCAAATCTTCATATTACAAAAGGCCTTTTGTACAATATACTAGTAGCTTGTGCTGGGGACTCCTGCCCATTAGCCTAGACAGGGTTGGCACAATATGTGAATTGTATTATTAATATTATAGGCCAAGTTTTTTAAATTAATATTAGTTAAATGAAGCTAGCAATAATTTCCACGCACATACATTTATTACAAGATTGTCTATTCATCACTTGGCAACTAGCTCATGAGGACAATTGGATAAAATACATCAGTTTTATAGAGAATTTAATTGATAAGGCTTTGTATTTTAAAGTTGTTTGTTCATGATCAATCGCGACTATTGTACCTTAAATTGCCCGCGTAAATTATAAACATCGTTTCATGTATGTAAATAATCACCCATGTCCTATTATGTGTTGATTCATATATATAAACCGTTGTAATTATTTTATGCAACACTGCAAACAAACCATTTCACGCTCTTACTACGACGCATAATGCGACGATAAGAAAAAGAAAGGTATAGTAGCTACGGTTACGTTATAAAAACTTCTTAATGCTCATATATTAAACTGGCGTAATATATAATATACAGTTAAACTGGCAATAAACGCAGCTCTAAAACTTCTAAAGAGTTCCGAATAACTAAACACTAGCAGAACATAAGCATACTTCCCTTTTGTTAATAAATTTAAAATATCTTTCACTACTTTAAGAAATACCAATGTATTATGTGCGAGCTCATGATCGCAAATATTGGAGAACATGTATAGAAAGCTTTATGTTATTCGGTTTGAAGATTGATCAGCGAGAGATCAAAGTACAGTTTAAAATAACACTAATGGAACGCCCAGACAATCTTTGTCTTACATCATCACTATCACTATCACTATCACTACATATTATAAAACAAATTCTTCTACCGCGTCTGCCTGTCCGTCTGTTCGCGATAAACTCTAAAACCACTGCACCGATTTGCATGCTGTTTTCACCAATGGATAGAGTGGTTCTCTAGGAAGGTTTTAGTAGTTAATTTGTCAAGTTTTTGTATACATTGCCTAAAATATAATGGTATTTGTTGGATGTGTCGGAAAAAAATAAGCCTTGTGGGAGCTTTCAACGAAAACCCTTTGAGATATAACAAAATGATGTATCATGGAATTATGTGTCTTAAATAGGTCTACAGAAAAGTCCTTGATGGCATATGTCTATATCTTAAGGATAACATACTATATCCATATTAATACTTTAAAAAATGGGCAATTATAAATAGAAATCTATTAACATAAATACAGTATTAATCCTTATCATATTAAATAAGTTACAGACTAAGCCATTTAGTGCACATTATTTTACTCTTCTACACCATATAATTTAAACGAATATCTTAGGAGTAATTGCAAAAAATTATGGACGCGGGAATAAAATTAAAGTACCTCGCTTTGTTTGACGCAATCGCCGATCTTCCCCGCACCGTCATGCCTACTGTTTATCCCTGAAATAGGTTTCCATGGGTTGCGGGAACGGAATAAAATATTATTTACGGTCGCGATAACCGTCACCCACGCGAGCGGCGGCGACCGGCGAGGCGGGCATTATAGTGTATGTATAAAATAAATATTCCACGGTACATTCTTACAAAATACTATCTAGTCCCAAACTAAGTAAAGTGGGTGCTAGGGGCACTAGGTAACTGATAAACTTAAAGATTTAAAAAAAAATATAATTGGTAACCTAACATAGCGAAAATAATATTGTTATTACTACACGACATGAAAATAATTAATTATATTAATATTATTAATTCTTCCAAGTTCTATTTCAGAAAACAAAATAAATTAATTTACAGAACATTATACTACATTTTAAACTACATTCGTTCCTTACTAATATTATAAAGGCGATAGTTTGTATGTATGGATGTATGTTTGTTAATCTTTCACGCAAATACTACTGAATGGATTTTAATGAAACTTTACAATAATATAGCTTATAAACCAGAATAAGACATAGGCTATAATTTATATACATATTTTATGTATATCTGTCTTTCTGTCTTAATGTTAAGCCTTCAGCGTATTCTACGCAGACGTAGGTGTCAGCCAGTAATAAATACACGTTCATCAGGCTAAAGCGGTAACGCCGGTCCGCAAAGAAGCGTCGGATACCATCAGCTCCCCAGAAAGCGTTACGGACGACGGCAAAAGGAAGAGTTTTCGCCGCGAGAAGAGTTTCAGGGACGAGCGCCGGCCGCCTAGGGAGGGCAACGAGGAGTTCGGCCAACGAGGCGGCAGCTTTAGGGGCAGGTATTTAGAAGCTTTTGTCTAGTTCTCTTTGCGGTAGCTCAGCTTCCGGGCACAGTTAGTTCAAATCCCGGTGCAGTGATGGAAAAGATCGTGAGGAAACCTGCATAGGAACTTTCGAAGTCATCACCATCAACCTCCTGCCCTTATTCCACCTAGATGGGGGCATAACATGTGAAAGTATTTTATGCGGGTTTGGTTGTTTTTTACGACCTACCGCCTGTCTGACGTCAAACCCTCCTTGGGAAACAAACGCCCAGACCGGGAACAATGATCTGTGGGTCTTTGGCTTAGCAACTGCGCGGCTGAGTCAAATTTACAAAAGTCTGTCAACCGGCAGTGGAGTCGAGTGATGGACTATGCACTCATACCCTCTGAACGGAAGACGCCTTTGTTATTTCTTTCCTCAATTCTTCTATTTGCAGATGGAGCCAGCCACGGTGTTACAATCAAAAGAATTATGTCGCTTTTTGTTTGCATATTTTTTCATTTATACACACACCGGCACAATTAGCGGAACAGAAAAAAAAGTGAGACTATGAGATAATAACGCATATATTTGACGAAAATGTAATTAGACACAAAATAACAAATTGATTAACATCTTTTAACAACGACTTTGAAAAGTCTTCGTTATTTTTTATTGAAAAATAAAGAAATTTGAAATAAGTGAAATTTTTAGATGATTATGAACCATCACAAAAAATAAAAAAAAAGTAAGCATTAAATGATTTAACAATAAAATTAAAGCAAAATTAATAACGAGTGTTTCCCCCTCTTGCTCTGATTACGGTTTCCATTCGTCTGGGCATGCTACAGATTATGTTATCGATGATTTCTTGAGGCAACCGCCCCCACTCCTCAAGTAATGCGTTTCCAAGTTCATTCAGATTGTCGGGGGGTGGCATTCTGGATTTAACCCTTCTTTTTAGCAAGTCCCAGACATGCTCTATCGGATTCTTATCGGGGGAATTTGCTGGCCACTGCATCAACGGTATAGCTACGTGGCTCAGATATGCCTGTACCGATTGTGCACTATGAGCACGAGCATTATCTTGCATTAGAATAAAGTCGTCATCAATAAATGGGGCAAATGGTACAACATGTTCTTCTAAAATGTCTCTGATGTATCGATCTGCTGTCATGGTCCCTCCTGTGACTATCACTAACTCCGTACGAGCTCCCAAACATATCCCTCCCCAAACCGTAATCGAGCCGCCACCATAAGCCACTGTGTGTTCAAAATTAGACTGTATGTGGCGTTCTCCTTTGCGTCTCCATATTCGCTGTCTCCCATCGATCTGTTTTAAAAGAACTCTGCACTCATCAGTAAAGAATACCTGCTGCCATTCGTTCAAATCCCAATGACGATGTTCTCGCGCATAGCTTAATCGGTTTACGCGGTGACGTCTCTCAAGTTTTGGGCCTTTGGCAGGTATATACGACCCTAAACCAACTTCTTCAAATCTCCTGCGAACTGTACGCTCACTTACTCGTACTCCTCGAACGTCTTCCAGTTCATTTCGAGCTTGTACAGCCGTTAATCGCGTATTCCTACGAACTCCAAGTTGAAAAAAAACTGTCATCTCGCCTCGATGTACATCTTTTTCTACCTTGACCCCTCCTCCTCACAAAAGAATTAGACGATCTGTACCGCTGGATGCTGCGATGAATCGTTGATACTGGTCGACGAAGCCTTGAGGCAATCGATCTGTAGGTATGGCCATTTCTCCTCATTTCATCAGCCCTAATGATTTCTAGTGATATTAAGTCAGGCATAATAAAGAGCTTTTAATAAACAAAATTGCCTATAGAATAACAAATTTATAAAAAACCATTAAGTGCAATTTTTCAAAAAAAATACAATTACGTAGTTATTACTCGAACAAGTTGACAAAACGTATTGTTCGGGAAAATAAAACAAATGAATGAAAAAAGTGTATGTCATCTAATTTTCTATTTTCAAATTTGACAATAAATTAAAAAAATATCATAACTGGCCAGTTCCTCAAGTAAAAGATTTTAAAATCCTGCTTTTTTTTGTGTTCCGCTAATTGTGCCGGTGTGTATATATATATTTTTTTTTTGTTGAAAAGTTTCGTCGTATATTCTAATATTGAAGATTGCCAAGTATAAAAAGTTAAGGTTCGAAGTGAAAACTAAGGACGACGGTCGGACAATAGCTGGCTTTAATGCGCTCTTCGCTACTTGATCACGCGTAACGTTGCTAATTTGGCGGGCAACGCAACTTTCTAATACAACAGGCGAAGTAGTGTTTTATACGGTTAGATTGTATTAAGATATTAGGCGGTTGTACTGGTAAAAACAGATAATGTCTGTTTCGCCAGTACATGTGGTAACTGTCTTTCGTTTTATTTAGTCTGAATGACTACTAAATAAATCACAAAAAATATTTAACCACGAAGGTATGGATTCACAGTGTTTTGCATCAACGCTTTGAAATTTCGTCATAATATGTAATTATAAAACATATTATATTTAAAAATGTTGCTACTGAATAATGTGCAAGTCAATGTCAATTCTATGTCTGAAAAAGTAACAACAAATTAAATGTTTAATCAATTTGTTTTTTTCTTTCTTTTCTAAATGCCTTGTAAAACTCGTTTTTAGTGTTCTTACAAACGCATTATCTGGGTTTTTCTCCCGGATAAATTGTCGTTTTCTACGCTAAATTACATTTTAGATGAAATAAAATTATACTAGCAGTGCTTTCTGTTGGTTTATTTTTTTGGTTTATCCAGAAACAAATCTATTCGTTATTCAGTTATTGTGAGCTCAAGAATGTTGGCTAACTAAAACGAACTGTGATGCTATGTTTTAAGACACGAGGGCCTTTCTTTGTACGTATATATTTCCCGTACATTTATATTCCTTGTTTTTTTCTTATGATGATGACAAACGAGCTTATCCGATGGCGATGTTTTCTTCTGATGACGTCACGGTCGCGCTAAATGAACTTGCCCTTCTTTAGCCCTAATCTATTTAACCGTGTCGGTGGCGAATCTCATTTCTCTCCGCACGTCAATATTGTGTTTCACTTTGCCTTGATAACAAGTCATGTGTGTGTGCAATTATTATACGTATGTTTGTGTGGCAGTAGTGAAGGATTTGGTTTAGTACTCAGTGAGATCAATATATCTAATACAATGTATTGATTCGGTCAGTGGAATAACTCTTGTTACTTATGTGTAAAATATATAAAAAAAGTTCATGTTGCCCTTCATTTAAAATACCATAAATTACAAACTACAAATGACTATTTGTTACATTGTACGTTCATCTTGTGATATAAAGCTATAGCCAAAAACGGATTTACATTATTAGAGTAGTTAATATTATAACGGACATGAGATAAAGTAATTGAGATCTATATCAAAATACCAAAGGTTCGACCACTTCTAGTTTTGTAATTAATTTTATTATGGACTAATTACTCTTTGAAACGCAAAACGTCCGCAGCCGCTCGTAACACGGTAAACGGCGCTGCCTCCGGATAACTGTAAATCTCTCATTATCGTGCATTATCATTTTATGAGAAACGTGATGCCATGTGATTTCGTAAACCTCACGTCGAAACCACTCGAAATCTAGCGATTCGCCACGAGATAAAACCGTCGATGTTATTAAGTTACAACCGCGATACCAGCGTCCGCCTCTCCGCCTGGTGTTGGTGCAAAAAAGTAACAATACGACAGCATCATGGCTGCCTCGACCTTCGTCTGGGGTCTTTGAACCCCTTGCACGGCGTTTCAGTCGTTCCGCGGTTTCCTCATAAGATGTATAATAGGTCGCTCCCTCCGATATTCATTGCCTTTTTGTTGTGAAACGCCTTTAAATTTATTGAAAAGTAATTTGTGTGTTCGCTAATTAAGTGGTAATTCGTTTATTTTTTCTTGTAGCAGGGAATATAAGGAAGGTTTCGACAGGGCGGCGCCGGGACGCCACAGTGACAAGTTCGGCGGGAAACCCGATCGCGGTGACAGGTTTGTGGATTTTTTTTTAAGTATTATTATTAAGCTAGGGATAAAGATTAAAAGTGTGAGTGGCCAGGTTTTTCTTTTATTAGTATGATTTTTGAATAAGACTTTAATCCTTATAACGACATTCCCTATTTTAGTGTCGGGATAATCGGATGACGTCGATAGTTTTTTAAATTTGATAGTTGTGACTCACTTATATGATGAAAATGATTCACGCTTTACGCTTTATCTTAACTGTTATTTATTAAACGGTCAACACGCGACTTTGAACACTGGGTGCGTCGTTGCTTTAATCGATCGTCTACAGACGTATGGGCACCAATTTCCTCGTGTATGTGATCCGTTCAGTTTTTTTATTAACTTCACATTCAGAAATAATTTTAATGCGCAATTGGTCTCGGAAGTGTCGTTGTTGAGCTAGTTATCGCTTATTTCATATTTCTGTACCTCAGAGGTAAACAGCATTATGGGACAAAACACAAATTTTACAGGAGAGGCGAAAATGCGTGAGTGAATCCCTGAATGCCTCATTGATTATGATGTCATATACGATTGGATATTTTATTAATTAGGCGTCGTATGACTTAATGCTTTATACTATTGTGTAGAATTTGTTCTTGCGATTTTAATGGTGTAAGAAAAATAATTTTGAAAAATGTGGTGTTAATAGTATACCTCTGAGGTTCAGATTTGAAAAGATTTTCAGATTTTAAAGCACCACAGCTGTTTGTAATGAAGATATTTGAAATAGCTAGATCTAAATACAGTTACTTGGTCATACAGGACTTGATTTATGAAACATGTTATTACCAATGTTTACTATTAGGTATTTTTAAGGGTGTTATGATCATATTATCATGTTTAAATGGAAGTCTGTATGTCGATATTATGCAAGATGATAAAGTCACAGTTAAGGTCTGAAATGTATCTCAATGTAACCACAAAAATATTATATCTTTATTTATCTTCGAATTGTTTGATTGATAAGTTAGATTCGTATTTTTTAACTTATTTAGTATACCAACAACTAATACACATAATCTCATCTTCAAATGATCAAAATGTATCTTTTTTTTGGAATAACAGTTTCTTTGACGTCCGTTGAAGTAACTTTAATTACGCTTGCACACAACGCTAATTTTATAAAATCGTTCATAGTTACGATAATATGTATTATCTTTGTCCATTTATAAAAAGGTCACGTACTTTTTGATCAAATGACTTTATTTTTATAGAATGTCGAAGGGAGAAATTAATATAAAGTATAATTGAGCCTGTAAAAGTAATTCTTAAAACGAAACACGATAAAACGTTCCCTTTATTTTCGGGGATCTAGTGACACGTTTCGATTCACCCTTGACCGAGAAGTTGAACACCAGTTTTTCACTAACCTCTTTTGTCTATAATTTGATCAATACATTTTGTCAGGAACGTCGAATACCTCTGTAATTTATTCATAAGAATAGTATTTTCCCAGATTAAAATAATTTAATTAAAAAAAGAAGCCTTTTCCATTCATCGAGATTATAGAGCCGATACTATTAACATAATTTTCTAATGCTATGAGTTGTTTTTTGTAAATATGTGATAAAAAGTACCAATTTAAGAAGTGAAATCTAAAGCGCTAAGTACAAGATAAATTAGAAAAAAACATCTCAATTAATTCCAAAGATTATAATATTATAATCAGTTAAAATGTTTCTGCATTTTGTCGCATTTTAAATGGGTTTGTGTAGCTACTTTAATTTGTTTCTTGTTCTTACCATACAAATTAAAGAATTGACCTTCCAATAAAAGTTACATTGACTGTACGAATAAAGACTCGATCATGCTATAGCCTATGTACGTGCAGAATTATATTTAAACCCCTTAGCTGCATTCGAAAAGGAACAACATATTGATATCGTATGTATAACATTACATAATCCGATGTCAGTAAATCATTACCTCCAACTACGACATTATACCACTCGATATATGAGCTGCTAGGTCGCTCCCTTTTATTTTTACACTCAGGGCCGTGGAAGAAACCATTTCACGGTTCCATGTTTAATAAATTGCACTCATTCGACGGCTGTCCATTAATCGCGAATTAATCAAGTAGATGTACTGGTTCGGCGTGCACCGAGAGCCGATTGTAGTCTCAGGTTGAGAGGTTAGGTCTAGTAATCCTTTTCTGAGTCTCCGTGTTCCCTGCATCCCCGGCCGAGGTGACAGAGACAGGTGCAACGTGGGTTCTTAGTGGGTTTCTGATCGGGACTCCCACATACCCCTGCCACTTCTCCGAACCGGTGGCAGGGGATCCCCTAGGCTTTTTTTTTTAAGTTAAAAAAGGTCATATAATCTTTAAGCTTAACGAAACCGTAGCGAAAGTTTAGACACGTGTAACGCACGATCGACGGAGTAGTTATGTTGCGGAAGTGAGAAAGGCAACAGAAGACGCCCTGGGCGAACGCAATCGACCAGATCGTCTGGGGTCGAGGCTACGGTGTCTGTCTTGACCATGTCTTTCATTGACTCGTCACTGACATTATATTGTGCATGTATTGATGGGCAACATGCGAGAGTGTGTGTGGATCGATGAAGTAGCAATGTGACGATTGTTGAGAATGTGTGCGTACGTGATTATTCGCGATCAAGTTACAGCTTTTGCTGTTGTTGTGATATAGCTGATTTGCCTTAAGGTAACGGCAAGAAGGAATACTGGCTTGAGTTTCACGATTAATACGTCAGCTTTTGGTCGAGGGGACCGTGAACTCAACTCAATGTGGACACCACACCTTCTTGCAATTTTTCCGTTGCTAATGCCCACAGGCGGCGGTTATTGGTAACATCAGGTCAACCGATACATCCCTTTTAATATTTTTCCATAAAAACTGATTACATGTTGCCGACACTCATTGATTTGATTTAATTCATTTTTGTCTATAAATACGGCAGAAAATCTGTATTTTAGAGTTTTATTTCAGGAATACATGTTTGAAGATGACATGCGAACTGACGGTTCAACTGATGTTTAGTGATAACCGTTCATCATCATCATTTCAGCCTGTTTGGGACTCAAACTGCTGAACACAGGCCTCCCCCTCAGACTGCCACAAAGCTGCCATCCATCGACTTCCCGCATACTTGCACAGGTCGTCACTCCATCTAGTGGGGGGTCGTCCAACACTGCGATAGATGGCGGGATAACCATCTCGACTCTCCAGAACCTAAATACCCAGGCCAATAACGGACAGCAGCCTTAAAGGTGCGAGGTGTCTGGAGCAACTGCGGTTGCCAAACCGCTTGCCAGGCATGGCAACTATAGCAAAACCCCCCTTATGATGGAAGTGCAAGATAACCGTTGTCTATGGTAAATTGCAACACCCGTAGTATTGCAAATGCCCGGCCACTTTTTAACAAAATCGGCCCCGGCTACGTGTTTCTCAGCAGACAAAACTTCCACTTCACGCCGGTCTTCTGTGAACTCGTGGTACTTCCCCAGACGGGCAGCGAAGACCGATGCTTGGCCCCACCATAGCGTTTGATGGATTTCCTTCGACAGGCGTGGTGGTAAGCCGAGGGAGAACCATTACGCGCCACCGGCAAGCCAAACTCCCACCGACGACAATTGGGATGAAACGGCCCCATCCACACAGGCGACTTTCCAGGCCCCACAGCCGCGGGCAAACAACAGAGAGCATCATCAGCGGTACGTATTATATACATCTATATCGACGTAGCGAAGCTATTTACTCAAGAAAAAGCCGACCACATCAGTTGACGTGAAGCAGTGATGGTTGAATAAGTATGGCAGTTTGAGATCATATTTAAGACCGCTCCAACCGTTAGATTCGATAAAAGTCCAATCGAAGCAAAAGAACACCGATTCCTTTCAAGGATCAACCGTGAAGATGTAATAAAGAAACATCATAATTCCAATAGAGAAGATGACTCGGTGTCATTACCAGCTTCTGGATTCTCTAAGTTTAAAATTAAATCTATAGCGCACACTGAAGACCTAAAGTAACTATTAACTCGTAGACAGCGATAAAATAACCAATAACTGATGGTAGCTCGGGTTATGGTCGTCAAGTTTTATTTAACCTCAAAAAGGGTAGTCATGAACAAATTAAATGCAATATCTTACAAGCTACTTGTTACAAAGGTTACATATATTTTCCAAATTCATATTCCTATGATCTTTAATTTTTAAGTTACGAATTATATTAGCACTGAGTTGACATGGAATATGACGAGATCCCGCCAAACGAAAAGCGGTAATACGGACTTAATTTTTTAAAAAATTTAGAACTGCTTTAATTTAGCACTTGACTGCCATCCCACCGGATAATTCTGAGTCTCTCTTGCCTCGGAGCCTCACATTAAATGTTTTCATGACTTTATTTAATTTATTTAACAGGTGTAATAATGTGTATGAATATATATAGAATTATTTATTTTATAATGAGAATTTCAGATTTATTTGTGGTGACGAGAAATTTATATACTTTATTTTATATTTTGTCCTATAGCACGCATAGTATTTTTATGACGAAATTCCTTTTATTTAAATGTTATGTATTTTAAATATTATATAATAAAATTATAATGAAAATTTAGAAAGTCTTTTGGAACTCTTTTCCACAAAGATATAATATGATGCTACTATATCGAAGTACAAGTTAGTCATCCCTGACTATTTTAAGATTTTCCTGATTATTAAAAGTCAATACGCGATTATATTATATTCCCGCGCATCTGAATTGATAACACCAAAAAAAAACATAAAGACAACAGTCACAATTAGCCGGCCAGTCGATGCGTCTCCGTTGAACCTCATTCGGTCGCTTAGAGTGTTACGATTGCGCAGAAGAAAGCCTAGGCCGGAGCAGGAGAAGAGCTCCAAGCCCTCGTGGAAGGGCAAAGAGTCTGGCGTGGGGAAGCGGCTGAAGCAGGCCGCCGAAGCGGCCTCAATGGAGGCGCAGGGGTCCCGACAAACCGGCGCCTCGATACAGGATCGCCTTCGACGGTACTCGCACGCTACAAGCATAAGGGCGCGGTTCTAAGGGGGGGGTTCACTCCATTCTTCTTTTTCCGTGATCCATAATCCTTATACGGTCTCCGTTGTCCCTCTGTTTTTCCATCAGTCTCCCTTTCTATGGGCTTCCTTGCCAAAGGATTCGGGCTTAACTGCCCGCATTTATTTTCACCTCAATAAGTGACTTTCGGAGGTAATCTAAATTACTTGCAGACCCGGAACACCTATTTCAAATATTACTTTCAACACGGGTATTCGCGCAACCGAATAACCAAATAAATACCATTGGGTCAACGCGCAAAACAGCTTTTCTTTTAAGAATAACGTTACCCCCGCGACTCAGAGCTGGATATGAACTGTGCTCAAAATTTTACTTTAAAAAAATAAAATAATATTTCTTTTGATCTCTTGCGTACTCGTATAATTCTATATATCTCTGCCCCCCTCCCCTCCGAAACTTTAACACTAGGGCCGTTCGCGCTTCGTCCCTTTCTTGTCCTTTTCTTTGTGACGTTCGCGCTTTGGCCTCTACTACTGGCGAAGCTAGATTGTTCGCTGCATCCCCGGACGTGGAAACTCGCCCATGAGATTAACCGCTACTGTTTTTTTTATTCACACGCTGCCTCAAATCTCTTCCGATCCGGACCAGCCTGCCCACTGGTTCGAGTCATTTTTAACTCGCGTGTACATTGGTCTCTTCCATAATTCACACGAGCGATCTTCGAAACGACGTTATCTTTGAACATCTTGCCCGTATATCATGTTAATCGTTTGTTTTGTTTTCACATTATTGCCGATTTACTTTCGCTTTTAACTTATTGCGATGAATCTTTTTTTTTTATTTGTAAATGCAAATGAAAATTCGTTAAAAGTTTATATTTTCAATTTTGTTTAGATAGGCATAAAATAAGCGCATAACGTGAGCGATCTGGAATGAGATTTGATCTAGCGTGTGTACGAATTTCTGTGAGCGTTGTAACTAGTCGAGTGTCGTTTGTTCCGATTTCTTCGCACCATTTGCTTGCGCTCACGCTTGGTTGCACCACACTCTCAGGGCTGCCAGATACAGAGATAATTTTAAATGAAATAAAAAAGGCATTTTTATTTCGTTAGCTTTTATCATTCAAAAATTGCTTATACGCTTTTAAGGAATTTTATCGTGATTTTGTTAAACTGGCAGCTTTAAGTTTATAACATTTATTTTTCACAACATGTTACAAACACAATTCCTTGAGGGCACAAAACTTGATCAGCTAGATCGCACTTTGGCCTTTGTTCTTTCCGATATTTAATGTTGTCAATAAATATCTTTCATAGATTAACTATCACTTTTATGTACATATTTATTTATAGCATTTACGTGTGTGTTTTTTTTGTTAATATATAATTACCATTTTCATTACTTTTGCACTACTATATGTTTCCAATGACGCATTTGTCTTGTGTGATAATGGAACGATATATGGATTAAATTTGTTGTTGAGCAATCAAATAAAACATAACTATGCATAATTTGTGTACGTATGTGAGTCGCTTCTAAATGTAACCTTACGAGTAACATCAACGAAGCAAAAGTCATCGATGATGTAAAACTAGTTTAGTATATTTACAAGATTTTTACTTGTTTTAATTTTTAATTTTCTGAAATTCAAAGCTGTCATGTTACTGGCCTAAATGTTTCTGCTACTGTGGTAATCTCTGTGTAGCCGTTAGTTTAATTTTTTACATATTTCTCCATCAAAATCTTGCAATTTACCATTGCCGAATCGTGTTCATATTTTAACATTTGGGGCACTGAAAGCATTGATTACGCACTAGTTTTATATAATCGAAAATAACACAATGAACGTTTCACGGAGCAACTTTCACTTGCACTGCACTGCACCAAGAGAAAGCGCTCATAAGGCAGGGTTCCCAACTTCGAGGTTCTCTCTACAAAATATAGTTTTGGAAATTAAAAATACTATTTTTTATCTAATTTTAATTTTAGTCAACGTCACCTTACGTTGAGTAAAATTAAAATTACACAACAAGACCTTGTAGGTAAATAACACAGAGAACTAGGATATGATAACGTCAACAGATTATTCAAACGACTACTTGTTGATTCATAAGGATAATAATCTATAACGATGATTTAAAAAATTTTATAATATAATAAACAGAAATGTAAATTGTAATGAAACATATGTCGGTAATTTTTTTTTTTTCAAATTCAGTTAAAGCGGGAAATATTTTTTTGAGTTGGTAACCCTGTCACGCTCATTTTGTCACGTAAAGTTATACTTTTGTAACGTTAAATCCAAAACTCATCCGCAGCGACAATCAGGAGGAGGGTGAGGACAGGAGCAGGCAGAGAGAGAACCGACGCGACAACCGCGGCGACAGACGCGACAACTGGGGCGACAAGAAAGAGAACAATTGGGGTGACAGGAAGGAGAACAGTTGGGGCGACAAGAAGGAGAACAGCTGGGGTGATAGGAAGGAGAACAGCTATGGCGAAAAGAGAGAGGGGTGGTCGCAGAAGAGGGAGTCACGGGGAACGGAACGGGGGAGGCCGAGGGGCAACTTCACCCCGAGGGAGAGGGCGGAGAAGCAGGACCGATACGGGTCCGACAGCGACCGGAGATCGGACAAGAGTTTCCGTTCCCAGGACAGCGGCAGGGAGCGCGGCGGGCGCGCCACGTCGGCCAGGCGCGGCCGGTTCGCGCCGCCCCAGCACAGGGAGCTGCCCGAGCCGGTCCCGCTGGACACGCCCTTCGAGGAGCCCGCCATCGAGCCGAACGCCCAGCACGAGGTCTCCGTCACGTGGATCATATCGCCCGGCAACTTCTACACGCAGATCCTCTCCTCGCAGCCCAAGTTCCTCGAGATGATGCACTCCATACCGGAGCTCTACAAGGGCGTGAGGCCGTACTCGGGCGTTGTACCGGCCGGCGCCACCGTGCTCGCCCGCTACCCAGCCGACGGCGTGCTCTACCGGGCGACGGTCGTCTCGCCGCAGCCGCTCTCCAAGTACATAGTGCGCTACGTGGACTTCGGCAACAAGCAGCTGGTGGACGCGAGGGACATCTGGCAGATGGACAGGAGCCTGCTGGCGCTGCCCCGGATGGCGGTGCACTGCTCGCTGCTGGGCGTCGCGCCGAAGGACGGCGAGTGGAAGGCGGACCCAGAGGTCGATCTCTGCTTCAACGCGCCCAGATACCAGTGCGTGTTCCAGGATTGCGTCGAGGGCCAGCACGCGGTCTCGCTGTGGAACAACGGGCTCAGCGTCGCCGACACGCTGGTGGAGAAGCAGCTGGCGGTGCCCTCCGAGCACCAGGCGTCGGTCGCGTTGAAAGGTATACCGCAGCGGCTTCGCCCTGCACTGCTATGTAGACGTGTTGTTGTCGAGTTCCGCGCCAATGAGCGTCCTTGATTAGTGCAGTTTTACTCTGACGATTGATTATAACGACTCGGTCGGTTAGGCAACTCGAAGGTTTTAATGTCTGAAAGGAACAATACGCAATATGTCCATGCTTTGCGGGATATCACTCATCATCTGTTGAACAGTTTTCCCTTTTTTGCTGCTTTTTAAAATAATTGTATTACTATAGATTTCCGTTTTTCATGTATGTATGTATTTTCGTTTGACAGACGAAGCGATCGACCTCACGATAATCGTCGGGCAACAGATATTGTGTCGAGTGACGCACGTGGAGTCCTTTGAGAAATTCTATATACAGTTGGACTTGGATAAAGCGGCACTCGTAGAGAGCGCCGTTGCGAGCTTTGACGCCGAAAAAGTAAGTTAATTTTTGGGGGGAAAACAATGCGTTATAAATTGTACCTTTGCAACCTGAAAAGAGAAATAAAACATTTGCAAACAAAGTTGTACACGGTATAGATTTCGAAATCTCAAACGTGCCTTCTTTTTCAGCTCACTCCATTAGGCGCGGACAGTCTCGTGGAAGGCATCCATTGCACTTTGAAGCACGAGGGAAAAATATATCGCGCCATAATAAATGATATCTCCGACAAAAATGACATTCTTGCTGTGCTGCCAGACTACGGAAACTCTATTACCACGTCAATCGAGAATGTAAGTTGTGGGATCGCGTTAAAGTTAAATACTTGAGTAGAGAACTAGAACTACCTCGTATGTCCAATAACTACACGAAACTGTAGAACTAGTTGTTTTTAAAAAGAGAAGTGAACAATTATCTCGATATCTAGTCAAACCTTCGCGTGTAGTCCCACAGATAGCAATAAATGTTTACTGCGCCATGTCTTCTACGCCTTTACCGGATCATTAATAATTTCTGCATAGCCTGTATTGTGTAATTTGATACATAAAATGATCTGGATATAAATATAGAGTACCCGGAGGCCCTTGTTTTTTTTTGGTAAATCGTGTGTTTTGGAAATTACATTTAGATACAAATTACTGAGTAATGAAATATGTATAATATTTTTCGATCTTACCGACGTAATAATAAGAAAATATGAACTGTTATTTTTCACAAAAGAAATAACTTTAATAAAAAGGGAAAAAAATAACAAAAAAACAAATCGACAAAAAATTAAAAATAAAGAAAGCAATGATCTGGAATCGAAAAAAAAGTAAAAAAATAAATGTGTAAATGATCGTGATTCGAACCACGGCCTTCTGTTACGTGTCTGTTTATTAGCGGCCGCCCGATTACCGACCGAGCTATTATAGCATTTTTTTTTCGATGAAATTTACCGTCGTGTTCTAATAATATTTTTCATTCCCTGAAAACATGGAATAAAAGGACATTTTCTAAAAATGAAACCTAGCTAGATCGATTTTTCGCCCCCGAATCTACACATATACTAAAATTCATGAAAATCTCTGGAGCCGTTTCCGAGATTCCGATTATATATATATATATATAATCGGAATAAATATAACACAGTCATATATTCGAATAATATAAATATAGATATTGTAGTAAATGTATTTGTTAAAGGGGTGGGGGGGGGGGGGGGGGGGGGGGGTGGGGGGGGGGGGGGGGGGGGGGTGTGGGGGGGGGGGGGGGGGGGGGGGGGGGGGGGGGGGGGGCCAATGTAAATTAACAAGCTGAAAAGCATGCATTTTACTAAATTTTTATTTATGTATATACAAATAATAGAATGGAGTATTTTAGTGTTAGAAATAAATGCCAAAATGAAATTAAAAACTACTATTTTTAAGATCTCTGATCATTAGTGACCTAATTTACGATCTTTGTTTTTATTTCTTTCTGAAACTTTCTCAAACGAAACAAGGGATTTTAATTAAAAAAATAAAACAGAAAACAACAATTTTAACTTTATTTTTCGTGTTTGTTAAATTTCAATGTCTCAGCATTATAATTCATACTAAATATGACAACTTGGTTTAAACTTTAACTGTTCATTTGAACTAAATATCCAGGAGCGATTCGCGAGCATGAACTAGTTAGGTATATTAAGTTAGAAATTAAAGTGACCACATTGTTTTTCTGTTTACAGCTAATGATACTGCCAACGGAGCTCAGTGTTTACTACTACCAATCCCTAGAGTGTTGTCTCAATAATTACACCCCTCAGTCGGAAACTCTCCTCTCCATTGAGAAATTAAAAGCTAAACTTACGGGCAACAAATTCATTATTTACATCAACAACGTCGAAGGGATAAGGTTTGTAAATATTGATAATATTATAATCAGCATGGATGCGTTATCTATCACAAAAACTGGATTTTCTTGTAAATTCGGAAAAGGTTCTCCTGTAACCATTTGTCATAATTATCTAAATTCAATTCATTCAATACAACTCAAGTGATCATCCCGACTTGTGGATACTTTATATACTAATGAGGCATTCAGAATAAAGCCACAATTATCACTTACATTTACAATAATAACATCTAGTTCCAGTCAATTCATTTCAATTTCTTTACAAATAGCGAATGGTTAGTATCTTGAGTTTTGAGGCTTTAAATGTTTTCTGCTTGTGGACCATTAGTACGTATATCTCATGAATGCCTATTCCTTCTGAACAATGATGAATTTTTTTTCAAGTAATTTAAACACCAAATTTGTCACTCGTGCCTTTCTTGTTACATTTCATCCATTTTTATGATCAATAATGGTAGTCAAACATTCGACAAACTCGGTCACAATAGAATAAAGTGGATTTTTTTTTGTGTTCGATATAATGTATGATATAATTTTCGAAATCAAATTTGCATTTTCAATAAAATGGGCCGCGGCTATCTATCTATCTCTTACTAGACGAATCGCAGAAATATAAAATTTCCACTTGACGCCGGTCTTCTGTGAGTTCGTGATACTTCCTCGGACGGACCTGCCAATTCGTGCGACAGCGCAGACTGTTGCGTGGCTCTACCACAGTTGAAAGAACTGTACTTGATCGACCCCCAAATTGACTATGTTCTAGGCTCGTGACGACACTGTACGACCCAAAATCCGGTCAGAAGGTAGCCATCTTTGAGCCCGACGATGGCGCCTACGACGAGGTGGTACCGCTGTGCACTAGATCAGTTTTCAACTACAACTTCGGCATGGGCTACATATCCCATTTGGAGAATCTGAACGAGTTCTACCTGCAGAGATCCTCGGACAGCGAGAAAATCGCTCTGTTGCTGGAGACGCTCTATAAGTTCTATGAGGAGGGTATGTCGCTTTAAATTGTTGTCAAATTATGATTGAATTATATTTTTCTCTTTGATGATGATAAATGGATTTTCCATGTTATTATAGATTAGTTAAACACCATAAATATTTAACCACCATAGCCTGCTAAATAAAAAAGTGGTTATTAAAATAAAATAAAAAAACAATACAGCTTACTAGGCAATAACTTCTCAATATTTAGACATTACACAAATTTCTGGCCCTCGTTTCTAAGACAAATCACGGTGCGCAATGGAATGTTCTAAGATTACCACTTAAACCATTGCGTCGTGCGTGCTCGTTGTATTTAATATTCATCGTATAAATAACAGAAACTGTATTTATCTACAGGTGAGCCGGAATCTCTGTCGGAATTCGAGGCGGACACATTGTGTGCGGCGAAATCTTCTGACGGCAACTGGTACCGGGCTACCATAATCAGCACGAGCGAGGATGACGCGAAAGTGCAGTTCACCGATTACGGCAACACGGAAACACTGCCGAAGGCCGAGTTGAAGAAACTAGACCCGCGGTTCTACGAGCCGTGCGCTTTGGCTCTAGTGGCGAGCCTGGGCCTGGTCGCCCTGCAGGACGATACTCTACAAAAGCTCAGCGAATGGACCGCCGACAAAGAGGTGCAAGTGACGCTCGCTTTCGGCGACGACGGATGGCTCGCCAGTTTGCACCTGGACGGCGTGGACCTATCTATGAAGTTGGTCAACGAGAACCTCGCCACCCCACGTATTAATACGCCCGAAGAACCGAAAATCGAATCGACGACCGACGAGCCGATCTCAATTCCCCAAGGTTGCATTCAAGTGTACATAAGCCATATCGACACGCCTGGTCACTTCTGGTTACAGATGTTAGATAAGATTGAAGGATTAGACAAAATCCAAGCCGAACTCCGCGAGAACGGTGACACTTATCCCGATATTGATAATCGCGAATTGGGCACGATATGCGTCGCAAAATATTTGGCTAACGACCAATGGTATCGGGCTGAAATACTCGATTCCGATTCTGACATCACGACCGTTCGCTTTATTGACTATGGCAACACGGATGTCTTGGACAATCAGCCCGGTTTAATAAAGGAGATGCCTGCCCATTTGAAGGACGTCGAACGCATCGCTATCAAATCGAGCGTCAACGCCATACCAACGGGCACGGGCCAATGGTCCGAGCCTGCGTCTGATTACTTCACGAAACTAGTCGGCGATCTCTCCGCGCCGGTGGACGTGCTGGTCGTGCTCAAAGACATCATGACTTACGTGGACATTTTCGTTAACGGTCAAAACCTGACCGACAAACTGGTATCGGAGGGCCACGCTACCAGATCGGAGGAACCGGAATGCGGCGATTTGCCGTCATGCTTCGCCAGCCACGTCAACACGCCGTCGGAGTTCTGGATTCAGCTAGAGACGGCGACGGCCGATTTGCAAGCGATGGAGGCCGCCATGGTGGACGCCGAAAACTTCCCGGAGCTCAGCGATCGCGAGGAGGGAGTCATCTGCGCGGCCAAGTATCCAGAAGACGGCGCTTGGTACCGGGCCCAAGTGATCGTCGACGGATCGGAGGGGACCGAGGTGCTGTTCATGGACTACGGTAACGCGTCAATGGCCAGCGAACTGCGAAGCCTGCCCGACGAGCTCAAGATAAAACCGGCGCTGTCCAGAAAGTGCGCCCTGCAGAAACCGCGCGACGTCAAGTCCTGGTCGCGCAAGTCCGAAATCAAATTCAACGAGCTTGCCGCTGAAGGCGCGACCATTTTCAATGTACAATTCATTGCCGCCGGCGACATCTCCATCGTTGAGCTGTACCTCGACGGGAAATCTGTGACCGAAGAGCTCGTTGGTTTGTGCGATGAGGTCCCGAGTACAGAGCGGCCGACACCAGTCGGTCAAGATTTGCACAGTAGCGGCAAGATATGCTATGTGAACTCCGTGGACGAATTCTACGTGCAACTCGACGAGTCTGCATCCGTTCTTGAGAAGGTGACGCAAGAATTGTGTGGTAGCTCGCAGTTTGATCAGGTTTCCGATTTGAAGGTCGGCTCCGTTTGCGCTGCATTCTGGGCTGATGATGAACAATGGTACCGGGCAAAGATTTTAGAGTTTTGTGATATAGGCTATCATGTACAGTTTATAGATTACGGTAATAAAGCCAAATGTGAAGAGTTTAAACAACTGCCCGAGAACCTAAGCGTCATCGAGCCATTAGCAAAGTGTTGTCGACTAGCAGGATTAAATGACGCTAATAATTCAAGTGAACACGCGAAAGCGAAACTTGATGAATTAGCTTCACATGATTCAACAACATTCCAAATAGAGTTTTTAGATAGCATAAAGGAACCAACTCTGGTTAAACTGTTACTAAACGGTGAAGATATTTGTTCTATAATATTATCAGAAAGCAAATTTGAAGAGAATAATGATATGAGTGATAATATTGAACAGAAATCTAATTATATACCAGAAGAGAATCAAATGAAAACAGAAGACAACTCTAAAGAAAGTGTTGAACCTGAAAAGTTCAATAAATCTCAGGATGATCTTGATGTTAGCATAGAAAGTAACCATACCGTTATAGAAAACAAATCACTTGAAGCTGATAGTGAACAAAGTGAACTAACTGAAAGTGATACATCAATACAGAAAACTGAAGCGCATCTTGACATAATTGAGAACTCCAATGAAACTTTAAAATCCGAAAATGATAAGCCATCCAATATAGTTAAGATTGATCATGACACATCTAATGAAACCTTGCCACCTGTGAATCAAACGGAAATAAAGGAGGATGAAGTGGCACTAGAAAAGTTGGAAACAAAAAGCAGTGAATAATGTAAGTGAAACATTTTTTGTTAACTTTGTATAAATTATAAATCTACCTTTTGCAAAGCAATGTTTCTATGTGATGGAAACTGTCTTACATGTGACAGCAATTTTAGTTTTCTAGTTAGACGGAATGATTGAATAATTTAGTCTTATGATATTATATAAGTCGTTTCACTATTATTAAAATATTTTCAAGTTTGTCTCTTGCGTTGTTAATCGTGATTACTTTTTTTCTCTAAATGACTGTTGCAGTAAGAATATTAGTTATATGCTGGAAGATATATAAAGAAATATGTAATCTGTTAATGTTTGCTTCTTTAGTTTATGTTTTGTACTATTGTCATTTTGGTTTTAGGTGTTGTTTAGGACATGTTGCATTGTAAATTATACTACGTGTTTTTGAGAGGCATATTTTTTAAGGTCAAAGTTATAAATACTCATTTTCTGTTATAATACTTGCTTAAGAAGCTTTAAAGATCGAGTCATTTATACAAGTCTGGATATGGCATCTACTTACAATTTGATACAACTTACCTGGTTTAAGTTAACCAATTTTATTTGTTTTTGTTATTGACCAAGCTTTGTCAGTTATAATTGTGGCTTGTGTATATTTTATTATAATAGCAAGTCATCAATAACTATTCTTAAACACTTCTTACACATTTAAATTGTCTTTTGGAAAACAATGGAAAAACTCATAATGTGGACACATTTAACTTTTTTATTGATTTGTTTTCAAAACATTCAATTGTTGCAAAAAATAAATATTGTATAAAGCTTTAATTTGTCTTTATTCTTGACTCTTCATTACTAAAATCTATCACAAACATATACATATTATATGGCTTAGAGGTGTACCTTTAATCAAAGTAAAAAAATCCTATATGTCTATACATATAATAAAAATGTAAATGATTGTTGGGGGCCTTTATCAATGCAATAGAACCCAAAACAGTGATTATTAAAATTTTTATCTGTGCTTGTGCGCGCTAATCTCAGAAACGGTTTAAACGAAACAGATGGAACCTTTTACTAATGCATTTAAATTGGTTCATTAATAAAAAAAAATCATATCTACTTTAAGAACCACATTGAAGATTTGTACGATAAGATGCTATAAAATAGCTACAGTTGAATTGAATGAAACTATGGTTAACTATATACCTATTATGGTTTGTAAAATGATGATGATTGTAAGTTTAAAAATATCGGCACGATTCGGACTCGCGCATTAAGAGGTCCGTACCCTTAACTTTAAAAACGGCTAAAAAAAATCATGTCTATTATATGGAAGCCCACTTAAATATTTTTAAGTGTTTTTGAGTATTTTTATAGCAGCAACAAAAATGCATCATGTGTGAAATTTTCAGCTGTAATTATCATGCAACGTAGTGATTACATAAACGTAGTGATTATATTCTCTTTGTTATCATGGTTCGTGAGATACAGCCTGGTGGCAGATAGACAGACAATGGAGTTCTAGTAATAGGGTGCCGTTTTACCTTTCGGGTAAAAAACCGTAAAAATTAACAGTTTTGACACCTCCAATATATCATGTCATCTATCCATATGTAGTAACACCTAAAATCATAAACCATCTATCTCCATTCTGGCGGTACGAAATGCGCCCCCACGATATTTCTGCCAGTGGCGGATCTTTCTCGATCCACCAGATTACTAAGTACTTACTACCACTGGGCAGATAAAAACGTTATAACTTTGCGAAAACATGATGTATGCTTTTTTTTGGACTATTTGAGTGACTGAAACCCGGCTTGGGTACAACCTTATGTTCGATTGGCCCCTGGATCTGTTGAACAAGATATGAGCCAAGGAAAGCGGCGGGCCGATATCGACCTGAACCGCACTAGAAAGTATTTTTAGTATTGATGGGACGGCCAAAAATAAGAGGATATCTATACTAATATTATAAGCTAAAGAGTGTGATTGTTTGAACTTGCTAATCACAGGGACTACTGGTCCAATTTGAAAAATTCTTGAGATTGTTAGGTACCCCATTTATTGAGGAAGGCTACATTTAACTACAATATACGGCGAAATACAAGTATATAATAAAAACTGAAAACATTTATTTCATTAGTTTATTTTTCATAGACAAAATAGATTAAATTTATAAAAACTACAATAGGTATACATTGTTTAATTACACTCTGAATTAACATGCCATACTCTAAAGTTGAATATATATTAAATACATATTTACAAAATAAAAATGTCCAGCATTAGAAAAAAATGCACAAAATATTTCTAAATTCGTAACTTGAAGATTTACAAGAGCATCCAATATTTTGCATCGTTTCATACTGCAATTTGAATATTTAAATTGTTTTAAATGTTAACTTATTTTATAAGTCCTAAAATGCCAATATCCTTGAGATCTTCATGTTTTTCTAATATTAATCCTTTTTCATTTGCTAAATGAAGTACAGACAATAAAGCTAATGGTACACTGAGAGATTCCCGCATACTTGTTGATAACTTATTTGGCAATTGCGAATAAATTGTGAAAAATGTAGTCTGTGCTACATCTTCCTTGGTGGCCTCACATGTTTTGCTTGTGAGCATTTTCCAAGTACAGTTTTTCAATTGTTTCATGTCTACTTTTTTAGCCCGCATTGCATAGGGAATAAAAATCTTTGCTACCTGTTAAGTGGAAAAAGAAAAAGAAAAATAGTTAATAAAATCGTAAAGTCCCTTAAAAGTTTTTTGTGCATGTTTTTTTTAATAAAATTATTAATAGTACAATCTCTATATACTATGTATATCTTACATTTAACTTTTGTTACTTCTGAGGAGTCATGATGGCATGACACTCCGGCCACTCGCTTTTAATTCAATACACTAAGCAACCCTAGTTTTGATCCCCAGTGCCAACACCAGAAAAATTATTAATTTTAAGTGCTGATTACTTATTGGCTCAGTAATGAAGGAGGTTATCGTGAGGAAACCTGCATATTTTTGAAATGATAACAGAAGTAAAAATAAGATATGTGAAATCTGTCAATCCTAATTCTAATTCCCTGTGTACAGAGACCTGAACATATTACAAATGTAAATATTTATTTTTTAATAAACGAAAGCATTCCTGACATTGGAAGTGCGATTTTAGGTCACGAGTGTAAGTCTCAGCTAATTGTACTAATAAGATCACTGTGTGATGTTTGTGCCTGGTATAGCTTTACCATATTTGGGACTAGTAGAATACTATTCATATTTGTCTTAGCATAACTTTTAAACTTTGGGAAATATGGATAACATTAGATATTTCTATTTCTATTTTATCCCATACTAGGTACGAAATGTCTAAGGCTTAATCTCTAAGCTCTTTGTATTCATAACATAAATATAAATTTACCTTCGTAGGCGGTTCTAACATGTCGCCAATTTCCTCCTGCTCTGCAGTCTTAACTTGGTCATGTAGTTCTCCTGCGGCTGTGGCATCATCGTTTCCCCATTCATCAGCATCCTAATCATTTTATAATTGGTAATAAATATTACAAGGCATTAAACATTTAAGTTGTACATGTAGGATTTAAATGTAAGAAAGAATTATTAACGGCTAAACTTAGGGGGTGCGGTGGCGAGATAGGCAAAAAATTGAAAATGAAAGTGTACAGAAATGTTTGTCACAATCCAAAACTTTTATATTTATAATCGATTCATTTATTGTTGCGGTTCTTTTTTTTTTTATGTGAAAAATTGTCAAGTGAACAGGCGGTTCTAGATGCGTTGACTACCTTTTGAAAATAGAGCTACGTCTACCTCACTCACCAGATGAAACGCGAAAGTATTATACTTCCACTTCACGCCGGTTTTCTGTGAGGTCGCGGTACTTACCCGTACGAGCCTGCCCATTCGTGCAACAATCGAGGCTGCTGCGTGGCCCAACCACAATAACGGATCTTCTAATATTAATGCAAAACAAAATATTGTAAATACGAATGTTTGTGTATGTCCGATTGTACTCACTACATATTTTAATTTTACACTTCTCAGATGCACATACCCACGTACGTAGCCCCATATGTAAGCTAATATGTTACAGAAGGGAATTACCGGCAAATGATTAGGACAGTATGAAGCATCATTCTCATTGTTGTAATCATAGTCCCGGGCCGCCTCAACAGTGAGTGGCTCTGGCTCCGGTTGCTTGCTTTGCTCCAAGTCCCTCTTTCGCAGCAGCATAACGTTACGGCGCAGGAAAAGCTTGCGGAAATGCGACTCGTCCAAACCCCTAAATGATGTTTACGTTTATTATTTAAACAATAAGATGTGATCCCAAATGATAATATTATATATTCAGTTTTATGAATTTTAAATGTTCAAAAAGAACCAGCAATTAACTGAAACGTAACGTAACGTAAACTCCTGTTGAGTTTTTATCTAAAGTACAAAAAAACATATAAATGTCTTTAATATTCAATAACTGCAAAATGATCACATGCCAGTTCATGAATGGACCGGCACGTCTGAAAAACCATCGCCAGGTGAAAGGAGTGTCTTCACTTTTATTTTACATCTGGCGTAGTTGCAACAGACACACTTAAAGGTTGGTACCACAACAAACAAGTTAAAACAAATAAACATTAAATACTGCTGTAGATTTAATCGGCGGCCTAACATTAACTGAACCGCGAGCCGTTTTCCATCTCGCATGAAAAGGGAGGGCACAGAATCGTCACCTATCTATGGGGGTCTTGAAGTTCGCCTCGTTCCACGTGTGGCCGGTCGCGAGGGTTTTGCGGCTTATCATGATCTTGGCTGGCTGCGTGGGCTCGTAATCGCCGCTGGGCTCGGCGCGGCAGTCGAACGCCAGCCCCGCCCCCAGAAAGTCCAGCTGCCGTTTGGAGCGCGGCGGCTTCTTGCCATCGCACGTCAGCCTGCCCGCCGCGGTGGACTGCGTGCGCTCGGACAGCTTGGACGCTGCGGAACGAACGTCGATTGGTAACTGCGCGCGAAAGCGTAAGGTAGTGTGGATTTAAATCGTACTTAATTAAAATGTGAAATAAACGTTGAATACGGTATTTTTATATTAGCATACATTATATTATTATAGCCGTTTGTATAGTTAAAAGTCTGGTGGCGGCATTAATGATTAATATTTTCAGGTAATTTTCACCACATAGCACATGATAAATTTGTATGCTTGAAGAAAGCTATATATCTACAAAATAAGAAAAATAATATTTGAAGGTGAATCATTTGAAGTCTGCCAATCTATGTGCGTGGATAGCGTGGGGAGATATGACTTTAGGATATAGGCGGCGCAGACTTTCGCACACATATAAGCGAAAACTGTGTGTGTAAACACTATAAAAGGCAGTGAGTATCATTTAAAACGATTAATATAGGCAACACTTCCAATCTTAATGACACAGTTTTTTCGATGGAACGAGACAGCTTCAATAAGGATAAATCGAACGAAGAAATCCGGACTTTGAGTTGGAAAGGAGGAGGCATAATGACCGCGGTTGTTGCGCAGCCGCCAGTGCGAGGGCCCCGCCCAGGCGGCGACGATCGCGCCGCAGTAGGAGTACTCGAGGCGCGAGTCGGTCGCCCTCAGCGGGCGCATGTCGAGCAGCCGCGCCGCCGCGCCGCCGCGGGCCGCGCACGCCGCCGCCGCCGCCGCCGCCACCGCCACGTCCGCCTCCTCCTCGCTCTCGATGCCGCCCAGCGGCTCTTCGTCTGCGGCCCGACCAAATCATTCATTAGTCTCGTCAGGGCGCTCGCCTTTAATTCGATATGCTCGAGCGACCCGAGTTCGAGCCCCGGTGTCGGCACCGATCAGTGGTGTTGTGCTTATTTTTTTTTAACCGGAAAGCGTATACAGCGTGTCGTTACCAACACGACAATAAATGGACACACATATAGAGGATAACTTTTTAAAATTGTATCAAAAATTTACATTCTTTAAACATCAATATTTACAGAGTTATTAAATTTTCCAAAACAAACAATTTTAGAACACCCTTACGTATAAAACTGTAACGTAAAGTTCATTTGTAAAGGTCACAAAGCATATAAATGGGTTTAATGAATTTAAAAGAGACAAAACATACTGTTAGAAGGAGAGGCTTGTAATGCGACTCTGTGGCGCGAGCTATATAGGATGTTAAAAATTTTGTTTCTTTTTTACTTCATTAGTTTGTTTGAAAAATATTTTTTTTAAATTATGGATTTTGTTTAACGTTAATATTTTTTAATGATTATTGGCAAGTAGCTTTAGACGTCTGTTCATTTATTATCGCGATGGTAACGACACGCTGTATAGTCATATAGACAGGGCCGATCCTGGATAGGCGGCCGCTCTGTGCGGTCTCATGTTCCAAATTTAACGACGGGGGGTGATTTTCCATGATAATCCTGGCGGCGATGTTCTAAGAATTCTCGTTATCAGAAATCGTCTTTAGTTCCGGAACGCGTTCCTGTTCAAAAAAGAAGTACCGGAGCGTTCCGGCTCTACAACACCAGTGACACCGATGAAATTGTTGATTTCAATTGAAATCAAAAGCTAACAAAGTAGCAAAGTATTAATTGAAGGTGAAAGAAAACATCGTGAGGAAACCTGCATACTTTCGAAATAATAAAAAAAATATTTCGAAGATATGTGTAGTCCGCCAATCCGCAGTGGCGCCGCGTGGTGGACTATGCCCTTATACCCTGTATAGAAACCCTTTCCCAGCAGTAGGACTTGTATAGGCTGTTACTTTACTACTTTATAAGCTTAGCACAAGATTCAAAGGACAAGATTCTCACTACATACGTACATCGGTATGTACATATGTAGTGAAATCTTGTTCGTCATATTAACACGCTGTTATTAGCTTCACCTGAATATTTATAATTATGTATAGGAATCTTTTTCCTATTTTTGTTTATTATTATTTAACTCTATTATTAACATGCTGTTATTAGCTTCGTCTGTATGTTTGTATGTAGTTGAATCTTGTTCCATAATAAAGTAGACCCCAGCTTCTGCGAGGTCGTAGTACTTACCCGGACGGGTAACCTGCCCATTACTGCAACATCTCTTAGTGCAAAGACTAGTATTTCAAATGTTAATTGTAAAAATGTAATTTGAAGAAATATTGGTTAACAGGAATCAAATTAGATTACGCCAAGCTTTGCTACAAATGCAATAAAAACAGAGTAGATAAGACATCGATAATAATGACGCGAGTATGCTGCGTCAGATGAAGCTTTAATAGTCTCGGGACTGAAAGCAAAAACATCAGTTAATACAAGAGACGCGAGTATGTCCGATGTTGTGATAAAAAAAAGCCATCGGCCCGTTACCTGAAATGCACAGGATCGAATCCCGTAGCACCGAAAGTTTTTGTCCATTTATACAAAAAAAATTACACTTGATCAATTTAATGTTACACCTACAAAAAATGCATTTTTAAATAAATAAATAAATTACACATTCGTTGAGGAAAGATTCATATAATGATCACATCTTACATACCGAATAAATCATTTTCTGCCACATCCTGGGGTATAGGCTCAACCTCAGCATTCACGTCAAAGGCCAGTGCTTGTTGAGAAAGGTTCAAACGATTGTCTTCAACCCAGTTGTTAACACGACTCTCCCTTAAAAATTTTAAAGATTTTAATTGTCTAATAAATTATAGAACATCATTATTTTATTAACAAATTTTTATTATCGTGTAATACTTACGCGTCCTCTGTTTCGGGGTCCCAATTGCTGATTGAGAATCCGGCAAAGGGCTCGCATATATGATCAGATTCTTTAAAGGCCGGAAGCAACTTGGCGGGCAAAGAGATGTGTTCGTTCAAATCCAAGCTGTCATGAGCATTCTCTTTTATCGGTTCCAAATACCGATAATCTGTCCTGGAATTAACGCGCAATTCGAATAAATTTCAACAAACAGCACCAAACTTATCATCATGCTGAAGGAAATGTGAACGTTAATTATGATGATGATTGCAAAAAATTGCAGTTATGTTTGTAATGATGACAAAAGAGATGACATAACGAAAAGTGAATTCCATTCAGCTTTTCAAAGATCGTTTTAAAAAAATCCTTAAAACATAGATTGCTAAGAGTCATGTGATTTACATTGTTTATGCAATCTAAAGCGTGATAGCTCAGCGTCTGAGCCGTGATAGCTCAGTGTCCGGGCGCTCGCCTTTAATTCAATATACTCGAGCAACCTGAGTTCGATCCCCGGTGCCGGCACCAATGAAGTTTTTAACTTTAAGTGCTGACTTATCACGTGCTCCGCGGTGAAGGAAAACATCGTGAGGAAACCTGCATATTTTAGAAATAATAACAAAAAAAAATATTTCGAAGGTATGTGAAGTCCGCCAATCCGCATTGGGGCCGCGTGGTGGACTATGCCCTCTGTATGGAGGAGGCCTTTGCCCTGCAGTGGGAGATGTATAGGCTGTTTTACTTTACTTTTTTATGCAGTCTAAATACCCAGCCCCTTCAACTAAGCTATTTAGAGTTTACACTGCACTTGTATGTCAATACAAAATGATTATTCCTACAACAAATAAATTATGTGAGCATACCTTAAGATTAATGCTAAAGTCTTGTCATGTATTGGTAGTGTAGCATTGAACGCTCTATTTGACGAAGTCACATCACCCGTTGTTGCTGCAAGTCTCTCAAAAAATGGATCTGGTAGGGAAAAACAAAAATATAGAAATTCAGATAATATAAACATAAAAGCTTTCAAGTGTTTGTACCAATACAAGGTAGAAAGAGTTGGCATTATCATTTCATTTAATTCCTACAAATGATTTACTACCATTTGGCAGGGGATACACTTGTGACCATGTAAAACATGAACACAATACTTATCTTATCCTTTCCACTATACTATGAAAGCCCTAAACGAGATGTTTGCGCGTGAATTTAACATTAGTTTTAATACAAAATAAATAATTGTCAAAAACAATAGAATGAATTACTACAATCTTCTTTATTGTGAATGCTTATTATCTGTTGATACAAATGCATACAAAAGTTTCTCGTTCTTTTGTACGCATGATACACATTATGATGAATTACAATGCCACACTTACCTACACAATCATTAGCGTCAAAACCACCATTCAAAACTTCTGGGTTGGGGGCTATGGCACCTTTAGACCTCTTCTTCTTTTTCTTTGCCAATGTACCGTTCTCCCCATCCGCGGCACCTTCATCTTGAGAGCCAACATCGTCATCCTTCTTTCCTCTCTTAGTCTATGTAAATGTAAACCCAGTATGCATTAAATCTTATCATTTAATATTTTGTACTAAAGACCTTATATTCAATAAGAATAGGAACATCAATGACCTTAAATGACCGTAATTACTGTCAACTGACTTTTGCAAAGTACAGCATGCAAAAAAATCACTTTTGAAATTTAAGAAATAAAGAAATAATTGGATTACCAAGTCTGCTGAAGACATAATTAGATTTATACAACAAAGACAAATATTTCAAGAACATCTCTTTTTTTTATAAAAACATAGGTAACAAAATGTCTTTTCTTTTAAATAAGTCTGTTGAATATGTTTAATACCTTAAACTACATAAATACATGTTCTATTTTTATAGAGGAAAGCAGCAGAGATGATGATGATGATGGTGACTGCTAATTTATATAGCTATTGCTAGTTTCCAATTAAAACTTTCTATCATTCTTTAAATGCAAAATTTATTTGTACATAAATATTATATCAAAACTAGCCGTTTTGCTCACCCTACCTGAATTGAATTGACACCTATGATGTCACAAGATGGAGTGAGGTCAGTCCATATCTTACTTGATTTGCATATATATGTTAATATACATAATTAAAGTCTTTTCATTGACACAATGATAATTTGTACTAATATATAGCATATACCTGAGCAGCTTTACTTAAGCCTCCTGCCATTTTCAAAACATCATAGTGGACTGCATCTACTCTAAAGGAATATATTCTTGCAGAAGCATCCACCACAGTAGACGCAGTCTGCAGATTGTCCATGCGAGAGTCATGTCGTCGAAGCATTGACGTCATGAAGTCAATTAGCTGAAGGTTCCAAGCATTGTCCTTGTTTATTTTCTGCAAGATTGTAAGGTTATTGTTTAGTTGGCAGATTAGTGACTTATCTATTGAGATTTGATGACTTTATTTTATCTTTACTGAACCTTACATTTTCTGCATAAAGTTTAAGACAGCCTTGAAAATGTTCTTTCTGCGGTGATGATGATATTGTGTCTCTGGCACGGCGTGGCGAGGCCAAGGGTGTAGAAGATACAACTGCTCTCTCAGATGCCACCAATGACGATCTTTCCGCATCATCATCATTGCGTTCCTAGATAAAAAATATATAAATAAAGGTTTATATCTTAATTATAATACCCAAAGTCAAAATGTATTATATTTATATTAGCTAATTTAGTTGTTTTAAGCTCTTATTATTATGTGTGATAATAAATATACATATATCCAAAAACTTATTGGCAAGCTTACAAACACTTAAACGTACTTAAAATACGTTTAACTTATAATACGTTTAACTCACAAAGCGTAAGATAAAATAATCATTGTGCTACCTACCAACATTTATAACAAACATACTAACGATAAAAACGCGAATTTTTTACCTAATTTGTGTCCAGTCCAAAATAACATTGTGACAATTACTCATTACAAATTATATTATATTATCAAATAAAACTGAGATCAAAGCTTCAAGAGACATCAAGAGCTTTTACGTATGTTATCTATTTATATTTATTTCAAGTCGTGTTCTTGGTAATTTAGAAGGAAAGCTAAAAAGATAAAATACTTTGCATACCTCATCCTTATTTAACCGATTTTTTTGCGGTATAAGACTTCTCCTTCTCAAGGAATTATTGCTGTTCCCGCCAACACTACGTCTTGTAATTGGGGATGCTATTATCGAAGTTTCTATCATCATTGAATATATAATGCTTAATCCAAGTTATGAACAAACTATTACTAACACATTTAAGAGTTGGAATATATAAAATTTATGTTATGAACCACTTTTCGCCCAATAGCTTACTTATCAGTTATCAAAACACTGTTTATAAAAATCAAAACTTAACGGACAGTAGACGCCATAATTAGGGATACCCTATTTAATTTTTCGTATTTGCTATTTAAAAAATACTAATATATCCTTAGACGTATTTTTATTAGATTTAGATTTATTTTCTGTGTTCATAAATTTTCTCCATAGCGGAGATAAATATTATTGTAAATCAACGTTCATCGAATTTCGAAGCTTATTCGGTTTAGGGATGCCGATGGCGTTCGTTGCCTTTGACATATCAGGAAAGGTGCACTGGAAGGTAAATGAGAAAGGCAGGGAGTGTTTTAATAACTCTCCACTTCCTTATCCAGTTCGCACAGGTGGACGGGGATAGTGGATTGCATGCTAAGTTCGGGGCTGCTAGCGAGACATTCAGCCTTCTCATCACTTCTGAACGCTTTACTAAGATTGGGCAAAACCAGAGAAGGCATTGAGAAGACATTCTCTGATTTAACATTTCTCGTCAATAAGCAGTTTGTGACTTCGAAGTATCCTACATCAGAATGCCTTAGCTACACCGAAGCCTTCAAGCACGTCAATACGATATTTGTCGAAGACACGGCTGGTCACGTTTTTCACCACCATCTGAGATTGTCAGGCAATTCCAAGCGGTGATTCTCTACTACAACCCACTCGGAGTAGCTCCTGGTGACAGTTTGGATGTGGGATCACATAAAATTCGTGATCATCACGAAGGCCGTCTTGGATGGTTCTTTCCTATCGTGGATTTTACTTATGGGCCGGAGTTCGTGGATTGGAGTCCCTTGCTTAACTTTTCTCAGTCAATCGCGATCTTTAATCACGTTTTATCTGGTGGCTTAATACTAAGCTAAGATGATTACAGTTTAATTCACTTAGTACTTCCAAGGAATTTATTGGTAAAAGGGAATTTTTTCTCTAATGTATTGGGATTTCGATTAAGGTTTCAGATGCACCCTATGACGTCGAAAACTAAATCATCGTATCTTCTTAAGGTGAAAAGAGCACGTCCTTTATTGATGCAACTATTCCAAGCTTGCAATTAAATTCATCAAACACCATGTCGCCTAATTACGATTTGCTGATCACCCGTTATAGGGATTCTTCATATAAAGCTTCTATGAAGAAGAGATGTCCTGTTATACCTGTGCGGTTCGGGTGATCGTTTTACAAAAAGCAACTCACATATGGTGAGTTGCTTTTTGTAAAACGATCGATAATCGGTGGTAGGCGCTTAAATTTTGTCCCTACAGTTATCATTGAAAGAGTTAGCGAAATAGAAGAAAGTGAACTTTCTCAGTTCAATAGTAAAACAGGGTTTTTGCACCCTACCCTATTTACTGGAGGCATTTAGATTCGCTAGTTCCTAATGGCACCGATTAGTGCGAGAGATCGAGCAATGCTTGACATTCTCTGCACTCATCGGTGGTGTCTATTTGAGAGCACCGTGCTTTCTTTGTTTCTAGTTAGTCTGGACATTTCGATTCGGTCAGTGATGTCAACAAATGAGATATTGACAATTTGACATCGATATTTTCTTGCACCGCCGTTGACGTGGCCGGCGCTGATCCGGTGGGGCTCGAAAACTTCTGGGAGTGGGGCAGGATGGAGGACAGCCCCACGGATTGATGCCTTCTGAGACACCCGTCTGTGACCGTTGGAAACTTGCCATGTTTGTGCTTTTGGGCTTTCACAGTAATTAACAGGATATCTTTAGCGCACTGGACGTGTTGGGGTCTTTGAAAGTACGTTTGGACTTGGCGGTACACAGTTGTAAGTCACTCAACACGCACATTTAGTAACATACATTTCGTATTTTTATTTGTAATGATGATTTTTTATTTTACACGAAAAATATATTGATATAGACATCATATATCAATGTTAATAAAATAAACAAATAATAGTAAAAAATATATCTTAAGATATAAATTATATTTCTATTTTCTTTTAAAGTCGTTGTACCCATAGACATGGCAAATATACATATTTTGTCTATATCCTCAGCTGTTTGTAAACGCCGCGCTTGTTGCCAACTTCCCGTCAGTCATTTTATTCGGTGGCTGTTAGTTAGAGGACGATAATATCAGTTGAAATCTTTGTCATCTGCAGTTAATTTGTAAAGTGACATTATGAGTTCGGGTATGCCTGAGTTGGGCTCCAAGATAAGCCTAATATCGAAAGCTGACATTCGATATGAAGGTCGACTTTTCACCGTCGATCCTCAAGAATGTACCATCGCTCTAGCTAGCGGTAAGTTGACAAATGGATACTTCTATCTTGTTATGTTGGCTTGACCTGTTTTATTCCTTTTTATTTTAATATTTTATATCGATAATTTTCTTATAATGCTGATTTCTACTCATACCGGTCTAGGGCAGGCTTCCACAATGTATTTCAGGTTTTCCTATTGATGTTGTTTTATAAAAGTTGCTGAATATTACCGATTGTTATTTTGATTTTATTAAAAACCAAATTCTCTTTTTCTGAAATGTTGAGTGGTTACAGTTTATATAAAATAGTCAAATAGCACATTGTTTTTACTCTACCCTCATTACAAATTTTTAGCCCGCCTTTCTTACCGATGATGACGTTGATAACGATTATATTCCAGTAAACAAGGTTTTTTTGTTTGAAAATTACTTTACCTGGTTTAAAAGAGAAATCGTAAGATTTTTCTTCCTTAGGGTAGAGGCTAACTCTATTAAACAAAAAATTTAATGTTTATTGGTCTGAAACATTATTTTCTACCCCACCACCTGCTGTTTTGATTAGTCATTGTATAGCATGAAATTGAATCTATAAAATTATGATTAAATGGGGAAATTAATGTTATATTATTCTTTAAAATGTTTCCTTAGTACAATTTATATTTAATCATTGTAATCTATTGTTTAATATGCTTAGTAAATATTTCATTTTTCTGTCACACAGTGCGATCATTTGGGACAGAGGATCGTGAAACGCAATTTCCGGTAGCACCACAGAGTCAGGTGTACGACTACATCTTGTTCAGAGGATCGGACATCAAGGATATTCGTGTGCTTAACAATGTACCCTCCTTGCCAAACGATCCTGCAATCATGCAGATGTCTGTGCCTCCATCCCTTGGGGGTGCAAGCAATCAGGGACAATATGCAGGGCAGTTCAACCACCCAGTTGTGGGGCAAACACAATATCCTCAATATCATCCGATGTCAGGCTTCCCTGGGACGATGCATGCTCAGCTCAACAAGACTAGTGAGTTATCACCACAAGCGCAAGCATCGGTCGACTTGGGACCACAGCCCCAGCCAACAGCTGCTCCAATAGGATCTGGAATGATGCATCATGCCAACCAAGTGAAAGACCAAGGTTTCTTTTAATAAAAACCAAATATCAGCTTTGGCTTTCATAAATGCTATTTTGCGATTTTTGCCATTAACACAAACCAATGCCCTGTCTGCAAAGTAATTGTTTTTGTGGATACAAAGCATTTATTTGTGTGCTAAATCATTACCATAAGCATTAATTCTCTAACATAATGCATGCTTCATTTTATTTCATCTACCCTCACATATATTCTTTCCTACATTTCTTTTATAGCATTCATTTCTTTTGTAGCATTTTTATTAAGGTTTTTATATCTACTATTTGGAATAATAATTTTAATTCTACTAAATATGGTACCTAAACTTTGCTTATTAACAAAACACCATTTTAAAGTAATAATTAATAGTATTTTAATTTATAACATTCATTCATATTGTATTTAGTACTTGCTTTTGTATGAAATATTGAAAATATATACATAGCATTTTTTTTACAAATGAGTAAGCTTCTAAAGTATTTAATGTAATAAATCAACCATAACAAGTATTTACTTTAACAAGAATTTACTAAGAGTGTTAAAACTTAACAAATATTTTTTGTTAATATTTTTGTTACTAACAACATAAAATCGCAATCTGCATCATTCTTCCTTGGTCTATTGCTTGAGTAAAGAAATCATTGTTGTTTATATATTTCATTATTATTTAGAATGTTGAGACTTTTTGTATTCAATTTGATATATGACTTGTTATTGAAATTAGTGGTGATTTATATGTTTTGATATGCTTGATCAATGCTTTGCATAATTATAGTGTATGTAGTAAATTTCTGTAGCCAATCTATCACTGCACATTCTACTTCTACATTTCCATTCACAATAATCTTTGTTTGCATTCGATAGTGTCTATTTCATTTTTGTTTTATAGCCTAGTTCTATTTTATTCTTAACTTCAAAAGTCAAAACACATTTCTTTATAAATTTTTAGGTCCAATGTTCGATTTGTTTGCGGGGGGACCTCAACAGAATGCATCACGGTCTGGAACACCAGCTGGTGGTCATAGAAAAAGCCCTACTGCTGATCAAGGCACTCAGGTGAAGTGAAAAACTATGGTCTAAGACTGCTATGTATTTCACATTTTTAATTTTTTTTTTAAATAGAATATTAATTATGCTATTAAGTTTGCAGTATGAATGGTATTTTGTGTCTAAAGGTAGTATTTAATGTAAATGGGGAAGCAATAATGTATGATGTTATATGTCTTTGAACATTTACATTTTTTACCAGCAGTAATCCGACAAATGCAAGGTAGTGTCGGATTATCTTATTTTTCATACAGGAAGAAATACTATTCAAAGTGATTAAATTTTATAATACAAGAGTAATCCGTAATCGTTAGCATTGCAAGGAAACTGAGACAACAAAATTCTTTACTCGTAGGTGGGTTCGGTGGCGGGTGGTTCCGGGCAGCGCGATAATCGGAGGGGCGGTCCGCAGAAGGCTGGTCAGCAACGCGCGAGGCCTACTTCTCGTACTAGGCAGCGCCTGCCAAGCGGGGGCGCCGCACCCAATGCTGTCACCACCCAGGCACAGTCCTCTGCAGTACCCCAACAACAGCAGCAGCAGCAGCAGCAGCAACAACAGCAACAACAGCAGTTGCAGCAGCAACAGCATCAGCACCGCCAACCCGGTGAATATAACCATATAACTTTTTTTTTTAACATTAGGCAATATCCCTCTGAATATCTCCTTCATGAAGAGAGTAATATAATTATGTAAATTTTTAATGTGTAATATTTTATTTCTAATTTTAATGAAGTGGAAGGTTTTCCATGGACTCTTAAGATGTTTGAAATGCTGTGAAACCAAAATGAAATAGGAATAAATCCGTAAATAAATTTTTATTATGTTAAAGTTAATTTTTAATTAAAATAATAGTAATATTTGGAAAATTTTGCCAACCAGGTCAGGGCTACGGTCGCGGGGGCTGGAGGGGAAGGCCGCGCGGTCGCGGACGTGGATTTGTTCCTCGCAACAAGAACACACTGAAGTTTGACAATGACTATGACTTTGAACAGGCCAATACAGAGTTTGAGGAGCTGCGCAGTCAGCTCGCTAAGACAAAGATCTCAGATGGGGAGACCAAAGTGGAGGTAACACTTATATTTTGATGATCTTTGGATCATGATTTTTTTATTGAAAATAATTAAATTACATTTATTCCATACGGTATTTGCTGACGTGTTATTAGTGTGACGTGCAGGGTGAAGTGGACAAAAAAGACGACTCGGGTAACGAGACTGGCGCTGGCGAGCCTGAAGTCGATGAGGATCCCTCTGGTTTCACTGGCTATGACAAGAATAAGAGCTTCTTTGATAACATCTCCTGTGAGGCTGTTGAGAGGTAATATACTTAACAAAATTTTAATATCTACTTTATATAAACTAAATTTTAGTGGTGATAAAAATTGTATTAAAACAAACTGAGTGAAACTACATTGTGTTATATTTGCATTAACACAAAATAACTCTAACACATATAACATAATATTTGTGAAGATGGTATTTGAATAAGTGCTTGTTGATTAATGCAACCTATGGGAACCGGTCAAACCTGTGGGAATTGCAGATATTTTGGCCAACCTTCAAAAGTGTGGACAACTGTTGTGACCCATTTCAACAATGATAATCTGGATCAATATATTAAAATTTTCTCATATTACATATCCATGATTTGAGCTCTGCAGCTGTACTCGAAGACTTGAGAAGTTTAATATATTCTTGTAATCTTTCTATGCAGGTCGAAAGGGCGCAGCCAGCGAACCGATTGGAGGACTGAGCGCAAGTTAAACTCTGAGACGTTCGGAGTTGCTTCCGCCCGCCGCGGCGCATGGCGTGGCCGTGCTAACTGGCGGCACAATCCACACAACCCCCACAACCCGCATAATGCCCACCACCAACCGTGAGTGTTACGCCTGGTGGCAACTTTATTTATTTATTTTATTTTATTGTTGTAACAAAATCCACAGCACTTTTTTTAAATATATATAATTCTTATTACTAAAACTTAAAGCCAATTTGGATTTACATTATTCTGCTAAATTATTTAAATTACGACAGTAGAAAACATGAAAGCTTTTGATACTTTGTTGTCTTAATATTATAATAGCAAAGTTAGCTATGTAGTTATACATTTTATCCTTTCAGCCAGAGTACATAATCAAAAGTGTAGAGAATAATTGAAATGTGGGTGATTCATTCAAATACAACATTTCATGAATGAGATACTAATTCATTGCTTAAATGATAAAGATACAAATATGAGATACACATGGGTATCAGTTACTATTTTTACACTGTAGCTTGTATGTGTATATTGTTTAGCTAGTAAGTCCCAACGATCATTGCATCTTGAAGGTGTTTCCTTTGAAAACATTATCCCTTATTGTAGGATAACATTATCCTGTGTTGTAAGGACATTTTACGTACATGACGACCCGAATGGCGTAGTGGTTAGTGTACCTGCCTCCTGCGCCAGAGGGTGTGGGTTCGTTCCCCACTACTGGAAAAATATTGTGTGATGAACATAGTGTTTTTCTAGTGTCTGGGTGGTTTATATATTTATAATATGTATTTATTTACAAAAGAAACGTATGTTTAAGTATGTTTATCAGTTTTCTAGTACCCATAGTACAAGCGTTGCTTAGTTTGGGACTAGAAAATGTTGTGTAAAAATGTGTCCCAAATATTTATTTATTTATTTATTTATTTACATAATTTTTCATGTGGACAAACATGCAGATCCGAAACGATTATCTGTGGTCACAAGTGGTTGTCTCGTGTGGGAATCGAAACCACGACCCCCTTGTCAACTGCGCCACGGTGTCATCCAGTAGCCGGGATTGCGTTCGAAGGGAGACTCGTGTCACTATGACGGTGGTTCAGAGCAGCGACCATGGTTGACGTCCAGTATGTCCTACTTCCCCAGCTGGCGGTCGATGCGCGGCGCGCGTGGCCGCGGCAACAACAATATCCGGCAGCCGCGCGCCAACGGGGCGCCCTCCGCCTCCGCCGCCCACAACGCGCAGCCCGCCACGGCCGCCGGTTCGTTAAAAGATGCCATACATTGCTTTGACGAAGTGAAAGAGCTTCTGAGAGATTAATATTATAATAATTAAATCCACATAATTTTTTACTGTGATAAGACCATGCGGCAGCTTCTTCTGATGCATGAATGGGCAGGCTCGTCCAGACATTCCACAGCCTTACGAAAGACCGACGTGAAGTGGAAGTATCATACTTTCCATTTCATCTGATAATTGGGTCCAATTTTTCTAGAGCTTAGCAATGCATTCGGAACCCATCAAGAGTTGGAGATGCCCTTTGGCAGCGGTAATACTATAAAACTAATAGCTTCGCATAAAATAAAATTCATCAAGCGTGGTTGCTTGATCAAATTATTATTGATCCCTCCCTTTGCTTTATTTGATTCAATTTTTCTTCATTGAATAGTGAGAGTTTGAGTATCTCATATTTTTCAAATGTAGATAAAACTTGTTGTCTCTATCCACCCATTTTTGTGAATAAACCACATTTAGGTAAAGTTTAATATCAGTCATCATGAAGTTTCTTGGTCTTCAGAGAATGAGTTAACATTACAATTGGCCAGATCAATCACAGCCATTTTATTACAAATTATAAAAACTGTCTTCTAATATTTTTTTATTTTTCTCCAGCCAAGTAGAAGACAGCATGACACAGGGAGTATACTGAATCTTAATTTATTATCGCAAGGACTAATCACAAAGCAAATAAGTAACGGAAAAGTGTGAAATGGTGATTGAAGTGTGTTAAGTAATCCATTTATAAAAAGCTAAAGTTGTTTGCGGGAAGAAAATTGGAATGAGAATTTAAGATGTTGGACATTGCTCTGGTGTGCTAGTGTTGTATCCAATAAATGGAAGGTGTCAGCTGGTATTCCCGCAAGATTGAGAGATCAAATTTTCTATGTCCAGATGTGGTTTGCACTTAAAAGGTGAAATAGGAACTAGTGAGCAAAATGTGTTCACTGTTTTGGGCAGGTTTATTGACATCCATTAAATTTTGACATTCAGTTATGTCTATAGAAGCTATTTTAGGCAAATGTTCTGTGATTACGGATGTCAATATAAGAATGGTAAGCATGTCAAATTCTACTGAGGCTACATAGCAAGCCCCTGCATAGTTGAATAAATATTTTATGCCCAATGAATTATATATTTTCCTAGCTTCACAAATGCAGTTGTGCCTAAAGTTGTAACAAGTTGTTAGATTATTATTGAACATGTTTTATGATAGTGTTCTCAGGTCATTGCATTTCTTTTTTTTATTTTTAACAGCAGTGACTGAATGTTATACTAGCAGCAGTCCTACCTTAATATGTTATAGAACACTTGTAAATTTAGCTCATCAGATACCTTTGGGCATGTTTAAATTGCTCTGCTGGCCAGATTACTCACGAATTTCGTAGGTAGATTAATAAAACTACTCAAGGTGTCTTTGGCTTTAAATTTAGAAATTACATGAGTGATTCGTTGACTGTCCTTGTATTGTTAGATTTTAAATGAGATGGTAGGACTGCTGAGGTGATTTTGTGACGGTGTTGCTGGATTTGTAGTTATTATTGTGTCCATATGGACTTGATGATTATTAGAGTGATGTTAATTGTAAAGGCACTGTCATAGTTTAGACTTCAAAATGAGCTACAAGAAATATGGTGTTGTATCACACAAATTATATTTTTAGTGTTTTTCAAAATGTTCATTTAGAAAAAGGACTGTTGATTTGTCTTTCTATTAGTATGATTTTGTTAGCTTTGAAAGAAAACTATCAGTCCTTCCTTGAAGACAAAATTAAAGAAATATTTTTTTGACTAAATACAATATATTTGTAAATCTGTAACTCAAAAGCTGTACCTGGTGATTGTATTGATATGGAAATATACATTTACTACAAATCTTCCATTTTAAATCTTTGTTTTTAATTTCAGTCCAACATTTATGTACATGAACCATCACTGCTGCATACAATAGCACGCAGGCATTTTACATTCCTTTTCTCCTATTCCTGCCCATTTATTTTAACCCCAAGAAACCTTTTTTTCCTAGTATAACACCGTAATAACTAATTGCTTTCTTCGTGTTTTTTTTGTTCATTTTCTTCAAAGTTTGAAAATAAAGTGGAAATTGACTCAATGAAATGCATGTGATGATTTTATTTTATTTTATTGCAAACGAATCCTATAAGCCATTAAAAACGTACTTGCTATTCATTTTTCTCATAAACATACAAAAATAGCCAAAACACATTTTATACAGAATGTTATTAAATTTAAAAGTACCTGCAACACCATCAAAATGACTTAAAAAGCTATTAATCATAATAAAGTACACAACATCATAATAAAGTACTTAAAATTTTGTTCACCAGAAAAAGCATTGATGACATATTCCGAAATTATTTATTGAGGTAAGGATATACAAGCCAATCAGAATATGTGAGCAATAACAACGTTAATTACCGGCCGCCACATTTGAAACAAAATGTCCTACATCCGTAACTTCATAGCAAATAATTAAAAATATTAAACAATCCAACTTTTGAACAAATAGTACACCTAAATTTCCATAATACACTACACGTCAATAACATTGTTACATTACTATATAAAATATTTTTTATAAAATATAAATGCCCTTCCGTGCGTGAGGCGCACGCTATTACTATTGAAAAAAAATATTTACACAAATATTCTTAGCAAATATAAATTATTACTATAGATAGAGGGTATAAGTATTAAAAAAGTTTTTTATACATAAGTATAATGTATGTTGTAAGCATTAGATACATTTCAAATATTTGAGCCTTAAAGTGTACTGAATTTTTTCTTTTGAAATCGTTTGCATGCGTTTCTTTGCAACGACTATGTTCACATAGTTAAATTTTCAGGTAGTATTACATAAAAAGGTTATAAGTTCACCGATCTCTCCAAGCTTATAGGTACAATGACAAATGCAAGACTATCTACAGTGTCATTAGCTCGAGCAAAATAACTTCAGTATAAATTAATACATTCACAAGTGAAACAAAAAAGGGAACCTCTTAAATAAATAATAAAATATTAAATATGATAGAAAATAAAAAAAGACGTATGTTTTGATGACGTAAAATTATCTAAAGGAGAATTTGATTTTGAAGTGAATCGTCCCTAAACGATATTATAGGAAGATGATTTTTTTTTAATACACAAGTACTACAATTTTTTACACTAAAGTATTAAGGACAAGGTAAATAAAAATAAACTGTTTAGGAAATTTTGTTCTTATTTCGAAACGATTATCTTATTTCAAATGATCTATTGTATCCGAATCTACCTATCTGTAACATTTTCTAGAATATCTGTATACATTAAGAATCCACTTACTATTAGATTTTCTTATGTATGTAATGAAGCATTAATAAGGAAAATTAAACGATTACAAAGTGGGTGTAGATTCAGCTTTATAATTATAAGCGTACGGTTGAATTTCCCAAGTTGAATTTTTCTGCGCGGAGAGTCTAGCTTTTTAGTGACGCGATTCGAGCGTTACTAAAGAGATTATAAACGACGTTATATAATTTTGCCGATGAGTTGCCACGGCGGGAGACTAACCGCGCCATTCCCTTGGCGGCTGGCCGTTCTCCACCACCCACACAGAACCACTCTGCCCCTTGGTGAGGATATCTATGAGAGCCCTACCCACGTGCTCCGGGCTGAAAAATTAAGTTGGCCAGTAAATTGTTTGCGCTTTGCGCCTTACTTTAAATGGAACGAATGAGGTAGTGCCTATAATCATATTAGGCGGATTACTCAGTGCTTTAAAATTTGTAGATTTTTTAAATTATATCTATTAAATTTAACCCGAGTTTTTTATTCAATTCAAGACTGACCAAGTTACCGATTGACTTATTAGCCTTAAATGGACGTCAATGCCTTTAATGGATATTAAATGTATTGCATTCGCAATAAAGGTATGAATATGAACATAATAATTATTTTATTAGTTTCAATCTTAAAACAGTTTTGCCGATATTTATTGTTCATAATTGTAAGTTTAGTCCTGATTTCGATTCTCAATATTCAGCTTAAAACTTTCTTTATTTTTTTTTCTACAAATATTAATGTTTCGTCTTAAGTGCAGAGATTGGCACTATAAAATTTAATGACCTTACAAAATTGACCTATTCCTACATGCGGTCTGCGCTACTCACCTCTGTGTCTTGCAATTCATGTGGTCCCTCTGCCAAGCGGCTTCATATTCCGAAGACATTAGCTGCTTGCGTATTTCCTTGACCAGCCCAGTGTCAGTGAGTCCCGGGCATAAGACCATACTGCGTACACCCGTCAGGTTCACGTGGTACTGGTCCTGGTGATTGTGGACGCGTGACGTTTATTATAACGTTGCACGTTTTGGAGGTATTGTTCAACTAAAGAAATACTTTTTAATATATATTAAGTATGTAAGTACTTATGGAGTACATAAAATAAAAGTAACAGCTTTTACAAGTTCCACTGCTGAGTGATGGCCTTTTTCACCACGTCACCACCCGTAACGCTATACCACTGTTGAACGGCAAACTACACATCATCGAAATATTTTATTTTGTCATAATTTCGAAAATATGCATGTTTTCTCACGGTGTTTTTTTTCATTCACCACCAGGTCACCGGGATTTGATCTCGTTGCTCGAGTATATTAAAACTTAAAAGCGAGCGCCGGTACACTGAGCAATCACGCCTCATGTAAGAATGGAGCTCAATGACGCTTTTGCAGCGTTTTTGGTCACGAGATAGATTGAGTCTGACTGGGGCGGATAGAATAATTAATCTCTCTAGTGTAATGTATTTTGTGTTACTCGCGTAAATACAAGAAATCAGTATTTTTGTGATAAATTATTGTGACCGTTGAAGGGCCGTGACCACTTAAAAATTATGTGAGAAAATTTTTTCAGGTTCTCCATTAAAAAGATAATTTTTTAATTCATTTTTGTCATCAAAGTCAAAAGTTAAAATTTGTTTATTCTTTTAACTTTTATTGATTCACTAAATTAAACCTGTACAGAGAAGGGGCAGCAAGAAACTCTGCAGTCTTGTTCTCTTTTTTTTTAATGATGCAAGTATTCAAAATTGTAAGTGCATGGTAGATTTCTAATGTAACGGAATTCAATAGGGGGATTGGATCTTTCGCGATGTTGAAAATGAAAACCATCAAACGATGCGATGTTCCCATTAAAAATGAAATCATCGAACGTTCGACAGATGTGAAACATATCGGTAATATATTCATTTAGCCAATTGGTGCACTAGCATTAAACGAGAAAAGTCGAAGCTTAACAACGATTGGCGCATTAGTATTTTTAAATGAAAACGAGAAAAGTCGAAGCTTAACAACAAATTTCGCTTCACGGAACCAGCTTCCCTGTAATAGGCTTACCCCGTAGGCGCGAGTGAGTCCGACGACCGCGTAGTTGGTGGCCGTGTAGATCGGCGTCGAGACTTGCGGCTTCGCGAAGGCCGTGGAAGCGGTGTTGATGATGGTGCCCCCCTGCCCGCCCCTGTCTTTGCCCATGAAGCGGTACGCCAGCAACGTGCCCCGTATCACGCCGTTCTGGCGCAGACAGAGCGAAGTTCAAAATGTGAGAAATTAACGGCCTGTACAAGTCAAACAGCTGATAGTAGCACGGCATAGTCCACCACGGGAACTCTTGCATTTCAATGGAACTCTTGCATGTAAACATGTGGAACAAGCACGGTGATCTGGTTTGATGTCTCTACAAATTGCAAATATCTCCATTGATTAGAAACATTACTGACTGACGACCCGATTGGCGTAGTGGGTAGTGACCCTGCCGCTTGCGCCAGTGGGTGTGGGTTCGATCCACATAACTGGAAACATATTGTGTGTTGAACATAGTGTTTTTCCAGTGTCTGGGTGTTTATATATTTATAATATGTATTTATTTACAAAAGAAAAATATGTATATCAGTTATCTAGCACCCATTGTACAATGGTTGTTTATTTTGGGGTAAGAGAACGATGTGTAAAAATGTGTCCTGTAATATTTAAAAAAAAACCTCGATATCATATATTGCCATCGCAGAATAATTCACTGCGATAGGACACAGCAACATGTTGCGCGAATGAGTAGACTCGCCTGATGAAGGTCCATCAGGCTTCGTAGAGAGAAGACTGGTGTGAATTGTATTTCTGCGTATAGTTTGGTAATGGAGGTAACCGGGGCCCGCTTTATTAAAGGTGGCACACCATCTACAACCCCACGGGTGTTGCATGCCTATGGGCAGCGGTTATCAGGCTCGCATGTTACCATCGCTTCCAACGAAACGGAAAGAAAACAGAAAGCGCAATGTTTTCGGTGTACCGTCAGCGAGCTAAAAAAACATGCGGCGAAGTGGCTTCAGGACCCACGGGTTACACAAATTCTGGAAACAACAGTAACTACAAATGCTTGTTTCGAGAATCTGTGTAATTTGTGTCCGTGATTTCATGTTTGGAAAAAATCCATGACAGATTATTCCATATTTTTTTAAGTTAAAGAAAAACTATCTAAAACTGTAGCAGTAACAGTTTTCTTTTATTTTTAGCATAGAAAATACACAAAGAAATATTTTTTTCTTTCACCAGGGAGGTATTACTGAGAATTATTTACCAAAGCATCATTACATTTGGTTTAATATTTTAGAAACGTATTGAGGACACAAACATACCAACCTTTTATTTTTATTACAAGATACAACTGCCTTTCTTACCAAATTGACGTCGACTTCTAGTTCCCAAAATCGATCGTTCATTACGCCAGCGTTGTTTATCACTATATCCAGACGATTGAACACTTTTATCGTCATCTCAAACGCTTCTGCAAATAAACCAGTTTATAGAAGACGATGAACATGTAAAATGTAAATACCTAATATATGTAAACAATCTAGTGTAAAAGGAGTTAAAAAAGTGAAAAAAGACCAATAAATCAAGAATTAAAATTGGTTTATGCGTAAGATTTAAGACATATTCTACTCGGTTTTTAAGACGATATACTGTTTTCATTAATAACTACATTCATTTTCAGTAAATCAAAATAAAAATCATGCAGTTATAGTTGTTTGCACTACTTGTGTATCTGTTTCTAATCGATACATGAAACACTCGAAATATAACAATTCTTACGCCCGGTTTCTGAAATACTGATCATCGTAGATGTCAACTAATCAACTGTCAAATGAATTTCAAATTTCATTTTAGTTGCCAAAAGGAAACCGGGCGTTATTGTTATAAATTACATACTTCTAAATTGCAAAACGTAGTATAAACGTTCGATATTCGTTCATGTCAAACCAAGCCCCAACACTCACCCTCGTACTGCGGGTAGTCTGTGACGTCACACTGGCAAAACAGTACGTTCTTACGGCCGTATTTAACGCCCAGTTCATCGGACACCTGTTCTCCGATTTCTGAATCGATATCACACAGCGAGACCTGCAAAGTCAACCACCGCATTACTCACTGTACCTAACGGCTCCCTTCCCGGATTTCTCAGGAAAAAATACGTTTTTTATAAGAATCGTAGTCTATATTCCACTATTTTTCGACTTAGCGATTTTCAAGGACTTCAGAATCTTGTATCTTGTATTAACTGATGTTTTTGCTTTCAGTCCCGAGACTATTAAAGCTTCATCTGACGCAGAACCGGTGGGCTAGCCAGAACCCACGGGTTTGGGCCCTCCGCTGTGGGTAGGGCCACGCATGTGCTCATGCGTGCGTTTAACTATGGTACGTCATCTAAGGGCCATCGAGGTCGTGGTTGTGGTTCGGACCGAAACCCCGGTGGCTGGGGGCGGTGAGAACCGCCCCGGAACGCGGGTGTACCTTGTGTACGCGTTGTGTTGGTCTCGCCGTGCTCGGAGGCGAGGGCGAACTAGTGTGTTTGTTGTTGCACTAACTGTGGGTGTAGTGTTGTCCGGCGGGACCCCCGGCAGTGGGTCCGGCGTATCTAAGTCCCCTTCCTCGACCGGGTCGATGAGGACGTTTCGCGGGCGACGCTTGTTGACGTTCGCGTTTGTGTCGGGTTGGTAATTTGCTGCGCTTACCACCAGAGGGTTGGGATGATGTTCGGCTCTATCGAAGAACCGTTTGGTCAGGTCTTTAAAATATTCGCGAATCGTCGGGAGTCTGCAATCGCTGTGCAGGTCGACGTTGCGTTGATACCACTGCGCACCGGTTGCGCGGCGGATGAACTTATTTTGTACTATTTGCAACTTGTACAAGCGAGTAGGGTGCGTGTGGGCGAAGGTCATGCATGCGTAAGACATAATAGGTCGTACGCAGGTCTTATATAATAATAATTTGTGCCTTAAGGGCATTTTACTTTTAGCGTTAGTTAAATTGTGTAGCCGGCCGGAGCCGCCGAGGTTCAGGCTAGGCGCCTCGTGCGCCAGGCCACCTCAAGTCCGTCGGATCTGTGAAACGGCCGGAGACGAACGCGGCTCTATTGCGAACGTTATTAATGTGCGTAGTAAATGACATACGCGAGTCGAAAGTGACTCCTAAGTATTTGACCTTTTTCTCCCAGGGGAGCGGTTGGCCATAAAGAGATAATTGCCCCAACTTTCTGCATTGACGAGGGCCATTATAAAGATGTGACGGGTAAGTACTTCGTGTGAAGTGAATCGCCACACTCTTTTCGGGATTTATTTCTATTCTCCATTTGCGGAACCAATCGCCGAGGCGGTCGGCAGCGCTTTGGAGTCGAGCGGTTAGTTGTCAAAGGTTGCGGTCTGAATAAAAGAGCGCCGTGTCATCCGCGAAAAGCGCGAGATTGACGTGGGGGGTCTTTAGGTAACTTCAGAATCAAAGAAGACTGCACTTTGAAATGTTAGCATGTACTATATAAAACTGTCATATACAACGTTCGTAAAATTTATATTTAATTTTAGTTGAAAGTATAATAGAAAAACCAAAAGCAAAACTTTTAATAGAAACAAACATTTCATTTTCGATTATCGGCAGCACTTATCAAGTAGTGAAGATTGTTATCCTTCTGTTGTTTCATGTTAAATTATTCTATTACTTCAGTTTTGTTCCATTTTGTGTTTATATTGAATCCAAAATGGTAAAAAAGTATTGTATAAAACTGTACAAGTGAATTAGTGTCTAGTTGTGGCATATCTTGTTACAGGTAAGTTATATTACTGATTTAAAAATCTAGTAGGGTGCCTAAGATTGTATGCATATCGCTAATCGCCTAAAGTAGTATGTAATCTACATTTTAAAGTATCAGAAGAACTTTTAGTCATGTTCTCGAAAAACTTTAAAAATTAATGCAATTGCGGTTTTAGCGTTCCGTGCTCAAAAGGTAAAACTGGACCCTATTACTAAGACTCCGCTGTATGTCTGTCCGTCTTGAATATTATTTTGAATATTTCGAGGGTTTGAACCCCCAAAACTCCATCCTGTATACGTAGGCGACGTGCATGCATTTAAATACGACAAATTAAAACCATGATCATGAGGTCACTATGACCACTAATTTTTATGAAACAATTAATCGAATAATGATTTCGAAACAAATTAACATTTTTAATAAGATCTTACGTACCTACTTACTTTGCATATTTGAGTAAGTTTTCAATGAACGGCATGTAACACACTGTCGTAAATACAGTGTTGAAATCTAAATTAAAACCAAAATTATGCAATTAAATCCATAAAATGGTTTTATTCAACTATGTTTGCATAAAGTCAAGTCATCTTCGCCACATAAAAGGTCAGAAAATACGCGAGAAAAACTGTTTACTTAAATTTCTCGTTATTCACTAGACGATACCGTTTCACAGATTTCAAGCGACTACTGAAATCAAATATGTTAGATGTCGTTTTAAATCTAAGCTGAGTCTCAGTTTAATAAATTGGAATGATTAAAAAGAAAATTTCTACATTATAGATAAAAATTTGTAGAAAAAAGCCACGAAGTTAACGATCGTTGATCGCCTTATTTAAAAATACATGCGCTAAGCATTGCTTAAAACGCGATAAAGTAATGTACATAAAATACGTTGAGATTTTTATCAGTGTGGCAATCATACGTTTAGCTTAGTAGTTGTTGGGTGTGAGCGCGAGCGGGGTCTGGGTTCGAGTCCTGCCGCGTCTAGAAACTTTTCGTCAGTTTTCTACAAATTATAATATATCACCTTAAATGCAGAGATTGTATTGGGTGCGCACCATAAAACTTTAAAGTATTGCAAATAAGTATTTCAAAAATAATGTAATTTATTTTAACATAGACGCTGCGTTTCATGAAAACATTCATCAATCAAATGGTTTCAAGAGGCAATTATTTTTACCAAACGGTTTGCGTTTGAATTGAATAGTTGCCGAGCTTGACTAATTGGCTGGATGAATATTTTATTACAGTTGAAACGTCTCTCAGTATCCGTCGAAAGGGTTGCTTTTATGTTTCGTCATTCCAATTATTCGCTCTCAGAATTAATGAAGGCGGATTTAAATAAAGATTTCTTCAATCATATCTATAACCATATATGTTGAAATAGATTTACCATTATAATTTATATTAATTGGGATTTGTTTTTATAGATATTCATTGAAAATTTTAGTAAGTACATAATGGTATGGTACAGCTTAATGCTGTTACACACACCTTCACTTATTTTTTTTGTTTTGTTGTTATGTTTACAATTATTTTAAGTTTTTCCAATATTATTTTACATACTGTGTAGTTACATTATTTATAAGTTTTGTATGTATCCATTGTGCTTAGACCGTGAATAAACATTTCTTCTTCTTCTTTATTCTTCTAATTAATGGGCTGGCTTCATGTGGTAACATAATATGTAGTGATAATTGATGATAAAAATAAATGCAGTATCGCAATAACGACCCTACCAAAGGACAACTTTTTACTTAAATCCTAGCGACTTTAACTGTTAAATTTTTCACAATTTTACTGCCAAAAATTTTGAAAAACTTTATTTCAAACTTTATTGGATTTGTTAGACAACTTAATAACCAATAATTCAATATATTTAAATCGAAGCAATCTATAAATATATCGGTAAACCTTATTTCTCTATTACTTCGGTAAGGAAAAATCAAGCCAGCAAACTAACGACAGAAAAGAGCCCATTTCTTGTCCATATACATATGTAGATTCAAACCAGCTATACAATATGTCGTCTAAGTCTACCACTAGGCTACCGCTAACATGTTGTTTTGGTTTATACGTAAATAGAATCGTATATCGAAGGGGCACTTCGTCCTATTCGGAAATCAATATCCTCCCGTTAGTTGGGAATAAAAGAGATATAGTGATATGTCAATATAACTACTCTGTTTAAGATCTAGTACATTTCAAACGAATTGGAATAACTCATAGTAGATATGTCATTTGTATGGTTCCATGTTATCGATACTATCAGGCCGCTGAACCTCTTTTGTAATTATTTTTAATTAAATTTTATTTTAGCATAGCAGGATTTTAATTAGTAATATCAATATTATTAAATCAAGTCGAAAGGAAAAGCTAGAATGCTACTATATTTAAATATACCCTTATGACGCCATTTGAATATATGTATTATTTTGTCATATATGTTATAATTTTTAAATTGTTATACGGTAAATTTAACATAATTATAATGTTTACCCCGGGAACATGTGTTGGGTTGTATACTAAAAGGTATTTCCTTTTAGTATACAATCCACTCTTAATTACAAAACACGTTACGCATACTTATGCACATTCTTTGATTTAATTTATGATTTAAAATTAAGAATTAGGAGAATTGAACTTCTTGGTAGTTCTAGGAAATACCTATTATTTTTGATATCGATGACCGGTCAATATTTTTGGCCACGATAGCGGAATAACAATTATATATATAAAAGTCGATTTGAGTTATACTCATATTTTATAAATCATCAAGTTGGTTAAACCTTAACATGCCGATAATACCAACGGCAAAATATATGACAAAGAAATATAAAAAGTTTTTCATTTAAAACTTAATATATACGTAAATGTAGTGTCAATGAATTGAAGCCCCTGTAACGAAGTACAAATCCATTTGCCTACATTATTCAGCACATTGTTTTGTTGATAATCCAATAGTAGTTGTAGGGGTTACAGAATATTAGGGTTAAATCAATTAGCTTAATAAAAAGGAATGAAACACGTGCTCACACAAACTTGATGAGTCGTATGAGGATCAATAGTAACTATAATATCGAAATTGTTACGTATTTTACATACAAGTAAAAGTAATTACCAAGCCGTTTGTCAGCGTAAATTTCGCCTTCATTTACATTGTACTTCCTAAATAGTGTTTTAGAAAGCTGTAAGCATGATACTTATTTCTAACTGCACAGCTAAGTTGATACTATGGGAAAATATATCTACATCTGCACACGACCGACTCGCCGGTAGAAGAATCAATAAAAACCGACAAACGGAGGTGGCCCTGCGTTAGTTCGTTGCACGTGTAAGATTGACACCGTAGCACGCAACATTCGAAAGCCGTACGGGGCTCGTCCATTCACATTTCTATAGTCCGTGCGAAAATCGCAGCGTAGCGGTACTACGCCGCTACGCCGTAGTGCGGACAGAGAGCACACAGCACAGAGCGCTCTTACCTTGGCACCCTGTTTCAGGAGCTCCTCGCAGTAGGCGAGGCCGATGCCGGCGGCGGCACCGGTGATCAAAGCCACCTTCCCCTTAAGCTCCATTCCGTTGTCGGTTTCCGTGCAGAGCGCCGCGCCCAAAATATGCGTCCCGTGCTACGGTTGCGGCGAGTGTGCAGCGTTTCGATCGCGACGGGAACGCGGCGGCGCGAGGGGGGCGGCGGGGAGGGGAGGCGCGGGGGTCAATAGGGGGCGGGCAGCCTCTCCCCAAATTCCCCTTCTGTAGTAAATATACGCACGATCGCACGCCACTCTCGCTATCTGCACCCACTAGTCGATTCAGTACCGCCGCTGTCCACACGAGCTTCAAAGGACACAGTCACGTGTCCTATATATAGCACACGCACCGTTGGTCGCTTACAGATGAGGAAGCGGCACATCGTAAATAGTACAAGCGTGAATAAAACAACAACAACGCCGATCGATTTGTTTATTTGTAGTAGATACCCGAATATACCTACCGTACCATAATTTTTGCCGGTAAAAAAAAATAATTGAGCATTTTTTTAAAGATTTTAAAAGTAACCACAAAAATATCACAGACAACAATAAGCCAAAAAGAGATCTAAAACGCGACCGAGATAGTGAGTCGCGATCTGTACATGAAATAAGAAAATATATTTTCACACAAATCGATTACAATGCAAAAACTGGAAAATTTACAAATCACATATAAAACATTCTAAAATCACATAAACATGCGAGTACATACCACGATTTTGCTGGTCTTAAAACAAATATATTTATATAAACAATATTTTGTATCTGATCTGTACAATTAAAATAGCTACGATTTACGATACATAAACAGTAATACACAAATACTATGTACATTCAAAATATTACAGTGATTACATTTAGACAGAAAAGAACATCGAAAATTGAATACATTTGGGATTAAAAAAAAGACAATTTGCCTCGTTTAAATTTCACAAATAGAGAGAGTCGAGCGAGTGAGCGGAAAAACATATTTTAAATCGATATTCTTAATTTTGACACCTTAAGAATAAAAAATAAAACGTTTAAAATAAATAAAAAGTAAATTGCGAAACATTGCAAGCTGTCAACTTTTCCCGCTTTTTTTCTGTTTCCGGCATTTCGTAATCCTTTATGCCAATGACAAGTTTCCCGCTTTTATTTTCTTAATTTCTTACCGGTCAGTGTGTGGTCGAAATAACCCGCTCAGCTGTATTGTCTATGCCCGGATGTACGAAAGCGAAGGAACGGGAGATGGGAAACGGAAGGGCTAGTGGTGAGCTTGGTCGGCCCCTGCGGCGGGCACGGCCTTCGCCAAGTAGGAGAAGGAGCGAGCGTTGGGGAGGCCGGTGAGTACGCACGCGCTCAGCGCCGACCGGTTCAGGTTCATCGGCGCCGCGTCGTACCACTCGAGGGTGTCGCCATCGTAACACTCCACATGGGGGATCGTAGTCGAGCCTGAGGTAGGGAACAATTAAAAAAACATTCACACTTGGAACATACACGCGATCTATTAGTGATATGATTTTTTTATCATGCGATAAAAAACATATCACTATAAATAAAAAGTGACAACAACTGAAATACGCCGCACACGTAAATACCAATATTAAATAAATGTACATGATTTTTATAGTGATATTTTAATAATTTTTACTGTTGACAATTGTTCGTCACTTAGCGAAATGTTGGAGTAAAAACTACAGCGCTGATTTCAGTTAAGAATGACCATGAATTGCTATCTGCTTACTAGTTATTGAGACCTGCTTAATAGATTTTAAACTGATGATAAACAGTACTAAAGTTGTCAATTATCGACGATTTATCAATCATCACAACGATCATGCATCAATTAATCTAGAAAACATTTTCTGGTAGACAAAAAATTGGTTTGATATCATGATTCACTGTTGTAGGAATATTTTACATGCACAAATTGCTCAAAGATAAATGTAGAACGTAGGTACATAGGTATAGAAGAATTACAACCACTTCAATGCATGTATGAAGGCTGATAAATTAAAGTTATCAAAATTTTTTCGTTTAACGCAACATCAACTGTACAAAGATACAGCTTTTCTGACACTACATACCGTTAAAACCTCCAATGACGAAGATCATGTCGTCCAATAAAACGGTTGCAAAATTACTCCTTGCACTGAACATCTCGGTTATTTCTTGCCAATCGCCGCCACGGTGCGGGCTAAACCTCTCACCTGTTCGTTACAAATGAGAGATGAATACCTATTAAGTGCATACTACACATTAGTAAGTTCTTCGAAAATCCTTACTAATATTATAAACGCGAAAGTTTGTATGTATGGATGGATGTTTGTTACTCTTTCACGCAAATACTACTGAATGGATTTTAATGAAACTTTACAATATTACAGCTTAAACATCAGAATAAGGTATAGGCTATATACATATTTTATGTATATCTGTTTTTCTGTCTAAATATTACGCCTTCAGCCTACTCTACGCAGACGTAGTAGCGGGCAGCAGCTAGTAATCTATAAGATTTTAATAAATGTATTTGAGGAATGTGACACCGTTCATGTTTTACTCATTAAAACTTAGTGAAACAAGTATTACACATAATGTTATAAATTTGCGTTAGCTATTTAACTATTATACCTACCTACCTACCCTATCTAACTTAACCCATAGTCCACTACCCGACCCAACTACGGATTGGTGGACAGCAAATACCTTCAAAATGTTTTTTTGTTATTATTTCGAAAATAAGCAGGATTTCTCACAACGTTCACCATTGGTACGTTGTACCGGTTTTTTCAAATTTCATTGGTACCGGTACCAGAGATTGAAATTATTAAATTTAATATTGAGTATATAAAATTTAAGACGCTCGAATACAATGAGCTATCACGGCTCATAAATAACCTAATAAATATGTTGGCTTAAAAAACACACTTAATAGTCTACATATATTTTTTTCTGGGAGATGGTCAAGAATCATTCCTTAGAAAAAAATAAATTATGAAATGCTTAAAAAGTACTAAACAGTTACCTATATATATTTTATATCTAGAAGATGGTCAAAAACCATAAGAACCCAGATCTGAGGGCCCCACCGGTCCTCAGATCAGCGCGTGATTTGAAACAAAACTATTAATTTACAACGCTAACCGGTATTTAAACGACTGTATCCGTTGAAGCCGCCGAGAGCATAAAGCGAGTCCCGATACGCGATCAGGCTGACGCCAGAGCGAGGACTCAACATCGACCTGATGAAACTCCACTGCCCCGTCCCAGGGTCGTACATCTCCGCTGAGCTCAACACTTCTTGGCCATTGAAACCGCCGACAATGTAGATCTATTCGTAATTTAAATGAAGAACGTTTACACTGCTCAATGTCGAAATAGAGAACATTTTGACACCAGGTTAGGTTGAGTAATTGGCATATACACTCATGTGTACCAGAAGCAATTGCTTCAATATCTGTCCACACTATATACTAATAAATCTCCAACGCTGTTAAACTTTATGACAGCCTTACTTTTTTATTAGTAGTTACTTACTTAAAACCGAAACATCAACCCTCTCAATATTCATAGAATATAGGCGAGAATGAGTCTTAATCGTCCACATTCATGAACGTACATCATCATCAGAACATCTACGTATATCGCAGATAATTCTGCCTTAACGCATGAGAGTTTTAAGTCACAACCTTTAGGTTAACCGGTAACAGATACTACTGTCAAAGAGGCTGTATGCATAGCCCAACTTGTTGAGTTCACGTTGCTAACTTGTTTAGGATTCGGTCCACATGTGGGACAAGATAATGTCCCAAGTTAAGTTTGTGAAATTACGCGCCGCACAGCATTGATTTTCAAGCGCAGGTGTGGCTCAAAAATTTTAAAAATATACGTGAAATTTTATATCCCTGTAAATGCGAAAATGAGCACAAACTTTTTTTATTTTATGAAAATTTTATGAGGAATAAAATGACAACTGCTAAGAATAACTGTTGCTGTTGCTAATATACTGTTATAATTTCAAAGTTCGATCCATCGTACCTTACCGCCCAGCGAGGCGGCGCTGGCATCCGATCGCTGCTTATTCATGGGCGTCGTCATCTCCCACTGATTCTTCTCGGGGTGATAGCGTTCCACCGACGACATCCGCGTCCGCCCGTTGTAGCCGCCCAAAGCGTATATCAAACCATCTGCACATTAAATGAAAGTCTTCTTACCATTTATACTGCATTTAATTTCAGCTTTGAAATCTTATTCAATTCATGATCGATAACAGTCACAACGTAACAAATAGGATCAGCCTACAACTGTCTTTTTACTTTTACATGCAAAAATGGTTTAAAGAAAAATATTGTAAACGGGGGTGATTTTTCACTGTCCGCTTATTCTGTCTGCTACGAGCAAATGGATTTGAATAATAATGGCACAATATTTAAACCGTTAAATAAAGACTGTAAGCATTGGCGTATCTAGAATTATTTTTCAGGGTGGGACTGGGCCTTTACTACAAAAAAAATTGAATATTATGCGTATTCAAAAAATAAAGTTCGTTATCGTTAATATTTTTATTAATTTATAATAGTAGTATTAACTAATTCGTAGTTACTACGTTGTGTATTCACAAGTAATTGTTATCAATGATTTTTTATGAAATTTCTTAGGCATCCAGCCTAAAATTTCGAATCAGTAACCCAAAATCCTGGGGTGGGCACTAGACGATTCTGTGGTGGGCATGGCCCACCCGGCCACCCTGCTATATACACTGACTGTAAGTACACTTTTAATTGATAATTTATGTTTATTAAACAACCAACAAAGTATACTAAAATAAAACCGTGACGACCGGTTATATTTAAAAAACGCGTGGACCTAAAGATGACCATGACATGATATCTAGTCTGATTAAAATTTTATTTCTTATTCAAAGCCATAACTCCTATATGCTAAAAAAATAAATATAAAAAATAAAATAAATATATATAAATAAAATAATTTCTTTAACTAGTAGAAGACCAGAACTCACAGAAGACCAGCGTAAAGTGGTACTATGAAAAATACTTTCGAGTTTCGTTTGGTGAGTCAGGTAGCCGGAGCCCAATTTTCAAAAAGTTGTCAACGCATCTGTAACCTCCGGATGTAACAGATGTTCATGGGCGGCGGTATTCACTTACCATCAGATGAACCGTCTGCTCGTATGGCAACCTTTCGCATAAAACAAAAGCTAGTAAATTTAGTGAATAATGCTAAAAATCGGTCAGTCTCTTACCATGGACGACTACGCTGACATAGCACCTAGCCTGATACATACAGGCGCGCTCGTGCCACATGTTGGAGACGGGATCGTAACATCGAACAGTGTTAAAGTGATCGCTACCGTCGAAACCTCCAATCATATAGATAAGGTTGTTCAGTGTGCACAGGCCGTGATACGCACGGGGCGTTAGGTCCATATGGATCGAGAGGAACCATCGATCGGCCCTGGCGAATGAGTAAGAAAGAATTTAAACTTTCTTACACGTAAAGTTGTAAAACCCGACCAGTATTGTGTGTAGCACATTCAAATATAGATAAAGAGATTACATCACAAAGTGACGAAAAGGACAAAGAAATAACCAATAGATTTTTTTTTTGAAAAATTGTCATATTATATAACGTTGAGAATTACTTTCATATGTAGCGAAAATATCAGCTAATTATATAGGAGACGTGATAGCCCAGTGTAAGAGCCGTGATAGCCCAGTGTCCGGGCCCTCGCTTATAATTCAATACACTAGCAACCTGAGTTCGATCCCCGGTGACAGCACCAATGAAATGGTTAATTTTAAGTAAAGACTTATCACGGGCTTAGCTGTGAAGGAAAACATCGCGAGGAAACCTGCCTATTTTCGATTTACAAGGAATATTCAATAATAATTAAAAAAAATAATAATAATAATAACAACAACAATATTTAGAAGACATGTGAAGCCCACCAATCTGCAGTGTATAGAGGAAGCCTTTTCCCAGTAGTGGGACATATATAAGCTGTTACTTAATTTTTTCCACCATTCCACATTGGGGCTGCATGGTGGACTATTGCCTTGATACCTTCTGATAGGCCTCTGGCCTTTGCCCAGCAGTGGGACATGTATAGACTGTTGTTAGCGAAAAAAAAAAAAATTTATCTAAAGAACTGGATGATAAGAATGAGAAATTGAGTACAAGACAAAAGTTTACCTAGTGTCATAAGTTTCGACGAAGCTTGTAGGACTACCAGCGCTCCATCCACCAACAGCAAATAATATTTCGTAGGGAATTCGGGGTCTTGCCAAAGGGTCGTTCAAATCCGCTTCCATGCCTGGCCTCGAATCCAGTAAAGTTAAGAACACTACTGCTGGATAAAGAGCTTCTTGACATTTCTAGAAAATATGACCTAGAGTTAAATACATCGTTTTAAAATCTTAATATGATCGACCATGAACCTATTTAATGGCTAATTCTAACCTCATCCTCGGTAACCGGTTGCCACTGAAGTATTTTTGATTTAAAATATTTGTAGCTTATATGACCATACCGCACACATGACAGCAAAGCAGGGACGTACCTGCGTCTGTTTTCCAAATCATGTTCAACCCACGTTTTTACAGCTTGGAAAACTATTTCTTCATTACGAACATTAAGTTCATCATCTCTCAAAATATCTTCCAATTCTTCAAAGGATAGTGATTTAAACTCATTACATTCTTTGAGAATACGTGCAAAATTCTGTCGTATATACAATTTGCCTTTCTGCTCTAATTCACTACAAAAGTAGCATCTAGCAAATTTGAATATCCCGAGACAATTGTGCGGTCTTAGCTCCTGTAAGAGGAGTTGACAGCATAATTGGATGATACCGACTACATCAAATTGGTCTGCGAAAGGTAATAACTTTTCTACATTATCGGCTGTTACAGTGCACGTTCCCGTGTATGCATAGTCAAGAATTAATCCCATATAATAGCTTGGAACATCCACAAATACCTCAGTTTCTTCTGGCTCTCCTTTCTTTAAAGAATTTACAAATATCGCCTTGAAATATGGGCTAACCGCCGATAATATAGCTCTATGTATGCGTATAGATTTCATATCTTGACAAATAATTGTGCCATCACATAATTGACCGTTTTGCCTAAGTTCATTCCAGATAGCAGGAAATTCAACAATAGAGTAATTTTCAGGAAGGCAAACACATTTACGTTTCCGTGCAACTGTCTTCTTTTTAGTCAAACGAGGCTTATTTGTAGAAGGAGTACGTGCGGAATTTTTAGTTTTAGATAATTTTCGATGTTTCGTATTAAATTCCATCACTTCCGAAAAAACGGCGGTCGAAACTTTTCTGTCGCGATGACAGATTCATGTCACCGACTTTCTTTTGTTTGCAATTTGAATGTTTAAACTATTCGCAATATTACTAACTGCCAGCCTGATTCTAGTGTAAATATTTGAGCATGGACATCCATTGTGGGTTAATATAAAATTGGGTTAGTTACTGAATTTACTCATGGAGTTAGTTACTGAATTTATATGAAAGTTCACTTATTAAGTGAACTTTCATGTAATTTAAACATTTATACAGTTTATTTAAATTATTGGTGGGCGGCATTTGAGACGGCCGAAATAAATAAATATAATGATTATTTATAACTGATTTAGTTTAATCTATTGATTTTTGTAAGGATTAAGGGTGAAAATTCTCGATTTATTGTAACTTAGAGGCATATCACTATTCAAAATAGAAATGCAGCTAGTGTCCTTGCTTGATAATGAAAATTTCGATGTACGAGGACCCCTCGGACCCAAAGTTTCAACAGTAAAAGTACCAGCCTGTACATATCCCACGGCTGGGCAAAGGCCTCCTCTGTACAGAGGGTATCAGGGCATAATCCACCACGCGGCCCCACTGCGGATTGACGGGCTTCACATATCTTCGAAATACTTTTTTTTATTATTATTATTTTTTTTTTTTTTTATTATAAATTATGCAGGTTTCCTCAGGACTTTTTCTTTCACCGCTGAGTACGTGATAATTCGGCACTTAAAATTAATAATTACATTTGTGTCGCCACCGGGGAGCGAACTCAGGTTGCTCGATTATATTGAATGAAAGGTGAGCTTCCGGACACTGAGCTACAGTTTCAAGTGAGCTCTTCAGTTTCAACAGCAAATAGCACAAATACATAATCTAAACAAAGAGAGTCATATTTGCGCCACTTATTTCAGCTGCCTCTGAAGCCAGCTGACCGAAGTACCCCTTAGATGAGAGGCAGCCAAATTGTCTACACCAGTAGCATCCCTTAGAAGGGCTTTGCCTCTCTCAAGGGTTTCAAAGTCAAGCCGTCGGGTCACCGTCGCGAAAAATGCCACAGGGCTCTAAAATAGATGGAATATTGATGGAAACAAGAGCCCTACGGATGATGTGGTTGAGCGAACCGTGACGGGAAAAGCGGAAAAACTTAAATATAGAGATAAAGGATGTTATTACATAAATTATTTACGCTATACATGGAAGCAAGGAATGCAGGTGGAGCGACACTAGAAATTTTTACCTTACACTGATACCACCAAAACGAATTGGTAAAGAGCTTGAGTCCAGCTTAATTCACAAAGTCACCGCATTTCCAAACTGAACTCAAGCGAAGTAGGTACGTGAATTTAGGTACAAGAATACAACGTCGCATAACAGTAAGCGCAATATGCAAATTTAGTAAAACAATTGTTAACATGATCTAAAAATTTATTTAACTTTAATTTTAAAAGGTTCCAAACTTGGTATTAACAAAGAAGCACCTAAGAAGTAAAGGGAATCTGTACGGTATACGTTAAATCCGTATATATACGACGACGACTCGGCCAATTCGGAGAGCATGAGTCAGCTCGACTCGAGGCTAATTAGATAGGAAGCATCAAAGTCAAGTAAGTTAATGATGTTGAATCGTGATGTTATATAGCTACTCGAGTCGATTCGCAACTTTGTATGTGGTCTGAATTAATCCTCTCCTTTTTCTATACACCTCGACCCCGAACAGTGTCCGACGGTTGGGATTTCAAAGACAAAATTTACAGTCAATTGGCACTAGTTTGCAATTTATTTCGAAAATCAATCAACAAAGGTGTATATTATTCCAGCGCAGATCTCAACATCGTGTTTAAGAAAATACGACAAAAAAATACCGCCATCTATCGCCTCAAAGTCGTACTTATAAAATGTACATAGTCGATTGCTTATCGAAAATAATGTTAAAAAAAGTTTCTGTTTTTATAGCAAAGAATTCCGACGCCACACTTCTGTTATTTGACGTCGTTGCAAACAAAACAAAACAGATCACTAACAAATCAAAAATGTCAGTTCGCACGCGGATCGCCAACGGCCAACTAATAAAAACAAATAACAAAATGTCAATCAAAAAACAAAATAAACTTTTAAAGCGGTTTTTCATTTGCGCAATTCTGAATTCAAAACCCGAGTTCTATTCGAGTTGATGCGAGTAAGATGCAACACCTTACACGAACGGCGCGCGCGCGTGTAACGTAACTTTGAATTCACTCAACTCGAGTTGATGCGAGTTGCAACACCTTACGAACGGCGCGCGCGCGTTTATCGTAACTACATTTCACTCAACTCGAGTTGATGCGAGTTGATGCGAGTTGCAACGCCTAACGAACCGCGCGCGCGAGCCGCGTGTGTAACTCGGAACAACTCGTGAGGCCGCCGCGTATAACGTCCGGCTTGCGTTCGGACGACCGAGTTGATTCGAGTTGCTTAAAACTGAACTCGAGTTGACTCGTTTAAGGTTTGACTCGAGTTACTCGAGTCAAATAACTCGAGTCGCACATCGCCATTAATGGCTTTAGGTATGCTTTTGTTTAGCCTTAAGTTGGGGTGAACACAATAAAATTTTAAATAAATTAATAACTTCCTACGTGCGTACATAAGTTCACACATATTTTTTTAAATGGCAGAGGTCATTATTAAATTGATAATATTTTTATCATCTTCAGAAGACAGGGAAAGGTAGACTTGCTTGAGTTGAATTCTACCATAGTGTGATACAGAACTGCAGCATCATTTTTATATGGTAACTTTTGTTTGTGGTACTGTTAAAATAGGTAACATTATTACTAAAAGTCAATTCGTGTTTTTGTCTATTGGTTGACTCTCTTTTTCTTCCGGTTGTCAAGATGGTGAGTTTCGTTAAAAGGAAATTAAAATGAATCAATAAAAATCACAGTGAAATTATTGTGTAGTGGAAGTTTGAAGTGTTTTTTAACAAAAGCAGTGATATAAATATGTGTTTCGTTTCTTATTTCAGGGAGTGGACATCAACCACAAACACGACAGGAAAGTTAGGCGCACCGAAGTTAAGTCTAAGGATGTGTACCTTAGGCTTTTGGTTAAAGTAAGTTAACTGAATTTTCGCGAAAGATGATTAGTTTCAAATAAAGTGTTCGTTAAAAATTTCGGTGTTAAAATAATAATACTTCTTTGTTTACAGCTGTACAGGTATTTGGCTCGGCGTACAAATGCTAAGTTCAACCAGATAATACTGCGCCGTTTGTTTATGAGTCGCATTAATCGTCCACCGATTTCTCTATCACGCTTGGCCCGTCACATGAAAAAGCCTACCCGCGAGGGTCTTATTGCGGTGGTCGTTGGCACTATCACCAACGACGTGCGCCTGTACAAGGTTCCCAAACTAACGGTGGCCGCACTCCATGTCACTGAGAAGGCTCGTGCTCGTATCTTGGCTGCTGGAGGTCAGTAATGACTATTATTTACATGGAAAATAGGTTATGAAGCATGCTCAAAACATAGCATGTAACATTGAATTTTGTTCTAGGTCACAATTAGCTTAACATTGTAGTTGAGATATTGCTTTGCCACATTGTACATTGTATCAGTATTTTGGTAATTTTTGTATAAATATTAGTATGTGTAGTTTTTATGCCTGAAGACAATAATTAATAAAGTAAAACACTACTACAACTAAAAACAGGTTATAAATATATTAGATCTGTATGTATGTATTTTGCTCTCAATGCAACATTCACTGTACTACTGCAACATTCACAACTACAATGAGTAATACTCATAATAATTAGTAGTGCAACTATTTCATTGCAGTTGTATCCAGAAATATTTACATGACATACATGTTGAATGATTCCCATTACAGTAAAGAAAAATCATATTTGCAATATTTGTCAGTTTGCTAATCTTTTAGGGAGGTATCTTTTTATATTTACTATATTTATTGTACACAACAATAAGGATTCAATAAAATAGTAAATCAACTTTGCTTTATTACTTCTGATTTTGTTCAAGCTATGCTAGGTTATGAAAAGAAAGACTTCTTGGATTATTGTAAGACATACCATATCAGAATTGTCTTGAGGATATATTGGATAAAATTTTGTCAATAATAATACAATTCTATACTGATCTGTTGCCTGTTCATGAACTAATAAGACTTAAACTGTTAAGTGCTTATTATTAAGTTAAGGGCAATTATTGTTTTGCATAGCATAAAAATCTGTATGCCCCAGGAGGAAGAATATGTAGGAATTTCTGTATTCATATCTCTCTAGTTAAATATAAAAAATCATCTCTCTATATTTAAGTTTTCATTAAACTCTTTTCCCATTGTAAATTAATAATCTAGTGAATATGTTTACTTATTGTGTTGTCTACTGGCATTTTATTCCTTACCAACTATCTTTGCATTGCATATAGATCAAATCATTCTCCAAATTTCACCTTATTTTTTGTTTTAATGATTTTTCCTTTATAATCTATTGTCATATATACAAACTGTTGAATTTATCAGACTAACTTAATACTATGGTACATAATTTTAATTTAATATTTATTTAACAGCTATATTTACTATATATAGATTTTGTTATTGTTTAAAATGACATGTTGATGTCTTTTTTTGGCATCATCAAAAAAGTAAAGTAACAGCCTATAGATGTCCCACTGCTAGGCAAATGCCTCCTCTGTAAAGAGGGTATCAGGGCATAGTCTACCACATGACAACGTCATCATAATAGAAGTATGATTTGTAAGTGTTTGGAGAAAAAGTTAGTTTTGTCAAAATTGGTCATACTACGGGAAAACAATGTATGACAAAGTAAAATATAAATAATTTTTATCTTATTGCTTTCAGGAGAGATTCTGACTTTTGATCAGTTGGCTCTCCGTGCGCCCACTGGCCGCAAGACGGTGTTAATGCAAGGTTGTAGGAACGCCCGTGAAGCCGTGCGCCACTTTGGGCCCGCGCCCGGTGCGCCCCGCTCGCACACAAAACCGTACGTGCGCACAAAGGGTCACGAGCGTGCCCGGCCGAGCCGTCGCTCCAACGTTTAATCTTTTTAATATAAGGAGTACCTATACCTATTTATGTCTTTTATTTGCACATTGAACATTTTTTAACTGTGGCATAGGCACAAGCGATTATAGCTCAGTGTCCAGGCGCTCACTTTTCAGGGTTCCGTACCCAAAGGGTAAAACGGGACCCTATTACTGCTGTCTGTCTGTCACCAGGCTGTATCTCATGAACCGTGATAGACAGTTGAAATTTTCACAGATGATGTATTTCTGTTGCCACTATAACAACAAATACTAAAAAATATTTAAGTGAGGCAAAGATGAGACAACAGACATGATTTTTTTTGCCATTTTATAGATAACGGTAGAGAACCTTGCGTGCGCGAGTCCGACTCGCACTTGGCCGGTTTTATACTAACGTACTTGAGCAACCAGGGTTCAAATCCTTGTGCTGGCACCAATGCAATTGTTAATTGAAACTTTAAATGCTGCCTCATCACATGCTCAATAGTGAAGTAGAGCATATTGAGAGCACTGCCTATTTTTGAAATAGTAAAAATATTTTTTCAAAGATATGGAAAGTGTCAATCTGCGGTGCATGGAACAATGCTCTAGTAATCTCTGAGGTATTTACTTTAGGATCATGCTGCAGTTTTTGTTACACAAATGGCCAATCTCTTCTGTGGTTGTTGCATGGCTTCACAGAAGACAAGTAGGTCTTATATTAGCGAGTGATATAACTGGGCCCACTGTTTATAAAGGTGTTGTTGACGTCCATGTGGGGCGGTAATTGCAACGTCGTCTTTTCACATAAAAATAACACCTATCCATAAAACTTTATCGGAATCTGGATTTGTATAATTAAATTATTGTTCTTACATTAAAATGGTATGAATCACCAAACATGAACATTTTCTGGTATTTGTTGATTGTTGGATAGTGATTGGTCATTTTTTACTGTATTATGAATTTTCCTTTAATTTGTTATCTTAATATATTTTGCCTCCTATTTTTTTCTTTCAGTGAAGAGTTTATAAGCAAATAGTTTTTACCACTATTTGTTTTGTGTTATTCAATAGATAACCAATGGTAAAAATTTGAATGTCTATATTATTTTAATACTACAAAAATTGTACAGCGTTAAAATAAATATTCTTCAATATCACAGATTGTTCTTAAGTACAAAATTGATTCATCCAGTAATTTAATAGCATTTCATCTTGATGCAAAACTCCTAATGTCTGTTTTAATTTTATAATTGTGTCTGATTTGGTTCCTGAACAAACAACAGCTGCTTTCACTGTATTTGCAATACTGCAAAAAAGAAAGAATAAATTTGAAATGTTCATCCAAAAAGATGATAAACAACTATTTATAGTAATTCTTTAGAACAATGTATGTTAATTTGTAAAACATACCCCAACCACTCTAACTGTAGTGATTTAATGTGTTGATTCAGTATTGGTTCACTGAACATTTCATTTGAGATTGCATTTTCGATCTTGTTCATAAGAGTAGGGCCTGAAATAAAGTGTACTTACTTAGAAACATAATTATCATTAAGACAAATTTCTGAATCAAAAATCTTCAGATTTGATTAAATTTCATACTAATATTTACTTTAAAACAAAGAATAAATAGTATTGACTCATTATTAATGACCATTTGATTGAATTAATTTTGTAATGCTAGAAATCTGAGAAAAAAAGATCTCACTTTGTAGGTACTCAATGTGAATTTGCAGATCTTTTAAGTTTCATTACACTTACACTTAACAGGTATTTTGCTGAACCATTTGCAATTATAATTGCAATCCTCACTCTGTTCTAAAATACAACATTTAGATGTAGTGGCATCTGTATTTTCGCTTCTAATTTTAGCAAATGCCGTGTTTGCAGGAATTGGTAAGAACTGTGATAAACCCTGTATAATGTTTGTTGAATTACTGCAGTTAGAATTCACAATTACCTAAAAATTATGTAAATGAAAAATATGCAGGAAAAAAAATATATAAAAGAAAGTAGAGCATAGTAAAAAGTTAAGTGTGTAACTTTTTATTAATACATAAATTACATTGTATATAAGTTCAATCATTCATTTAATAATTCCTAAAGTTGTTGTCGCTGTGTCTGAGATTCGATATTACTTTTTATGTTATAACTTCATAGGGACTAGGGAGCATGGTATTCACCGAATGGTCATTGATAACTCCCACCCATGGATTGCAACTGACAGTCTGTCTACAACTGTTACAACTGACCAGTTGAGTTGTAGATAAAAAAATGTAAAACTGTCTACAACTGACCAGTTGAGTTGTAGATGCATTACCAACCATTAAAGTGGGCCCAGGATACCTTACTCCCCAAATGAAATGCGAAAGTATATTACTTCCACTACACATTGGTTTTCTGTTCAGCTGTGCTTTCCCGGTCAAGCCAGCCCATTCATGCATCCTCAGAAACTGCAATGTGGTTCTATAAAGTTTGCAAGGAGAAGGTAAACAGTGTGATAATATAAAACACATGATTAGACTTACATCTACTCCAGTTAATACGCAATATAATAATATCCTGAACACTGATTTAGATAACAAATTTTCTAAAGATCGCAACGGCATATAATCATTTGTATTACTTAAAAATGAACTGCTTTGTTCAAAAAAGGTATGTTTTGTAGTTTTTGGAGAAATTTTGTTAAGCAGATCTTTACTTGTATACAAAGTCTCCGAATATGTGAGTGCACCAGTTTTTAACATCCATGTAAAATGAGAATGAAGTCTCTTGTAGATATTTTCTTCACCTAAAAGAAAAATTTTTAGAGACAGAATTTAAAGAATTTACCTTTTGCTAGTATTTACAATTTGTAAGTAAAACAAATTATAAACATGGTTATAAATAGACAATTTACTTGGATTATTATTTTGTATTGATAGCTCAATTTCCAGATTGATCCTAAAAATTAACAACACTGGCTATTGTTTTAAAGTCAAAACTAAAACAAATTATATTTGTACATAACATAGACTAATACATATTAATCTTAGGAATAGTACAAAGTACATTTACCAGTTAATTGTGTTAAAGATCTGGACTGGCCAAAATCATTTCTTCCAGTTTTTAGCCTCAATGCTCTTTGGGAACAAATACTTTGCTCATTCTCAAACACAACATTAGCTAATTCTTGAAGTTCTTTTGATATTTTCTAAAAACAAAAGATTTTTTATAAATACACAGGAGCTTTATTCTACTGACTATAGACTCTGCAAGAAAGTGACTGATATAGGTATAAAAAATAAAAATGTTTTGGTCATGGCCAATTTTTCACCATTACACAAATTCTTTTTAAGAATAAAAATTTGTATAGTATGTAAGGAGTTGTCACCTGTTCAGGAACAATCATTTTGAAAGTTCATTAGCAATAGCAGTTTAAGTACTCTGCATTTTTAAAAATCAAGTCAATATAATTGAACTCTGATAATTTCTCGACATTACAATAATGTGCAGTTAAGTATGTTAGTTTTATGACTGGACTTCTAAGATGGACTTGTACCACACAAAAAACTAAAAAGTTACATAGATAGATAAAAGGCAGATTAACATAATTTCAAAATGAGTTTATATATCTAATATTCATTGAATAAAAATAAATGTTCATGCTTTTTCTGGTCTTTTCTGTTTTTTTTACTTAAAAAAATCTTTATAGTACTATATACTACTTTATCAATGTAGTGATTTAAAACTTTAAATTCAATTTTTGTACCTGCATTTGTTCAGACAGCATTGGCGTTAGATTTAGAAGTAACAACTTGTCTTTCATTAGCACCACAATCGAGAACCATCTTTTCAATCCCCGGGCTCTAGTATCCTTTAGTTGAAACATTAAGCTTAATACATGGCCCGGAATGTCACTGAAGTAAATCACACCACCTTCTTTACTCCAACTCACCTATGCATGTAATAAGAAATGGAATTTCAGTTTGTAGTTTATTAATTTAATAGTTCTACTGAAAAATGGTGTTTATATTCACTTCGCAAGTTATACTTCTTATCGCTGCTTGCCTCAAGAATGTATTTATTTCTGTGTTTGGAATAGTTTCTCTGCTGCAAAATATTGTGCCGTCATCATCTCTAGTAACTAGCACTGTTTCAGGACCTAGGGAAGTGCACCCACTACACTGAACAGAACATTTTGAAGATTCGGTCGTATGGTTTTCTTCGTCAGTTGTAAAGGTACAAAATAATGGTCGCGGACCATGTGCTTCACAAAAATGACATAGTCCGATAATAGCGTTCATTTTATTAAATTAATAAACAAATACACACATACTTCTTCTTGACATTCATTATTGTTGTCAACAGTATACAATAGTAGTCTTTGGTTGTCAATGTCATCAGTTTAAAATAGTAGGTACCTAGGTACTTAGTTAGTGTGTACTGAGTAGTCTTTTTTGTCAATGTTGTCATTAATAAAGTTTAAAGGTAGTTGATAAATTATCTTTCATTGTCTTATTCTACTCTGTAGTCATATATTTAAGTTTAATTTGGTGGCAACTGTTTTATAAAATAATATATAAAGTAATAATAAATTAATATATACTAAATTTATAATATGGAATGATATCTCTACACTAAACTTATAGATGTTTATTATAGACTTATAAAACTTGTATATTGTATTTATAAATATATTATATCGAATAAACAGTACGTACAACAATATGTATCCTTTACTAGTTCTGTTTCTAACCTCTTATTTCGACCTACTGATTACTGAACATTATTAAATGTATAGATGAATATATTATGAGACCATATAGTAACCTGTATATTGTAATAGCTTTTTTCATTGATGTATATCCCATCGCACTTGCAGTCACACAACAATATAAATTTATAAAATTGCTGCATGTCCATCCATACTTCCCTTACAATGAAAGTAATAAAACTATAATTATGATATAAGCAAGACAAAAAGAGCTTGTGACAGAGACAGAATGTTCAGTAACAACTGTGACAGGCTGTAACAGTTTTCATCTCTCTCTCTCACTAATGCAATAGTCAAATGCATGAATAGATAAAAGATTGTGCTTGTACGATAACTTAATTTCTGGACCAAACAAAAACTGTTATTTATGTTAGGTCTAAGTATTTATCGTAACAGGGAACCTAAGATACGGGTTAAGATAAATACGCCGCACTTCTTTCGTGTTAAGGTTGTCAATATTACGTGAATGGAGATATGAACATGATCCATTATTATGTACCAAAGAATCGAATGTATCGGTATCTGACCAATGAAAACATAAAAAAACATCAATTAATATAAAGCATGTATTCAATTTTATTTAAACAACGTAGCAACGTTTAAGACAGGGTAGGTTCTGGCATTATGTAATTACTATTATTTGAGTTAATAGTTGGGAAAATTATTTTGACAGTAACGACCATTGAATAAATTAAAGAACTTTTTATTTTAATTAACTCATTTATTCAACTGTACACTGATTCAGTTTAACTCATGGAACATCACAAACACAGTCCTTAATAGAGCATTATGTTAATTAATTTGACTGTGCAATAATGAATGATGGCATATGCTTTGTAGCATTATTTAATAACATGATTAGATTACATCCCACACTAATTTGTATGCAGGTAAAACACTATACAACATGGTAACAGATGTTAGAAATGCTACATAATTGTCAATTTCCAGGAAAGAAATAAACATTGTAATATGAAATAAATTAATTTAATTATAAACAAATACACATCTTGTGCCTATAGAAAAAAATGTCTAAAACTGTATAATTTTCACTACTTTTGCTGAGGCGTTTATTTCTTAGATACTGGTTTGTAAGCTAGTTTCCTGGATTTGATCGTGCTCCATTTGTGCCGCTTAAAGTAGTAGACTATAACAGCAAGTGTGGAGAATATCCCTATAGCTTTGATGGTCATAAGACGCCGGTCGTCTAATTCAGGCTCCGAACACCATCGCAGGAAGGTAGAAACATCCTTAGCCAGTTGTGAAGCGGTAGCAGGAGTTCCATCACTATATTCAGCCGCCTGAAATATTACATCATTGGTACATTTATTTCAGATCATACTTGTTCATATGTGAGAAATTCCCTACATAACATACAAAGAGAATTTCCCCAACATATTTACTTCAATAATGAGATTTAGTAAAACAGCTTTTCCTTAATATCATAACAATACCTAATTGCAGGTCCGGGTTATGTAGGACTTTTCATTTGGTAAATGTATAACGTTTATAGGATAACTCTTTTATATTCTACTAAACATTTACTTTCATTAAACGTCAATATTTACGGAGTTATTCAATTTTCCAAAAAAAAATTTAGAACACACTTACATATAAAACTGCAACGTAAAGTTCATTTGTAAAGACCACAAACCACAATATGAATTAAAAAAAGATAAAATATACTGTTAGAAAAAGAGACTTGTAATGCGATGTTGTGAAAAAATCTCAATGTATGGACCAGTCAGTTGTAGTTGTATAGGATGTTATCAATTTTGTTTCTTTTTTATTTAATTTGTTTGAAAATTATTTATTTTAATTAATGTTTATATTTTTTATGGTATTTATTGGCAAGTAGCGTTAGAAGTGTGTTCATTTAAGGTCGCGGTTGTGACACCATACTGTATATGCCAGAACTAAAGACCATTAATTGAGACTTTTTCTACTGTTCAAATGCTACTCTATCGGCTAAATAGGGTTAAGTGGCGTTTCAGTATACGAAATTTTCACTAAGTAGCGTTTAGGTACAACTTAACTTGACGAATTTAGTGTTTAAGAGCTGCTTAAATGTTTAAGGTGCCTTTAAATATTTAAGTCACGTTTCGGTATTCGGGCGTGTATTTGATTAAACCTGGAAAAAACGTCAAAACTGTTTCTTTTGATTTCGTTAAATTAATATTTCGAAGATATGTGTAGTCCGCCAATTCACAGTGGGGTCGTGTGGTAGATACCCCAACCCTAATACTTAGGCCCTTGTGAAGCAATTGGACATTTATATGCTGTTACTTTACTTTTTTTTCGAAATTTTGTACATATAACAGTGTCAAACCAGTGTTATAGAATTTGATACAAGATATTGCATGTAATGTGAAGCATACCTCGTCATATAATACTTGAGCCATAGAGATAGCACCGCCTGGGAAGTAAGGATTGTAGTTTTGTCCTTCACGCAACAATACACCAGCTGGTGGGTCAGTGTAACCAGTAAGTAGCGCAAAGATGTAATCTTCGCCACCCTTACGTCCCGAGCAGATGAGCGACAGATCAGGCGGGTAGGCACCTGGTCGAAAGAATTAACTTTTATAGAAATTGGATGTTGATGATGATTTGATGAATATTAAAAATAGTAATTGACAGTGCAATGCAACCTTAAACATAAGATATCTTTATCAAATGTAAGCCTTACCATTATATAATTATATTCCATTATAGCTTTGAGAAATTGATTTACAACTAAATCATAACTTAAACTATCAAAATCTTGTTTAATGTCAAATAAATAATTAGTTCAAGAAAAACTTTAAGGATGTCGAAATTATATGATCACAAAATGATGATTATATGTTTTGTAGTGTTTTTGACTCGTTATATTTATCCATCCACCATCAATCGTAAAAGTAGTTATAATACAATTTAATATACCACGCCAATGCTTGTGCTATTCTATGATGATGTACTTACTTAGCTTACGTAACTACTGCAGTGTAGACGATTATCAGTTAGAGTGCATAACGTTTATATCTGTCTAACGCCTTTAAATAATGTTTCAAGTTAAACAATTATTTTGTTCAATAACTATGTTTATAAAACAGTTTCTGGCCCAATTAAGTGATTCTCCTATTATAAACTATGAAGATAGATTATGACTTAAAAGTGTTAACAATACTTTGAGACACCGGCAGAGTCCTATGTTTGAGTAAAACTCTTCCAGAGTTCTACTCCAACATAGGACAAATATTTATATCATACAATAGACTATTATTCTGGTTAAGGCAATTTTTCAGGCAGGCTGCTTGTCAAAAAAATATTTGCTAATAACACTAATAACACAATTCAAATGTGCCAAGACCATTTAGGTGGGATAAAGGTAGGAGGATGATGGGTGCTGATAAAAATTTTAGCTACTATAGCATTGCACAAAACAAAAGTCAAATGCCAACTCAACAAAATGTTGGTTCTCTATAAGCAAGCAAAAAAAAAAGACAGCAGTTACAGTAGCACTTTACAACAATATACAATGTAATCAATAAGTAGGTTGAAGACTTTATTTTTTTTATTAATTTAGAAATATATTGTATCATACAATGTACATACATCCAAGAAACTGTTTCCTCTGTCAAGTTTCTTAACTTAATTATTGTCACCCAGATGAGTAGAGATTGTAAATTCACATTCAATTGATACAACTACTACACCTACACATCTACATGTATACACTTTCAGTTATAGGTTTTTAAAATATTAAGAAACATTTAGCAAGTATTTGTATCCAATAGAAAAAAAAAATATTAGTTAGAACTTCAGATAACTTAGACTCAAAGACATAACTTAGACTATAGCCAAAGCTTTGGTTTGTCAATTGCTCTAAAAATAATAATAATATTCAAATTCAAATACCTTTATTCAATATAGAAGTATTACACTTACTTATCGATTGTCAAAAAACACTACTACTAGTTCGGAAAAAAGCCACTGACCTGAGAAGAATCGGCTAAAGAAACTCAGCGGGAGAAATTGTGTTTTTTTTTTAAATAATTTGACAATTATAATAAACATGTCTACAATATTTTTTTATAGTGCCACTCTCTGCACTCAAGATTGAACATAAAAAATTGTAGAAAAAGTACGAACATTTTCGCTGCTGGGGGAGTCGAACCTACGTCTTCGGCATTCGCAGCCTGACGCTCTAGCCACTGAGCTAAACGGCTGATTGCCACACCAACGAAAATCTTAACGTCTTTTATCTCGTGTTATTTTTATGGACATACAAAAAATTTGCAAGTATGTATTGAGAAGCAACGGTCCACATTTTTATTTCTTTAAACAAGTTTCCTAGTAACTCTTTGGGGCCCAGGTTATAAACTGCAATAATCATATACCAAGTCCACTCACCATTATTGGCTGCCCTAGCAGCATTTTCATTAGGATATGGTGATGGGAAGTAGTCCGACAGCTTTCCAGGCCTCTCAAAGTAGTTTCCTTCTTCATCAGGGCCATCCTTAATCATTACCTTTTAAAGGGAAGGTTGGTTTAATATATTTCATATGGATAGATGGATATTTAATCTTATTTAGTCATTGATAAAATAAAGGAGATGAGACGAAATCATTTGTCGATATAGATACACTTATGATATCTTGATTTGTATGGGAACAAATGGAAACAGGCATAAGAGCAATCTTTGCTTTATTACAATAAAAATGTTTTTTATAAACCAACTGACATAAAACAAACATAAATTAACCTCATGTTAATCACTGTATCTTTTAGACCTTTTAGAGGAGTAAATGATGTATGACAATTATCATATTTGAAGAATAAATATGAAATAAATGGGTAGTTGTTTACCTCTGCTGCCTCAGCCTTAGCTTCCTCTTCAGTATGGGTAACATTGACCAGGTTTCGGAAAGCAATGTATTGCAATGAATGGCATGCTTTACACACTTGCTTATACACTTCATAACCGCGGCGTACGCTGAAAGATAAAATATTTAATTAATATATCATAATGGCTGGGTAATACAAGTAAACTACATAATTATTTTTATTTTGATAATTAACATTTGTTGCATAAAATATATATGAAAAAGGAGACTTTATTACACCTATTAACATTTCTAATATTCCCTTATAAATTCTTATTATAATGTATTGAAAAGGCTTATATTTTAAACTCACCTGGCATGATCAAATGATTTGAACCAACCGTCATGGCTCCAGGGTTGGTGATACGGATGAGCTTCAGTCCCTGAAGCTTGAACAGATTGTTCAAGGGCAAAGAGAAGAGCTCCTGCTCCACCGCCTATTACACCTAATGTCGACAGGAGCTAAAATATATAGTTTAGTGTTATAGGTCAAAGTTTACTTTTTCCTAAAAAACGCCTTTTTCCTACATACAAATATATAAAGTAAATAATTAATTTATTTAAATTTTGCTGGCACTTCAAAAAAGGAAAAACAAAAAAATATGACCATTAGAGGCAGTAGTAGTGTTGATTCAATCCTATTAAATGTCAATCAACTAACTTGACATAACATTACGTACGTAAATGTTTCGATATTTAGGCATTTGTATTATTGACTTACCAATTTTCTGTTTCTTGTCCATCCTTGGGCATTAGTGGACAGCTGACAGACCTGCAACGACGATCACTGTTAATTTTCTATGCTTGTTACATAATGTTGAGAAGGTTATCGACTAGACGTAAAAATATCATAATTCACTAAACTGTCAGATGATTTCTTAAGGTTCTTTTCATTCGAATATTATGAGACAATGTAAGAGATTCATATTCTAAAATTGGTAAAATACACTCGTTTTCGACAGATTATTCAAGGTTTAAAATTTATTTTTTATTAAATAATTGAGTACTTAAATCCTATTTATAAATCTAATTGCAGATTTTAGTCTCAATTTACAGATATTTCCTGTACCTGGGGTGAAACTAAGTTGTAATTTTTCAAAAGTCGTGCCCCACAAATCCTGCCGACGGCGGCCGCCATGATAGCAAAACGTCGTAATGAAAGATTCGAATGACAACTAAAACACAACTGCCATTACAAAAATGGCGCCAGTGTGTACAGTAAAAAGAAATAAAAATATGTTTTTAATTTTTGAAACATAATGCCTTATTAACAGGGCAGATTTGATTATTTTTTCGCAAAGTATATTAAACAATAATCACGTCATAAAAAAACTTGCTTCGAATGTTATCGTTAGATTGCCGCATTCCCACCGTTTGAAATATTCTCGGCCCATAAACAGTTATATAAAACAATTATGCAGTATATTTTCGAAAAAATAAATAAATAAATAATTTATAGGCTGTTATCTATTAGACTATACTTTTTCAACCATTGACAGACATTGTCTTGTTATTTATGACCTAAAGCCAACCATAACATAGAAATAAAAAAAAACCGACAGGTACTATATATATATACAAATATATATATATATATATATATATTTACAGTACCTGGAGGACCGAGCTTTGCTCGGTTTGTTTTCTTTTTTTTGTGGGAAAAAGGAACAAAATCATCTGGATGGACAAAAAATAAAAAATAAAGAAAGTAATGATCTGAAAAGTATGTAAAAAATAAGTATGTAAATGATCGTGACACGAACCACGGCCTTCTGTTTCGGGGCCGCCCGATTACCAACCGAGCTATATATATAATATTCTTCATTCCCTTCAAACAGGGATAAAAGGACATTTTCTAAAAATGAAACCTAGCTCGATATATATATATATATATATATATATATATATATATATATATATATATATATTATAGAATTGCTGATGAAAAAGAATGAAAAAAGCAATCGTTTTAGTACATTCTTTACACTTCTGTGCACGTTAATCTTTCATTAATGATATGTACCCAACCAGTAGTAGGTTAGACCATCTTTTTTTGCGTTTTTATCGTATTATTTGAGCACTTTTTTATGACAAACTTAGGTATCTTCACGGGTTTTTTATGATCACACGACGAAGAAGAAAAGCGTGCTTTAAATTACGTCTTAGATTTAATTCACCTAGAGCACATGATCGAATCATTGCTCAATATCAATTAAATTTTGAAATGATGCTAGCATTGTATCTGTGGAAAAACATGCATCAAATATTGATTCTTTGAATCTCATCGCATCTAGCGATGGGTTGTTGCAGTTTAATAACTTAACGTTAACGTTGATTCATGGTCGTCAACTAGTAGATCAACTTTATATAATTTCGTTAAGCAATGGTATAAAAAAAAAAGTCCCGCTGAGTTTCTTTCGCCGGTTCTTCACAGTCAGGCTTTTCTTTCCGAACCGGTGGTAGCATTTTAACAATCAATAAGAAAGTGTAATGCTTCTATATTGAATAAAGGTATTTTATTTGATTTGATTTACTATTTAACGTGGTACTTATCTCAATTTGGACGAATTGATTTCATTTGACATTGCGTCGTTCAACGAGTCTAAATCGTCTGTGTGAATAATATTAGACACTTTATATAATTAAAAATTTATAAATTTTTATAAAAAAACCTTAAACTAAAATTCTAATAATATTTATGCTAAGCCGCAAATAATCTCCGACCTTCCGTACAACTGTACACAAATTGCCAAATAAAAATTTAAGAAAATGAACCAAAAACCTTATTGGTCTTTATTTACTATATCGTATAAAAATCGGGAAAGGGACAAAATAAAAAATAAAAATTAACATACAGCATGCGGATATTTACAACTGCTCTCTTAAATAATGTCTCACTGAGAACGAATTTTTTTTTATTAATCGGTAGCACACTTAAAGCAGATCTATTACAATTACAGAGGACACATCATTTAATAACATTTCAACAACGAAAGAAAGAAAACGAAGAAAGTACAATAATGCGTTATTGGAGATATAGGATAATAAAATATATTGAAATACAAACAGTGTGTATTACAATTGAGGGTAAACTATTTATTGTAGAGAAGCATTTTAATAGTTTTGTAGGTTGAGTGGGAACAAGAGTACATATCTAAATTATTTAGTACTAGTGTTTCGTCCGCGGCTTCGCTCGCGTTGATGCCCTCAAATAAATATCTTTCAACGCTTTACAACAATTTTACAATAAAATAATAGCCTATGTCCTTTCTCAGGCTCTAAACTATCTGTGTACCAAATTTCATTTAAATCGGTTCATTGAGTGAAAGCGAGACACACAGACAGACAGAGTTACTTTCGCATTTATAATATTAGTATGGATTATATTCGGAAGGGTGCACATACGGTTCAGTAGTTCGCTTTTGTCCTTTAGTAATTATAATCTAAAAAATATGTCAAATAATTATAAGGTACGTTATTTTGAACATAAGTTTTTTTAATTTATTCAACTAGTCCATTTTATTAAACGACATAAATACCTAAACGTCATTGAAGAATTCAATTCATTGATTTCGTGGAATGTTAAAATTAATACGCTCAAGAGGTTGACCGTTGATTTAACTGGTTCGTTGATTCCATAGATAAGACATACTGGTTGAGTAGTTAATTCAACGCTCATTGCTAATCACACCCCTGTCACTGTCAAGGTGTCAAGTTAGAAGTCAGTGTCATCTATCATTTGATTTTGTTTTGTAGGTAATTAGAAAATATTCAAATTCAAATTGCATGTTGATTGATTATAAAAAAATCAAAAGTTGTCATCGTATGTACATGCTTTCATGTACTTAAATGTATAGAAATTATTGTATTAAGTGATGAATTTTGAATTAGTAAATGTTATTCGTATATTTGCGACGGCACGTAGTTTTGCGTAGTTTTATTTTATATTCATATTTAAAAAGGTCTGTTTTAGAAAAAGTTATTATTTTTCGAATGAGATTAAATTTTTATTTTATTAATGAAATAATTAACGTGATATTTTACTAGATATTGCAATCTAGATTCAAGAAACATGCAAGTTTTCACGCAAAAGCGTAACCCTATAACTGGTAGTACTGAATGGGATGTACAACATGAAGATTACGACTTTCATCAAGAAATCGCGCGATCAGCTTTCGCCGACATGCTTCACGATACTGAGAGAAACAAAAAATATTATCGGGTATTGCAGTTGGCTATTGAAAGGATGCATAGTTTGGGAAAAAAAGCCAATGTTCTGGATATAGGTATATTTATTATTACAAATCAAATTTCAAATAAAACTTTCATGTTTTAAGCGTTAAAAGAAATTAAATTTAAAAAATAGTATTAAATAAATTGTGTATTGAATTATAGGTACTGGTACGGGTCTCCTTTCTATAATGGCAGCCAAATGCGGTGCTGATTCAATTGTTGCTTGTGAAGCATTTAAGCCTATGGCGGAATGTTGTCTCAAGATCCTGCACCGTAATGGTGTAGCTGATAAAATTACAGTTATACCTAAGCGTTCTACAGACATAACTGTGGGAGAAAATGGAGATATGAAAGAGAGAGCAAATATCCTTGTTACAGAAGTTTTTGATACAGAATTGATTGGTGAAGGTAATTTTTTGTATTGAATTTTATTTGCAAAAAATAATTTTATGCCAATATTAAACCCTATATATATAAAAAGATAGCTTTTAATGTGTTCACAAAACTGAAAAACTTGCCGATGGATAGTCTTGATATTTTTTCTTCATAATATAGCCATACAAGAGAGTGTTTTCATATACCTTTTTATTCCAAAGTTCCAACAGAAACGAAAAAAGCCACAGCGAATGCATGGCCAGGTTCAGCTAGTATGATTATAAAATTTTGCGTGATGGAATTATATACAGTGTCTTCAAATGTTGTATTCAATTTCAGTAGCTAGTGCTTTTGATTTGTTTTTATTTTTAAATTCTATTAAAAAAAAAAAGTTTTGGTTTAAGATGGGAGATTTTTTTAGGTTCAAGTATCTCAGGTGTTAATCACATTTGGATGTTATTAATACATGTATCACTGGGCTCTGTAATGAGTCTTTAAAACTTTAAATTTTCATTTTAGGCGCCCTCTCTACATTTTCCCATGCACATAAGCATCTTCTAGAAGAAGATTGTATAGTAGTACCAGATTCAGCTGTAATTTATGTACAAATAGTTGAATGTCCAACATTGCAAAAATGGAATAAATTGAATGATTTGGCGGACGAAGACTTGGATATAATTTTGAAAACACCAAAAAAGGCATGTAAAAATAGATGTTTAACACTATTTGCAAATCAAAACAAAATTATTATATGTACTTATACTGTATTCTTGATGTGTACAGTTTTTAATTAAATTTTTTTGTGCTAGTCGCTGCACTTAAAATGATACTTAAACACATGTAGTGTAGTGCATTTTGAGACAATTTTACTGTCTCAAAATTTTCTGCCACTGTCAGGGTGTGAACCTGGGCCTTCCAGATTACGCGCCACGCTCTAGCCGTTATGTTAAGGGGTCTTATTCTTTGTTCGTATTTTTATCAATGATTGGTGTTATTCAATGTTGTATTTCTCAAATTAAATTATAAGTAACATATTTATAAACTAGATAATGTTGATTCTAAGTGCTAGTCTCTGCATTTGATATGAAATTTAAAAATGTGTATATAAAACATTCGAAAAATTTTTCGCCACTGCGGGGTTCGAACTTGCGCTTTCTGAATTACACATCCAGAGGCTCTAACCACTAAGCTTCTAGCGATTATCTACACATTTTTATGTACAGCATGTATTAAGAAAAGAGCCTAAATAGAATGGATCATGTTTAATTTTTTTTATTTTCCGTCCCAAGCGGACCTTGAAGAAATTGCACACATAGTTAGGTATCTTTATTATGAAGAGTTTATCTACTAATGTCTAATTTAATTTTAGTTTTACACACAGCTGACTGTCATATGTAAATGTAGACCATATTATATTTTATTTTTCTGTGGAAGGTGTTTGATAACAAGTGCCATCGAACACTGCAATCTTGCAGATCTATAATTATTCTTCCCTTTGAATACATCGTTCCCTTACTGTTGGATAATATAATCCATGCTGTAAGGACGTTTTACATACATAAGTTTCACGTGGACAAACACGCAGACCCGAAAACAACTATCTGTTGGTCACACGAGTAGTTGTCTCGTGTGGGAACCGAACCCGCTACCACCGGCGCCGCAGCCGATGCCTTGTCAACTGCGCCACGGAGTCATCCAACTAACGGAAAGCGTTGATGACGTTTCAGATGAAGGAATGCGCCGGATCCGCGGCAGTGCATGACATTCAGCTCTCCCAGCTGCCCCGTCAAGCGTTCCGTGAGCTCTCCGACCAAATACCGGTGTTCTACTACGATTGGTCCGGAAAAACGCCCGTCGACTTCAAGAGGACGGTGAGGCAGCAGTTCAAAGCCACCAACACGGGGAAAGCGCAAATGGTGTTCATGTGGTGGGAATTAAACATGGACCCCGAAGGTGTGTATGTAACTCATTGGAGCGGTGTGAACTGTACATCACAGCAATAAATACTTCTTGGGAATTTTGGGAGAGTTGAATATCAAGATGTACTGTAATTAATATACCTTAGCATTTACATGAAGTTTTGACCTACTACATGGGAACAAATTTGTCCGGTTAAGTACTAAAGATTGGCGTAAAGTAGAGTTATTGGTATAGTTAGTTAGTTATTGGTTGGTTGATTAGTTTTTGTCTCATGAATGAGACTAGAGGGCTCACGTTCTTTTAGCCTTCTTTTTGTTCACGTGGGCAAATGCCTATGAATATCCGCCCTCACTTAAACTCTCATGATGTTACACCTAGAGCGTATATCGCCAGGTCCCAGGAACGTTTCCGCACACTTCCGCGACCCAGCCAGATCTAGCCGCCTCAGCCGTCCCCTTTCGTAGAGCATCTCCCCTCTCTTCCAGGTAAGGCGCGCTAGAACATTCAGCGCACCTTCCTACTCGGCCCCGTCCTCACGGCCAACGAACTCCCCCTATTTCGTTTACCAGAGGCCATGGATAAGGAGAGCCAGTGCTAATAAGCAGCAAGTCTCTCAGCCCCCAGAGGCGATCCTGACCTGTGGCTCCATCATTCACATTTCGGCTGCTGAGGGTAGGGGGAACGGCGCACCATAATACCGATACTCCTCTAGCCCCGCCCCCACCACCACTGCATCAGCGGTGCAGCCCCGCCGACTCACGGCCCGCCAGAATGGGCCTAGCAAAATGTAACGGAGACTATTGCTGGCCCTACCACAGTCTTGGTACCAACAACGTGGAGTCAATTGTTTTAATATTTTAATTACTAGGTATATTGGTCAAAGTAGAGTCATAATGGAAATATCTTACAAAAAAATCCGCGCGTTTCTACAATAATTTTTTTTTGTTATTCACACTATTAATAATTTAAATTTGTTGAAAATTATTTTCTACATTTTAGTTCAGTTATCTACAAAACCATGTTTGGTTCTTAAACATTTTTTAAATAATTACTTGGCTCAAAGACACTACCGGGTATGGGTTTCAGAAAATAGCTAATCCTGAAGTTTCTGATCAGGATAATGGGAAAAACTATTTAAAATATTGCATAGTCATTGGTCATTGACGAGTGTGCTAAGTTTGATTCAAATCTGATCGTTCAAAGTGGGGCAAAATCACGTTTAAAGATTCCGTTACATTCACACATGCATACGGGTGGAACTAATAAAAGCGTGTTGATATAATCGGGAAGTCGATGGATGCAGGTGGCTCAGGATCGTACTTCGTCGCAGTCTGTGGTTGAGGCCTATGTTCAGCAGTGGACTCAAACAGGCCGACATGACGACGATGGTGAATATAATTGGGTTGCTCCCGTTTTCCAGGGAAAATCGTGCTCAGCTGCGCCCCCTGGTGGAGCCATTCCGAGGCGGATTTGAGCTCGGAGAGGCCCCAGGACACTGTACCGTGGCGCGACCACTGGATGCAGGCGGTCTACTACCTGCCGCGGGAGATGTCCCTAGAAAGAGACAAGGAAACCACTCTAATCTCCTGCCAAGATGAATACTCGATATGGTTCTACCTGGAGGATGAAGCGATCGAGCAAAAAGACTACAAAAGGCCGGTGTGCGATTGCGGAGTGCACATGGCCCTGTCTAGGACGCACGTCTCATACTTGAACGACGGCAGAAGGAGCAAGAGGTTCCTCTCGCAGCTGAAGGAGCAACTGGTCAAGAATGCCGTGGTCTTAGACCTGAACGGGAGCAGCCTGATGGGCCTCGCGTCGGCCAAATTGGGCGCGAGACGCGTCTACATATTGGAGGGCGCGAACTTTAACGTGGCGATCCTGAACGACTACATAAAGGAGAACGCAATCGGCAACGTAACAGTTGTGTCCGAAGTCAGCGACGATGTGCTGGAGGTGGTCACGAATGTCACCTGCGACCCAAACTTCAGTGCGGCCGTCCTGCCCTGGGAGAACCTGAAAGTGGCCTACCTGCTGTACAGATACGGAAACAAACTGCGCAGCATGCTCTCCGTTATTCCCGAGGGTTTCGAGCTCTGGGCGATGCCGGTCGAGTTCCAGGACCTGCACAAGATAAGGATACCCCTGGACGTCTGCGAGGGTATCGACATGACGGTTTTCGACAGTCTCGTCGAGGTAGGTATTATTTTTTTTTCCATTTTAATACGCACCCGTTCTTGTCATTTATCTTACTACTAAGTGCCTGCACATTCTAAGCAACTATATTTGTACATTATTATTGATTTAGTCGATGGATGCAGTTGCCTGTGTTCTACAGTGGACTCAAACAGGCTATAATGATGATGATTACTATTGAGATAATGAAGGAGAACTTAACAGAAATGTGCCATCATAAAATTCGTGTAAGCTTAATGAATAACGAACACACCAGGCGCAGACATGTTGTAAATCCGACTTGTTAATCCGATAATAATGATATAAAAACCATTATCGTAACGTAACATTGACCGTTTAAATAAATCTAGGTTCATAACTAAATCATTCAAAATATATATAAAAAAATCCTTGTAGGCATACAGACACAACAGACGCAGTCATACCGTATTTACGATTAGTATGTTGACTTGTAAGATAGGGCTATGAGGGTCACGCTGGTGAGAGGGCCACGCAGCAGCCTCGGCTGTTGCACGAATGGGCAGGCCCGTCCGGGTAAGTACCACGACCTCACAGAAGACCGGCGTAAAGTGGAAGTATGACAAATACTTTCGCGTTTCGTCTGGTGAGTGAGGTTGCCGGAGCCCAATTTTCAAAAGGTTGTCAACGCTTCTGTAACCCTCGGGTGTAGCAGATGTCCATGGGCGGCGGTATTCACTTAACATCAGGTGAACCGTCTGCTCGTTTGACAACTTTTCGCATAAAAAAAAAAAAAAAGAGCGGATCGTTTTAGTGATGAACACCATTGAATAGTGTCCATTAGTTACTGCCCAACCGTTTCCCACGCAAAATGCACAATTTCTCGCTACATTTAGTGTTAAAATATCGTGTGCAGAGCTCGCGCCTGATAAGCGACGCGGAGATCGAAGCCCAACCCCTGTGGGAGTATCCGTGCGTATCGCGCGGTGCGCCCAGGAGGCTCCTAGAGATAGATCTGTGCGCTCTGGCGCCCACCTACGCGACGGACGGCGCCAATGCTGTCGCGTGAGTTGGCTGCGCCCGTCATGTGGTGCAGGTCGCGTGCGAAAGAGACGGGTGATCTGTGCGAAAGGCGAAAATGTCTCGGCAGCGCGAACGGGACGATGGATGCACGCCGGACCCACCACCGGGGGTCCCGCCGGATAACACTACACCCACAGCTAGTGTAACAACAAACACAATAGTTCGCCCTCGCCTCCGAGCACGGCGAGACCAACACAACGCGTACACAAGGTACACCCGCGTTCCAGGGCGGTTCTCACCGCCCCCAGCCACCGATTAGCTAAAAACACAGTCGACGGCCATCGGGGTCTCGGTCCGCACCGCCACTTCGATGGCCCTTAGATGACATGTCGTAGTTAAACGCACGCATGAGCACATGCGCGGCCCTACCCACAGCGGAGGGCCCAAACCCGTGGGTTCTGGCTAGCCCACCGGTTCTGCGTCAGATGAAGCTTTAATAGTCTCTGGACTGAAAGCAAAAACATCAGTTAATACAAGATACAGAAGACGATGGATGTATTAGAGAGTTGATATCGGTATTGCCGCACGTATCTAGTAGAGTAGCGATGCAACGGAACACGACGGAAACGAAAACAGAAGTGAATATGAAATCTAAGCGGAACGGAAAAAGAAACGGAACTGTAAGTACTATGAAGAAAATATTGTCATTTAAAAAAAAAATAATACTTATTAAAGTGGAAAATTAAGAAACGTTAAGTTTTTTTTATGAAAGTTTACTACAATATACAGCAAACTTCTTGGGGTTTTCTTCACGTACTAGATTCCGTGCTTCATCTCGTCATAAAGTTTCCGTTAATTATTAAATTTGCGGTAACGGAAGGAGTAACGCACTTAAAAAGCGTATGCAACTTGCGTAGCGGAAATTTAACAAGAGTTCTGTTGCATCACTAGTATCTACTTCTGGGCGATGGGTGGTTTATGTTTATATGTGTATGTATTAAACTTTCTGCAGATTATTAATCGGTGCAGATATTTGGGCATTCAGCAAATTCTCATCGGCCATTCAGTGCTGAGATTAGTCCACGACTTCACTGTTAAAAACGAGACTTTATCATCGAAATATATTTTAATAATTTCTTAGATTTTCTGTCTTCACGGTTCCACCGCGTGGATACAGAAAACCTATTACCGCGTGTTATTCGGTGGCTTAGCCGATTTTTATCCGAATTGAATCATAGATATACGTTAATCTAGTTGAACCGTGCGAAATTTTCGCAAATTACTCTTATCAATCAACGAACGGTAATATTACATGTGCACATGATTATTTATGTTTTTCATTTACACAAATTGTCTATAAATAAAATTTAAAAACGAAGATTCCTTAACCCTAACTTTATTCTCTTGTTTAATTTTTGTCAATTTGTGTTTGAATCATAAAGAACTATGGAATTTCTGGTACTCCAGAAACACCTTTGAGAATTGAACTATTAACGTTCACGCTCGTAAACGCTGGGAAGGGTTCGAAACTTCGGGTCTTTAAAATCACATTAAAATGCTATAAAATCGCCTTTAATTCAATTTACTCGAGCAACCTGGGTTCGATCCCCGGTGCCGGCACCAATGAAATTGTTAATTTTAAGTGCTGACATATCACGTGTTCAGCGGTGAAGGAGAACATCGTGAGGAAACCTGCATATTTTCGGAGATATGTGAAGTCCGCCAATCTGCCGCGTGGGGCCGCGTGGTACCCTCTGTACAGAGGGGGCCTTTGCCCGGCAGTGGGACATGTATAGGCTGTTACTTTACTACCACAATAGAGATTCTTAAACTGTAATTTTCACGCAGGGATATAGAAGTGGAGGGGACGCGGCCAGTTAACGGTTTCGCGCTTTGGTCGTGCTGGCGGATTGGTGGGAAGCCCATTAGTTCGGGGCCCGTCGAGTGGCCGGCAGTGGGAGAACGGGTCACCTGGGACCCCCATTCCAGGCAAGCCGTGAAGATATTGGTGAGCGCTTATCCTTACGTCCTTACTTAATATTATAAAGGCGAAAGTTTGTATGTATGGATGGATGTTTGTTACTCTTTCACGCATATACTACTGAATGGATTTTAATGAAACTTTACGATAATGTAGCTTATACATCAGAATAACACATTGGCTATAATTTATATACATATTTTTATGTATATCTGTCTTTCTGTCTGAATGTTACGCCTTCAGCCTATTCTACGCAGACGTAGTCGCGGGCAGCAGCTAGTATGTTACTATATGGATTGCAGATGCTTTTATCGTATGAATGAATAGGTTCTCTCCTTTAAACTCCCTAACGTCCGGTTTCAATTCAGATACAGACAGAATAAAATTCTATCTACAGATAGATATGGCGATAGATATTTGATATTAGCACCATAATATTTTCGTCAAAATTCTATCTTTAGTATAAATTTTAAAGTTTTTTATAGTGCTAATCTCTGCACTTAAGATTGAACATTAAAACATGTAGATAACAATAGATGCGCGAAGCATTGCTTTAAATGCTAAATAACCATGTAGAAAGAAGGCGTTAAGATTTTCGTCGTTGTGGCTATCAGCCGTTTAGCTCAGTGGCTAGAGCGTCAGGCCGCGAATGCCGAAGACGTGGGTTCGATTCCCACAGCGGCGACAATCTTTTCGTACTTTTTCTACATGTTTTAATCTATCTTTAGTAAACAAATCTTTTTTTTATGTGAGAACTAGCGACCCGCCTCGGCTTCGCACGGGTGCAATGTATTATACATATAAGGCAGACAGGCACCGGGACGGCTTTGTTTAGTTTTTTTTTGGCAAGCAAGCTGGCGGTTAACCTGATGGTAATTGGCCACTAAAGAACATTTGCATCACCCTCAGGGTTGCAAATGTTCCCCATGTGAGGTAGCCCCGGCCACTTTTAAGTAAAGTGGGCCGGGGCTACCTCACGCACCAGACGAAACGCAGAAGAATAACACTTCTACTTTACACGTCTTTTGTGAGGTCGTGGTACTTACCCGGACGGATCTGCCCATCCGTGCAACAGTGAACACTGTTGCGTGCCCCTACCACAGTTGTAAATCAACAAATGATTTCGCGAACTAGCCGTGCGTGATGGAATGTTTTTCCTACCACTTTAGTAATAAGGCTGTTTGTAATTGTACATCTATTTTAATTGATTTTGTTTTACCTATTCCTTTGTGTGTAGTACCTATATTGATTCATTCATTCGTGTATCTTGATGTCTCACTTAACGTTTGTTTGCATTTCAGAAAAAGTCCCAAGAAGTGAGCAGCGCTGACACTTGGAGTTATCAAGTGGCGTGCGATTTAGAGAAAGGGCACTTTAATGTGAATGTAGACTTGGTGCTCGAACATTAACTTTGCGATTTCAATGAATAACTTGGGAAATAAATTTGTATGAAACGTGATGTATTATTTTTATTGGGTACCCTATATTTTTCGCGCGTTAGCATGGAAAATAGCGGTCAATGTTTTGACTGATGCTGCGAACTCCAAAATTCTTAACGTGTTCACGTTAGCCGCCAGGCGTTTGCGCGAGTGTGACGTGTTTTCAGAGGTTGAAAACATGGACGATGTTCGCTTCACTATTGAACGAAACATGCTTTGTTTGCACTTTTTACCTAAAGTCCATCAATACGTTGTAAGCATTAAAATATACCGCGACAAGCAATCATTTCACGTTCGGTGATCAAGCTAACCACGCGTTCTCAAAATATCATACCTTATTATCACATCATAAATATCATATTATCAGTATCATTTTAACTATTTCTAATTAACTAATTTTGTAATGAAGTTTTTTAAGAAATTATATTATCATTTATATCATCATAATCAGTGTTAGGAGTTAGCACCAACATCGTTTTGGTCCTTCGAGCCGGATATGAACCGCGACCTATGGATTTGGAGATCTTTTATTTTAAACGAAAATTCATACCTAAAGTGGATGATGCTAAAAATTAGAATTGGTGTGCAACAAATTAATAAAGAAATATAACGGTATGTTAAATTTCATCCTTTACTTAAAAATTTGAGAGAACATCCTTCATGATTTTTTTTTGGATATACCAGGGTGGCTGTTAACTGTTTTGATTACATACAGGATTCAATAGGGAGTGTCATTTGAAATGAAGACATTAAAAACATGCTATCATTCCTAGCGACAAGTTCAAAATGGTTGAACTGACGTCGCGAGTGAATACCGCGCTAATTCGACGTGAAAACGCACAAACGTCTCGAGCGTTTCATAATATCGCGAGCGCCGCGCGCGCGCCGTCGCTAGTTTGCCCGCTACTTAGACCGCACATGCGTTTCGTACGTGAATACTTGGCTTAGTATCCAAAGACTTAGTAGTCATATGTTTGATATTTCGTGACCGACGTCGACGTCAAGTCAACGTGATTAGGCCCTAAGCGACAGTAAATTTTTGACGTTGCACGTAACAAGTATCGCCCGGTTTCTGAAACACTGATCATCGTAGAAATTAATTATTCAGCTGTTAAATGGCTTTTCAAATGTTATTTAAGTTGCCAAAAGGATGGTTAAACTCTCTGAATTGATCTTCTTAATGATCAGAATGATAACAAAATAAAGGTGGTAGGGCCACGCAGCAGCCTCGGCTGTTGCACGAATGGGCAGGCCCGTCCGGGTAAGTACCACTAGTACCTCACAGAAGACCAGCGTAAAGTGGAAGTATGACAAATACTTTCGCGTTTCGTCTGGTGAGTGAGGTAGCCGGAGCCCAATTTTCAAAAGGTTGTCAAAGCATCTGCAACCCTCGGGTGTAGCAGATATCCATGGACGGTGGTATTCACTTAACATCAGGTGAACCGCCTGCTCGCTTGGCAACTTTTCACATTAAAAAAAATAAATAAATTAGAAAATAGTAAATATTTGAAGTCTGTTTTGTTTTTTGTTACTAAAATTTTAAGTTAAGAACGTTTTATGATCACCATCGCGAGCACATCATGATAAATAAGCATTTGCATTGGTGTCACCATCGAAATTTGAACTGTTCTACGATTCTGGACAGTGAGCCACTTTTTGAAGAATATTTTTAATTGACATTTGTGCGAATATGTGCATATAGTAAAGTTTTCATTGCAAGGGTAAAAAGTTCCATTGAAAAAGAGGCACGTGGTGACACTGACGTCGCAGCGTCATGCTGAGCTTGTATCACATTGAAAAGACTGACATGCATTTTCTGAATGGCAATTAAGCGTTGCCGGAGCACTTTTTAATTAATTCGCTATATTTTAATTGCAGATTTTATTTAGAGTGTGATAATATATTAATAATATAAATGTGTGAATGCATTCACAGTGGTAGGGCAATGCAAAAGTCTTCTCTTGTATGAATCGGCAGGTCAATCCTGGTAAGTACCACGACCTCACAGAAGACCGGCGTGTAGCGGAAGTGTTACACTTCTGAGTTTCGCTTCGTGAGATAACCAGGGCCCACTTTATTTAACGGTGGCAACGGATCTGCAATCCACGGTTGTTGCAAATGTTCATTCTCACATAACAATTAAATTTTTAATATTACTACATTTATTTGTTACTATGTTTTTTTATTTATATATTTTATAGTATTATTTATTACATATTATTTTAAAGTATTATACGTTTTATGATTTTGTTTACTTCTATTTTACTTTTCTCTTCTTTATATATTTTGAGTTTAGAGTATAAGTATATCTAGTTTTACACACCTACCTATCATAATATAATGATTTGTTTCTCATCAATCTTATGTCAGGGTTTGCTGGAAGAAAACTCTTTTTAGGGTTAAGCTACATTTTTTACAAGCTACATTTGTACATTTTTTTTTGTAACTTTGTTTTCACTTATACTCTGTGTACAATAAAGAATAAAGAATAAAGAATAAAAAAGCATATATTTAAATGATATTATATCAGTTTTTATTATATAAACAGGCGATCTCTGCAAGGGACGTGCTCAGAATTAGTAGAATTCACTATGAGGCTTCTGCAAAAGACCTGTTGCGCAACTCGCTGTATTTAGAAAGACCGCGGTCAATATTCCTAGAATATTCACTTATGGCCGCGGCAAGATTTAGACAAACGGTAGTGATAACTGTATACGTCCGTGCAAGCGCATTCACCCACCGCATATAGTTACGAAAAACGCTTAATGGCGACTTAGCGATTCCCGGCTCGTTGTCGGCCACCACGCTTTTTGTGTATCACTTCGCGCAACTAATTACGCAGTCGGACCGTCTCACACGATCGTTTCATTATTAATGGCTTGTTAGAAAATCAGCTGATGCGGCGGTCGTCGACAGCCAGTCTTGATTAAATGATTTGCTTCTTGTCTCCTGTATTACGGTGATTAAGGTTTTCACATGTATGACGTACGCCGTCTCGAATAGGAATCGTCGATACTGACAAAGTGTCAATTATCGCATTCATTATAAAAGTAAGGAAAAAGTGTCGATACGTTTTATTAATATCGATCTTTATTACTACAAACGTGAGAAGTGTCGCTTTGAGCTTTCAGTACGAGTCTTGTACTTTCATGTTAAGCGTATTTTTTTGTTCAAATGAAAATCGAGTATTCGTATGAAAAAAGGCCTCGTCTACATGAAATCAGTGTGATCAACAAACGATTTGAAACAGCTAGTGATTTAAATCGACGTGCTTATTCATAAAATAGCTATAAGATGAGTTTTGAGTTAGCAAGTTTTAATTTATTTCTATAATTTTGTATAATTAGTTAAATAAAGTGTAATTGAATTGTTAATAATCAATTTTGATACGCAAAAACACTATTTACATTTGGAATAATAAATCTTACGTTTTAAGAATAGATAACCAAATTTTTAATCATCTATGTTATTTCTTTATTGCGTACTAAAAAATGCTAAATGTTCGACGTTTCTCACGCATCAAATGTAGTCGTTGCCAATAATACAAAGTATGACAGTGTAAGAATCAACTTTTAGTGGTCGATCGCGTGTAAATACTTTTATAATGATCACTCATCGCATGGGATTGTTACATTATTTATATCAGAGGTTCAGGATTGTAACATTCGTATGTTGTTTTATATTTTTTCCTTCCTTACTTGGACTTATTTGTTTATAAAGTACTTACTATTTATGAGCTCATAAATATGTTTATGTACGTAAACGTAAGGCCTGCCACTTATATAGGTATGTATCATTACGATTTATTACAATTTTGGCATGAATGATTCCGACCAAAAGTTTTCTTTTTATGAAGAAATTTTGATGTTTTTAAGATACAGATGACTACATATAGATTGCTTTTTATTAAAGAACAGAACTTATAGCTTTTGCTCATTGTATAATTTGCTTGAATAATGTATACTGAATTAGCAATGAAAGAAGAGAAATTTTGATGTGAAACATCTATAGCCGCACGTAAAACCGATTTCTGGCGTGGTGACGCATGCCGTGGCGACGCGTCGCCACGCTATATGATGGTAAATATATATATATATATACAGTCTATATGCAGTAGTGTGTACGATTAAGTACTCAAATTTAAATTAATCGTTAATAATTATTTATTAGAAAAGCCATTTGACAGCTGATTAGTTAACATCTACGATGATCAGTGTTTCAGAAACCGGGCGTTAGTCTAATAACAAACTACAGTTGTCAAGATTTTCGGACTGTAGCGGGTCAATTAGTCTTATTGAAATATTATATTGATTGTACAGTTTACAACTTACCATAATTATATAAGTAGTACCGTTTGTAGTTTGCCTGCGTGCTTTCCAATAGACGGGGTAGACAACGAGAAACTTGCGTCCGCTGCATTCCTAGTACACGTCTGCTTTTTCATTGCTTCGAAGTAAACACATTTGTGGTAATTAAGAAAACAAAGTAACACGACTTAAATCACAAAACCAGTTACGCCGCAGATCTGACTAAATGACCACAGCATGATTTAACGCTGGAAAAGCACGTGTATATTCCCTTTTTTATTACTTAACTTTCATTTTGCTAATTAATTCTCTTGCTTTGTTTTATTATAAATAATTTGTATACAGGGTACTAGTACGCATTACTACTAAAACTGACTTACTAGTCAAAGTTAAAATTTCTTTGTACAACTTACCTAAGTTCTTTTCAACTTTTATTTTTACATAATTATATCTAATTAGGATTTAACTGTGGTAGAGCCACACAGCAGCCTCGGCTGTTGCACGAATGGGCAGGCTCGTCCGCGTAAGTACCACGACCTCACAGAAGATCGGCGTAAAATATAAGTTTAATACTTTCGCGTTTCGTCTGGTGAGTGAGGTAGCCGGAGCCCAATTTTCAAAAGATTGTCAACGCATCTGCAAGCCTCAGGTGTAGCAGATGTTTATGGGCGGCGGTATTCACTTAACATCAGGTAAACCACCTGTTCGTTTGGCAACTTATCACATAAAAAAAAGGATCAGTCCAGACAATAATCGACAAGAAAGTTCAGGTATTTTGTTACTTAGTAGGCTCTCTACCGTTAGTTGTTGTCAGATCTTCCATCAGGCGTGTCGGGGCGATGGGCGAACTCGCTCCGAATCTCGCTACTAATCCGACCAGAAACTGACCAGTGATCACAAGAATTCACCAGTGATCACTTCGGTCTGGCCAAGGTGAAGGCCTCCTTTGAAGTTGAATGACCGAGACAACGCAAGGCCCGAGAGCAGCCGTTGTGATAGTGGAAGTCCTCGGCGGGTGCGGTAGACGAAGAGCCCACAGTCGTCGAACCTGAAGGAACGTCTGTTTGGACCCTGAAGAAGGTGGCTTCGGTGATCAACGATGCCGTCGTAGTTGAGGATTCCGAGATCTTTTTCATCTCAGCTGCTACTGTTGTTGTCAGGGTCTTCGACTTTTCTGGAGCTCGAGAGCTACCTAGACCGACTTGGGTCATTGATCCGGCAGATCACTACTCTATCACTACTCTGTGCTAGTTGCTGGCCGTTCGCAAGCACCGCCTTGGCGCGTTGTGTTCGTGGCTGGAAGGTGGTTGATGGCGTAGGGACTCTATTGGATTACCGTTATATCAATTGTACCCATAGGGCACCATATAGAGAGGAGGGCTGCGAAGACTACGGAAGGTGCAACAAAGCAACACTTAATAAAATTGTAGAATATGGTTTTCCCTATAGTAATAAGAATTAAAATGCATGTTTTATTACCATTTGCATTCGGTCGGTTGCATTTGGATTCGGTCGGTTCTTTCACGAAAAATAATTTTTGTGATTAAATTTAAAGATTTGGCAGATTTAAACGGCATTATTATTATACATTTCGGCCTTTAATACCAGAGCTTCCATTAATTTCGAATATATCCGGCAGCTACACTGGCTAACGAAGCAAACAAAAGCGTTTGCGCCAACTAATAGCTCGTTAAACGTAGATTTACGTCGCAAACTAAATCCCATGGCGCTGTCGTCACAGCCTTATATGGAAGTAACTTGTGGATATATTAAGTCGTCGCTTTCGATTCAGTGTTATTCATTTTGTTAGTTGGATGACTTCTGTTTGCCTTAAAAGGGTTGTAAGGGTGCTTACCCAGTTCTAAGTTCGACCGACGAGCGCCGATAAAAAGTTTCTCACGTCAGTTAAGACCGGTCCTTATAACTATTTAGATTATATTAAGCTTAAGGGTATAGACGTGAAAAAGCTATTTTAACATTTCTTTATTAACTTAAGTGACTTTGCTCAGGGTTGTTTTTGCTCTTTAAAGGTTACAAGCTTATTTTTAGCTTACAAGTTATCATGGTTAACAAGTGACAATAAACAAAAAACAATACCTATTAAGAATACGATTTTTATGTAAGAGCTAAACATTTTCTGAACGCTGAGAGAAAATGTTATCGCATGGTAAGAAAATCATTATCTACCAGTTAACCTTATTGTCGTTCTACTACATTGAATAAGGTTTGGGATCATTTATGCTGTACTTCATTTTTTTCATTGTATTTCTATAACGCATATTTTTAAAGTTAAAGGTGTTCACCGGCCCTTGTTTGGGACACGTTCATCTTCCACATTATGCGTTGTGGCATGAATTCAACCGACTCTATACCTACAATATGCGGGCATGATTGACTCGTAGACAGGTGCTAATTTAACTCTCCGAGTAGTTTTTTGATCCTCATGGCCTCTTGCGTCAGAGGTCTTTAACTATCGACGGTAAGGTTTCAATCGGCGAGTAATATTTGGCTGCATTATGGCCAGCATTTTTATTGAAAGAATCCATTAGGATTTCACCATCGGACATCGCGCCAATACCAAAAATTTCATCCACACCACCTCGATGTCGCGAGCGTTCGAAAACAGCGCGATTTTTAAGGCATTCCCTGCCTTGCACAACCACTCCGTGGAATCTTGGAAATCATATGAAGAGTCGAATTTCTACAATATAGGTAGAGACTTTTCTACAAATTATGGGCGGCGGTAATCACTTAACATCGGACAAAAATTGCTTGCTTGACAACTTTTCAACTTAAACATCATACATCATGATCAACTTTAGTTGAAGGACGTTTCGGATGGAATGCAGAATTTATGGGGCAATTGTGTTATTACAATTATCACAAAACGTAAGACAGAACACATCCAGCTAGTATTTCTCAATAGACGTAATGGTGCGAAGGCATAATGGCTCGTTTGGATTCACTTGTGTGAAGTGTAGTGGAACGTATTATGTACAACCTTCGAAGCCGCCGCTGGCGCTAACCCCATTCCAGTATGATATCGTAAATTGAATACATTAAGTACTAATTGGCGAGCCATGGCTTGACTGGTAAACAAATCTAAGCTACTTTAAGATTTTTATCTATGGTTATTTTGATAAAATACTACTATATTATCAAGAGTAATGTTTTCTTATAGTCCTAGCGACCTGCCCTGGTTCACACGGGTGCAGTGTATTATACATATAAACCTTTTTCTTGAATCACTCTATCTAGTAAAAAAAAAAAACGCATCAAGATCCGTTGCGTATTTTTAAAGATCTAAGCATACATAAGGACACACAGACAGTGGGACGACTTTGTTTTATACTATGTATTGATATCATTTATGTATACTTTACTTCAATAGTATAAAGTAAAGCAAAAGTAAGCTTATATGTGTCCCACTGCCGGACGAATGTCTCCTTTAGATAGTATAAGAGTCCACCATGCCTCCCCACCGCGGATTGGCAGAGTTGACATTTCGAAAACATGAAGATTTCTTCACGATGTTTTCTTTTACTGCTCACAACGTTGTTGTTAGGATAAGAATGGCGTAGTGGGTAGTGTACCTGCCTCCCGCGTCAGAGGGTGTGGGTTCGATCCCCACTACTGGAAAAATATGTGATGAATAGATTTTTTCCAGTTTCTGGGTTTTTATGTATAATTGTATTTACTTATTAACAAAATAAAAGTATGGTTATCATTTATCTAGTACCCATAGTACAAGTGTAGTTTGGGACTAGAAAACGTTTTGTAAAACGTGTCCTAAAAATATTTAGTTTGTACATTAAATTGCAACTAACGATTAAATCGGCACTGGCGTCCGGATTTGAAGTTTGAACTCAGGTTGCTCGAGTATATTGAATTAAAGGCGAGCGTCCGGACACTGAACTATATATAATTACCTATATACTAGAATAGTACTACTATTTATATACTATAATAGTACAACTATTAGGTATTATATTGCTTCTCACTAAATAAGTTTGAACACTTATATTCCCTATTTTGTTATTCACAAAACTGAAAATTTATTTAACAGTACTTTTAAGTAACAGTACTTTTTTATAAACGAGTACCAATTTAAGTTGCAAGTTCAGCATTTCTTAAAGTCCAAAATTCAAAAAATAGTTGACGAGATGCACCGTAATGTGTACGACGCTTTGGTCGCAGTTGGCTAGAGAGCGTCAGGTTGCGTTACCTAGAAGATTATTAAGAAGTTATTGTTGTTACACTGGCTTAGAGTATTCTGCGGTGTATACGAAAGCACGTTCAAATGTTTACGAAACCTTCCCCACTGACAGGGTGATCTCTGGTATTTCATGAAGTCCTTGCAACAATACGCAATTACAGTTGGACAGCCCAGCGCGGCTATTGTTTAACTATGACATTTCAAAGTTGCCAACGGGGCATGTTTATGCGGCGAAGTTTGATGTCAATGGAGAATGTCATTGCCGATTGAATTTTTATTGACATTAAGCACCTATTTACCGAGCTTATTTTGTATCGCAATGCCTTGATATTTTGTTCAGTAAATTGGTTTATCGATTGGCTATTGCAATTCAATGGCCGTGTCGCGAAGACATTTCGGTTAATCATAAATAGAAATAAATGACTAAGTATTGGATGTGTTTTATTTCGGTAGATAGTTATTGATTTGACACTCTTGTTAAAATTTGCTCTACGCAATTATAATGTATTTTTCTCTCCGTCGATTTAAACGTTCAATGTCATGATGACGTCACTTTATCATTATAATTGCTAACACAATGAACAAATTATACGACGTTTATGACTAACGGCATAACTGTAAGATAATTCAAGCTAAATTAAAACTCTTTAAACATAAGATTAAATGATTCCAATCAAACCCGTTAAAAATCAGAACCGCTCAAAACTGCAATATAAAAAAATTGATTTCGATCCCTGGTGCCAGCACCAATGAAATTGTTAATTTTAAGTGCTGACTAATCACGTACTCAGCATCTTGAGGAAACCTGCAAGCGTTTTTGTAGACCGGGTAACGGAATTCATAGGCAAAATGTTTCACTCAATTTAGCCTACAAACGTTTCAAATACTTATGAAGTCTATGTCTACTACTAATCAACATCCTGTTGTTCTAATCCCGCCTGAGTGGAGTCGGCACAATATGGAAATATAACGTATGTAGTTTTTAGGCTTGATTTTTTACGACCAGACCCATAACATTATCCCTCCTTTTGAAGAAGCACTCCGCAAGAATTATCTGTTGGCCGCACAAGCATTTGGCCAGTGTGGGACACCGAACCCATTACCCCCGGCACCGAAGCTAATAGTTTAGCAACTGTACTATCGAATCAAAGTTTACCCTACATTCATTAATTAGAGCTGTCCGTTGAAAGATCGGCGAGCTACTCTACCGTGCCCTTTACCACCAATTCCTGCATTACCCCTTACCATTAGGTCGGATGCTAGTCTGTGATTAGAAGAATTGCGTTCAATAGCCTGGATACTCTAAAGTCTCAATATAGGCACGATTTTGGGATAGGAAGACTCTTATGAATATAGTATGGGAAAAGAAAGGTACGTATGAAAGCGGAATGAAATAGAACTCAGAATGCAACGGCTTGAGCGGGTAAATGTCTTGAGATTAGCAAAAAGGTTGTAAATAATTATGTCTTATTATTATTCAATTATTTGATGAATTTTCGTCTTTTGTTTTTGTTTATTCATAAAAAAAGCAATTTAATTTTAATTTACTCCTTTGTGGCTTATCCGGGCTGTATGTTGTATACAGGTTAACCCTTGACTAATATTGATGTGTCCAAATAGACCCAAAGATTGTCACAAAGATTTATTGTTCCACAACTTTAAGCTCTAAGTTTAAAGTTGTCGAACATACAATATAATACATATATTAATACCGCGCAATCTAATATTAATTTATGATGATTTCATCATTGATAAAATATAGTAATTATATATTTTGACGTCGCTTTGCGTGTCTGCGGCAACAACTCTGGTAGATAACGGACGTTCAGCGCTGAATGCAATCTCATTACCAACTAAGTAGCTCGTATCGTATTTATAAATTTTCTATTTAAGCACTTTATTTTTCTTCCTTTGATCTCACGGTGAGATGCTTCGCCTATTAGAGAGAAAGTTGAAGAAGTCAAAGACAAAAGAAAAAGAGAATTTTGCCCAAGC